TAAGTGATTTTTTCCCCATCTGAGTGCAGACGTCTTGCAAGCAATTCCTTTAAAACACATACTTTATACTAGAAAGGACACACTGGTTTGGATTCATTTATTACACTACATTTGGTAGGGTTACCATATATTTAGTATCTTTCTTATCAACCTAAGTAGAAGCTAATTCGCAAAAGTTTTTCATGTTGATTGGATATTCCAGAGAATGCCCAAGAAAGATTGATTATCAAATTCTCTATACTAGAAAAGTAGACAGAAGTATATGAAATGTGAGCTTTCCCTACTATGATCTTATTTTAAGTTAGTATCTATATATTAAATTGGGATGCAAATCTAATAGCAATAGCACTTCGACTTATATATCGCTTTACAGTGCTTTACAGCCCTCTCCACGTGGTTTACAGAGTCAGCATATTGCCTCCAACAATCCAGCTCCTCATTTTGCTGACCTCTGAAGGATGGAAGACTGAGTAAACCTTGAGCCGGTGAGAATCGAACTGCTGGGAGTGGCAGTCAGCAGAAGTAACCTGCAGTACAGCATTCTAACCACTGTGTCACCATGGCTCTTATAATGAACTATATTTATTTATATAGCTTGGAACAATATAATCAAGTTTAAAATGCAGTTATGCAGTAAGAAAAAATGATAAATTGGGATACATAAAAGAATCCTGTCTTTATCAAGCACTGAGCAAAGCAAAATGTTAATCTCTATTGTTCAATAGTGCATTTGAAAATGGTGAGTTTTGTTATAAGTTGTATACCTCTTTCTACTTTCCCTTCATATTTTTCTTTTTAGGCATGGATTTCTTTTTTTGTTTATTTTTTTCTTTTATACAAAGTAAAAAAAATTAATGGGCTGTAAAAATCGGTAAAATGAGCTGTAAAAAAACAACTACTAAGTGTCAACCAAGAGCGATTTTCCATTTCTTTTTGATGCCATCTAGGGCTCAAATGGTTTTCTGCAACAGACTCCTTGGTAGCTTTAAATTTAATTTACTTCAGCTTTTTGGGTTTTCAGAGCACATTGAACTAATATAGGTTCATCCAACATTGTAGACTGAAATGAGGTTGGCAATTTTCTGTCTCAGTGTGTTCTGTAGGCAGAATCATAATGTAGCTTATTTTGGCTTAGTGTGGTACAGGTAGTACAACAGTTCATTTAGTAACTGTTCAAAGTTACAATGGCACTGAAAAAAGTGACTTATGACAGTTTTTCACACTTACAACCATTGCAGCCTCTCCATGATTATGTGATCAAAATTCAGACACTTGGCATCTGATTCATATTTATGATGGTTGCAGTGTCCCAGGGTCACATGATCACATGATCACTTTCTGCGACCTTCTGACAAGCAAACTCAATGGGGAATCCAGATTCTATTAATCACCATGTTATTAATTTAACAATTTCAATGATTCACTTAACAATGTGGCAAGAAAGGTTGCAAAATGGGGCAAAACTCACTTAACAAATGTTTCACTTAGCAAAAGAAATTTTGGGCTCAATTGTGATCGTAAATCAAGGATCACCTGTCCTTGAACCTCGGTATATAATCCCATCAAACTATAATTAGTTTGATGGGATTATATACCGAGGTTCAAGGACAGGTGATCCTTGACTATAATTAGAATAATTATAGTTATTCTAATTATTGTGATTAAACAATTTACATGATAGTGCAATACAGCTAGTCCTCGACTCACAACCACAATTGAGCCCCAAAGTTAAGCAAGACAGTTGTTAAGTGAATGCGCCCCAATTTACAAGCTGTTTGCCACAGTTGTAAAGCGAATGACTGTAGTTGTTAAATGAATCTGGCTCCTCCCATTGATTTTGCTCGTCAGAAGTCAACCGGGAAGGTTACAAATGGTGATCATATGAACCTGGGGCACTGCAACTGTCCTAAATACATGTCAAGTGTACAGGTAGTTCTCAACTTACAACCCTTTAGTTAGTGACTGTTTGAAGTTACAATGGCACTGAAGAAAGTGACTTATGACCACTTTTCACAACTACTGCAGCATCCCAGTGGTCACATGATCAAAATTCAGAAGTGTGGGAACTGGCATGTCTTTATGACAGTTGCAGAGTCCCGGGGTCATGTGATCATCTTTTGCGACCCTGTGACAAGCAAAGTCAATAGGAAAGCCAGATTTGCCAAACAACCATGTTACTACTGCACTGATTTTAATAACTGCTCCAAGAAAAGTCGTAAAATGGGGCAAAACTCATTTAACAACTGTCTTGCTTAACAACAGAAGTTTGGGGCTCAAATGTGGTCATAAGTCAAGGACTACCTGTATATGAATCTTTTGACTGCATTCCAGAAAAACGCTTGGGCAGAGACAATCATCGAAGGGCAGGAAAGAGAAGGAAGAGGTATCTCTCTGTAGGTTTGGAATTTGCCTCCTTTACTGTTACCACACAAGCCACAGAAATTTTTAGTTCAATTTTGATATCAGACTCTCAAAACCTACAGTTGCAAAAATCCATTTATACAAAAGTTACAAGATATCTGAGATTTATTTCAGTTTCATCTCCCATTTTCAGTTACCGGTAGGCTGTTTGCTAGGCCTCAAACCTATAAAGGTTACGTTTATATAACTAGAGTTTTCCCCCAGTTCCAGGGTCTGCTTTTTTCAGCTCACTCTAGGTTTTGAACCATTGGTTACAAAAAGAATTGGTTGATTGGCTTGTTGCCCGAGTCTGATGTCGTCGGATGAGAGAGAGTGGTTTAGTTCAAAGTCCCCCAATCAATTTTCATGCCTAAAATGGGACTAGAACTCACAATCTCCTGCTTTCTGGTGTCTTCACCATTAGACCAAACTGTCTCTCTGGGTTTACATCACATGCTAAATCTAAAAATACATCTCTCGAGCCAGAATCATAGATTAGTAGGATGTTACCAAGGTAGCTACCCTTTTGGGTTTGCAGAACCCAAGATTTGAAATGTAATTTTAAATATACTTTAATACAATTTAATATTGTGAAGACTTTCATACTGCTTCCTAAAGAAACCCCAATTCATCCCAAATTCTGGCAGAAAATTCACCAGCATTTAAATTAAAAAAATGAGGTAAAGCAGATTCTTGACAATGCATCTCCCCTTTATCCTAGTATCAAAAGGCAATGTTCCCTAGTGACACAAGCACAATACAAGCCAGGTCCTTGGAGGCCAAAAATGGTCACTTACTCCTGCTATAAATCATGGCTTATAAACCACAATCACTGAGTTTGCAAAGGAGCAAATGTCTTGGGACAGTAATTTTCATACTCCAATGAATTTATGCATGAATGCAATGAAATAGTCCCTGGGATTTAAAATACTCAAAATGACAAGCCTTACTACCATGCTGACTTATGTCTGTTTCGGTGAAGCCTGATCTGCAGTTTGAAGTCCTGGCTTAGTATAATAAATGAACCCTGCTGGGGGTCAACCACACCCCCTAATCACAGCATGAACATCCATAATTGTTGTCATGTGTTCTCATGATGCCTCCTTCTCAGATCAGACCACAGCTGAATCAGCTCATTATCTTCAGCTGTCTACAACAGTGTTTTCTCTCTGCTCCTGATACAAAGTTTGCCATGGTTGTGATAGCACATTTTATTGATGGGATCTGCCTGGTTATATTAGTCATTTTAGGCTACTGTAGTTTACTATCTATGTAACTACTCTGTGTGATAGACTAAACCTCAGTGGCTTCCACAGAAACATTTTTTCCCTGTATTATGCCTGACTGGGATATTTTATAGTGTTTCTCAAGTGTCGTGCAAGCATCTTATATACCTGGGATTTAGGACTATTTTGGAAGAATTTGCACCTGGTTTCCCAAAACATTGAACAAGCTTTTGAGAAATCACTAGACAATGAGTCCTGCATAGAACTCATTTAAATCAGGAAGGAAATCCAACTCTGCCAACAGTATGTTGCCTATTTGTTGACCAATAAGTATAACATGGGCATCAGTAATTCTACTGCCATGTTATCCTGCTAGTTCACAAATTGGAGGAAAACACTTCGATGTGGCCATCTGGTTGTACCTTCAGAGACAGTGAGGTGCTGCCAGCGAAGAAAAGATACATGGACGCAGTCAATCAATTCTGAGTTTACCCAGTTCTCCAGAACAGATGGCCAGCATCTTTCTGGTCTTCACAACTTCAATGTATGATATTGGAGGACGGAGACTGATTAGAAGGCAAAACAGAGGCAATAAAAGCATAACCCTGTTTTTGTGGCTTGGCATATGGGGTAAGATGACAATGTGATAAGAAGTAAAGTTCTGTAAACAGTATTTCCAAGTGCATGGGCACAATCCCTGCAAAACCACACAGGTCTTCTGTACAAACCAGTGATTCCACTTCCATCTGCTTGCCAAACACACACAGACAAGGAAGCAAGGAGTTGTGTGTTGCCTATAGAGGACACTGAAAAAGAAGAGTCTTGATTGGGTGCATCTTTTGTCCACGTGCCCAACATTGCAATATTTCCTCCTCTCCTTTGGAAAAGGTTAGAGCAGACTTCGGTTAAACTCCCACAACTGAAGCCAACTTCGATTTTACCATGTTGGTTTGTTCTAATTCAACCACACCTGGAGTCTTACCAGCGCAGCAAAGAAATAAAAAAAATAAAATAAACTTAGTTCTGAAAATTACTGAATGAGTTTTCACCGTGAAAAAAGGATTCCAGGGTTCGTTCTAATATTACTACGGGAAAAAGAAAGAGACCCTCCATTGGTGGGTCTCTCAAAACCTCCGCGGCTCACCTACCTGCTCCGAGCTAAAGCAGCGAGCAAGGGGGGCAACCCTTAACGCCTACACGCCCCGTTGGGAAGAGATGAAACAGAGGGTACCCGAGCACCTCAGCCAATGACAGGCATGGGAAGGTGGGGCAGCTTTGGCTGCTGGCCAATGAGAGCGCAGCCTCAAGGATTGCGCCTCCTCTGTCCCACCGGCTCTCCCCCTCCCCTCCCTATTTCAGCAGCTGCAAGCGCTTAAAAGCTTCGCAGAAGAGGAGGAGGAGTTTTCAGCTGCTGTTTTGGTGAGCGGCTCGCTTGCTCGTCGACTCTTCTTCGCGGGGCTGGTGCCGCCGTTCGCCTGCGGAAAGCGGGAGGGGTTTTTGGTGGTGGTGTTTTTTTTGTTGTTGTTGTTGTTTGGAGGGGACGCGCGAGCGGTCCGGGGTCTTTTTTCTTCTTCTCCTGATGGAGGCTTTCCACCCGAGCAAGCTGGAGAAGCACCACCACCACCACCACTACCACCACCACCAGCCGGTGGAGTTTTTGCAAGGAGGCGGCAGGTACGCGGCGAAGAGCCACAGCGCTCACGGGAACGCGTTCAACTCTTGGAACGATTACCTGGGTTTGGCCACGCTGATCACCAAAGCGGTGAGCCAGCAGGAAAAGGGCTTTCGGACCGGATCCTCCTCGGTGGTTGTGGCGGCCACCGTGCAGCAGGTCCCGGCGACCGAGGAAGGCGAGGAGGAGGAGGAGGAGGAGGAAGAGGAGGAGGACGAGGAAGAGGAGGAAGACGACGAGGACGACGAAGTGGGAGCCCCTTATTTCCAGAACTCCCTGGATTTGCACGATTTTGACTTGTGCGGGCACCATCATCGCCATCACCATCATCACCTTAGCCCGAGCGAAAACCTGCTGGAGGAGCGTTTCGCAGATTTTAGCCCCTTCTCCGGCAGAGCCAGCCCGGCTTCGGTGGTGTTCAATTGCTCCCCTGACCATCTGGAAAGAGATCGCTCGCCTCACGCTTGGGGCGGCCGCCTGGTGGTCGACGGCCGGTTGCCAGCTCCTCCGAAAAGCGCCTCCAGGTTGCTGAAGCCGGAATTGCAAGTGTGCGTTTTCTGCCGGAATAATAAAGAAGCCGTGGCTCTCTACACCACGCACATCCTTAAGGGACCCGACGGCAGAGTCTTGTGCCCGGTACTGAGGCGATACACTTGCCCTCTCTGTGGAGCCAGCGGGGACAACGCGCACACCATCAAGTATTGCCCCTTGTCTAAAATGCACGGCAGCGCCCCCAAACAACCGCTTAAAAACGCCCGGCATATCCTGGGCAAGAAGCTCCGCTAGGGGGCGGTTGTCGAGCCTTGGCCGCGTCAGTGTTTGTGTGGAGACCGGGACTGCGGGTCAAAAACATTGGATCAAGGAAAGAAAACAAAAAAAATAATATCCACCACGATTTCATTTCATTTTATTATTTTCTGTTCTCTTGCGCGCGTGTGCCCTCTACAGGGATATAAAGAAAAAGGCATTTCCTTTTTTGGTTTTTTTTTTAAACAACAATTGTAATCAAATGATGTTTCTTAATATATTTAAATATGAAGACGTAGAATGTACAGAGAGATGTTCTTGATTATGTATCAAATAACTGAGTATAGTTTCTAGTTTGTATATGTAGTAGCCAGGGAGCCTGGCCTCTGAAATTAACTCTTAAGAATTATAACATACCGTTTAGACAGGTACTGTATTTGTTTATTGTGAAACTTACCTGATTTTTAAATGGGACTAAGGATATCTCTTAGGCATATATGCTCCGTTTGCTGTAGCTATGTTTAATATTCTTGGCTGGAAAAGGAGCACTTTTGAATAAACAAAATACTGTCTTTAAATGAGGCAGCGTAATATAACTTTAAGTAATATGTATGAATCAAATAATTTTTAAAGAGCTGTTTGGCTGGTCCTACAATGGTTATAAAGCAAGGTTGGAAAGGTCATTTATTAAATGTGTTGAATTGGCATTTGCTTCCTTTGCTGTCTTCATTGTCTTCAAGCAATATTTTGAGTACTTTAAAAAAAAGGCTGCACTTTATGTATGCTTATATATATATATATATTTATATATATATACACATATACATACATACATTTATATATACATACACACACACACACATTTGTAACGTGGATAGCAACAAAAAATCAAATCTGATAAGTTACCAGTATGCCTTTTTAATGCCAGATGATGGTAGTGCCTTTTGTAACAATTTTTATTAAAAGGTAAATAAGCTTTTATGAACCGCATGCCATATAGATTCTTTTTATCCTACAATGTAAGTAGGGTAGTATCGGAATGGCAGCCTAATTTAAGTCAATACAAAAATCTGTTCTCGAAGTATACCATAAGAAACAAGGGATCAGAAAAAACATCCCTGTATAATTTGAAAACAAAGGCAAATGAGTTCTCTCTCTTCCAGTGCAATGGAAGTAATAGCAAAAAGGAACTACTGTATGTATTTTCAAGATATAAATCCACAAATGGAACATGTAGCAATAAAAAGCTGGTTCTGATTTATTGCTCCAAACATTTATACTTTTATTTTCTCCTTCCGTATAATAAGTACTGTTTGATACTGGTTTCCAGCATGAAAGCTAGAGTTAGTTTCAACATGATCTAAGAGATTTTTTTCTACAGCAGGTATAGAGTTAATGTCTACCAATTATATTTTCCACATATAATATGAGTAGCATGCCATTTTTAACAAGATACATGCTGTTAATAAGATTGAAACTAGCACTGTAAAACTAACAGCACTTGTTATTTAAACAAATTATATATTGCTTACTTTACACATATATAATCACACACAGAGAACACAGTAGGTGATTACACTCCAAAAATATTTTTAGCAAGTTTGTAGAAAGTGCTACCTGAAATCTTTATAGGAGTTCCAAACTACAGAGAATGTCACTAGAGTACCAAATAAAGGCTGATCTGTTTTCTTTGCTAACCATTACATTTTTTTCAAGTAATATTTGTTAAAGATAATAGTAAAAATACAAAAAGATAGAAAAATAGGAGTAAAAGGTACAAAGGGAAAAATAGGAAAAGCACAAAGAAATAATAAAGTAATAAAGAAAAAGATATATGAAATGAGTCTCAAAATTTATCACAAGTTTAGCAACTTTAGTAACTTCTTACGTCTTCTTAAATTACAGTAATAATCAAATTAACCAAGTTTATATTCCATCATTTTACTTTTACAATCTTAATCTTTCATCCAAATATCAAATATCACAGAACTTGATTTTCTTTTTTGAATGAAATTCTTCAAAACTTTAAAAAAGACTGTTTTATAAATCCAAAATAGAAAAAATATCCAGGTCACTCTTTGGTTTATTGTTTGTATGTCCCTTTTAATTATTAAAACAAGTTTCTTTTCTATGGCAATTGAAGCATGTTTTTCCATATCATTATTACAGCCTGTCTTTTGTAAATACTTTCAACTCAGTTTGTCTTGTCAGGTAAAACTTGTTCCTCTTCTGTAACATCTTTTAGACACAGTCTATCCATAGAGGCAGATGTTATTAATATCAATTTCTAATTCAATTTTTTGAAAATATTCAATATTTCCAGTGTTTAGAATATCTGGCATCGTATTTTCAAGTTTGTGTTTTTCTCCTTTAATCTTTAGTTCCTTCTAGAGTCCAATTTTTAAAATCTTATTCAAAACAAAAGCATCTTCCTATGGGAAGTATTCTTTATAATTCTAAAATCTTAAAGTTAACAGGACATTTTTGAATATTTTTTTTAAAAAAATAAGTTTATAAGCTTGTGGCTAAAATCACTCTTTTTTCAGCATTTTCACTTTCAAAGGTTGATTGCTGAAAATAATAAGCAAATTCCAAATGTGATTAGGAAAGTATGCAAACTTAATATCCTTTTAAAAGCATTGACTGCAATTTGAGTAATAATTTGTAGCTATTCCCTTGTCTCCCAGTTCTCAAATCCCACCAGAGACCACATGAAGGAGCAACTGCTGCTCCTTCATGCTCTAGAATCTAGAGTTTCTAGATTCTAGAGCACTTCTGGATGATCTCTAGACTTCTTCTTTATTCTTCACACTTGTTGGCTTTGGTTTTCACTGAGCCATTTTCAGTCCACTATTCTTCCTCTGGAAGTCTTTTGCCAACTATTTCAGAGTAGAGAGCTTCAATTACTTTAAAGCAGGAATTCAACAACTAAAAGATTACACTTCATTGCCCTCTAGATGTGTGAATAGAAAATCCTGGGAATTATAGACCATATATGAAAGCACCCAATTGGGAAGTTTATTAAAATAATGCTTCTTTAAAATAAAGCAGATGGGGAAATAGGCTCTCAGAAAAATCTAAGGTTAAATATAATTTGTGATTTAGCATGTGTAAATCAGCCAATCTGGCTCATTTAATAACGGCTTGGCAAGTTGTGTGAATACAGTTGCATGTTATAAAACTGGGAATCTTTTAAGTGAATGAGCATCTTTAGAGTTCAGCTGCATTATTTATAGAGATGGATGACAGATGGCATACAATCAAACTTCAAGGATGGAGAAGGTTTTGTGTATTTCCTTGGAAAATGAAGATGGACGGTGTAACCTTGTTTTAAATGTGTTTCAAATTTTTGCAGCCTTTCTTGCTTCCCACATATGATTTAAGTTTTTACGTGTTTTTAGAATGAATTTTCACTCTATGTCAATGAAGGCACCTGTAGGCTCCTCAGTAAGATTCCTGTTACAGGCTTGCTGTGAATATTTGCCCTTCAATAATAAAATACTGAAAGACGTGGAGTACTTTTAAGAAAAAAGTTTAAATATTTAGAACACTGGAAATGAAAACTTGTTTAGGAACATATTGTCAGGTCCTACACAATCTTCTTAAATTCTATTTAATGTATATTTAATAGGCCTTATTCCCTTAAAGTTATTATAGCATTAGTAAAAGAAATTATTGGGAATCTGTAGTCCTGAGTTATACAAATGAAGTAAATTAATCAAATTGCCTTAGGGCAAAGTACAGGCAGAAAGAATTTGACAAAAATTGCAATTAATCTTCATACTTGGTTTTGTTGGAAGCACTGATAGACTGCAGCCAAATTTGGGGACATAGTTAATAAATCACAGAGGCTGTTTAGGGAAAGATTACTTATATTTACTTCAAAAATTTGGTTTTAAATAAATCAAAAATTTAAGCCTTCTATAATAGTTAACTTTAAGATATACTTCTAGGTAATCAGCTATTAGAACACATGTTATTAGGTTTATGCAATATATTAAAGTTAGAAAAATTGATTTAGATGTATCCAATTTATGTAATGTAACAACACGCATATTTCTATCTGTAAAGTAAGCAATTTTAATCAAGTTGCAACTGACAATGCTTCTTTTCTTTAACAAACTACTGACATCTGTACATACCGTAAATTTAGTAACTCAAACATTATCCCAGAATGAAGATTTAGCATCTTACTGTATATTCTAAGCAAAATTCCTTGAAAGTAATTTTAGTGAAATTAATAGGAATACTGAAAATTAAGATAAGTTAGTTTAGAGAGAAACATCAATGTTATTTTGTTTATCTACTGAGCAGGTGGAATGGAAGCTCATTTTTGTAACACAAGGACTCTATGGTTGAATGAAGTGTTTAATTATTTTAAACAATCCAAAACCCAGTTCAAAATGTTGAATTTGCCAGATGCACAATCAAACACATATGAAGGTAAAGTTATGTGGGAATAAATATATTTCCTTATCATTTCCTGAATAAGTCTCAGAAAAATGTTATATATATATATACTGTGTATTAACATGTATATCAACTTTTCTGAATAATTTAAAAGAACATTCTTAGTGTCCTATTATAAATTTGGATGTAATAGAAACTATTAAAAATTGACATAAAATTGCCAGGACAGATAAAATTTTGTTTTCAGAATTTGTTTACAAAAATTATTTCTGAAAAATAGTTTTGCTTTCATTGTTTGTAGTTAAAACAACCAGAATAATAAAAGGTCACCTCATGCTAAAATTGTTTACATAATCTAAACCGTAAAAGATGTATACTTATGAATAATCTAATTTCTATGCACTTGGGAAAATTCTTAATCACCAACGAAGTTTACCATCTTGTTACAAATAAGAAACAGTAACGACTCATAGACTGGAGTGAGATGGAAGCTTTACAGCAACTATTTTTTTACTCATGGTAGGGAAGCTCAAAAGGAAGAAACAAGTACTAGAGGAGAATAAATGCATTTTTGTCACTACAGAGCACTACGTTGTTTCATATTTCATTCTAATCATTTTTTGGATTTATATAAAGGTTCTCACTCCATTAGTAATTCTACAACTTACGACCACGAATTTCTGTTGCTAACCAAGACAGTTGTTAAATGAGTCATTGCAGTAAAATTAGTAATACGATTAAGGGAATCTGGCTTCCCCATTGACTTTGCTAGTCAAAAGGTCACAAAAGATGATCACATGACCCCAGGCTGCTGCAACCATCATAAATACATGCCAGTTGCCAAGCATCCAAATTCTGATCACATAAAGCAACATTGAAAATATGGGAAATGGTCATAAGACACTTTTTTCAATGCCACTATAACTTAATACCATCACTAAACAACTGGTTAAGTCAAGGACTACCTGTACATATTCGTTGATCACAGGCTAATTATTTCTGTATTGAGACTGCTTTCTGCAACCTAAATATTTTAACTTTACTTTCACAAAGGAGTATTGTTTTTTTAAGAGCAGGAACATTTTTCAAAGGTACTTAAATGTATACTGTCCATTTATACAATATGATTACTCAAAAAGGACTGATCTGTCATTAGTTATTAGATTTTTGAAATAATGATTGAGCCTATTACCAAATCACTTTTTAAATGTTTTTGTGATTCTCCCTCCCTCCCCTCCCCTCGTACACACACACACACACAGTGCGTCCCACTAGTGGGCTGCAAGATGTTTGCAATTGGGTTGCACATGCAAGCTTGCCAGTAACCATTCCTTTCCCCCTTCTTCCCTGGTCTGCAAAGGTTGGGGAACTCTGATATAAGGCATCCAGAATTTTATTATTGGGTAGCACAGAAATTCTGCTAAATAAGAATGATATAGATCATTAGCAGACAACCATATCAGGATAATTTAGGATCTTTCTATGACTAACTTGATTGACGGATAAAATTTGCCAGCAGTACTTGCTGTCAACTTTAAAGTAAAAAAAACAACACTTCATTTGTATTGCTTCTGCAAGATTAAAAATTTTAAGACAGCATATAATAACTGAGTGTACTGATTGTTTCAATCATTTTTACCTCAATCAGGTCATGTTCAGCCAAAATTACCTTTCACTGTACTCTACTGTGTTATACCACTACTGCATTTTTTCCATATTTGTGCAAAACCACTTTTTGTTCAAAAAACCTGTTTATCTTAAAAACCCATTGCTTATCCAGATTGTTTCTGCATTTCCAAGAAAAGTGAAATATGCTCAAAAATAAAGGTAGCAGTTAGTTAACAAGTTAGCGCTTTCCCAAGTTATATCTAATCAAGCATTTAACTGATCTCTGTGATCCTCACTTGAGGATCTATGCTGGTTGTCTAGGTCTTCTCATCCTAAACTAGTCCACACTGGAGCTACACAAGCAGAAACAAGGGATATTTTTAAAAAATGATCTTTATTAAATTGATTAGATTTTTCCCTGATTCTTGGAGTATGATTCCAAGTGAATTTCTCAAACTCCTGGGATAAAATATATTGCTATTAGCAAACTTGACAGATATTAATCCTGATAATAGTATTGAATGTAAGTTGTAAAAAAAATCACCATCCTTTTTTCAGTGTTTTAAAGTTGTTATCAAACCAGTTTCAGACAAAATTGGAAGGTCTCAACTGTATGCAGTCTTTTTTTCATACTTATTTTGAGGTTAATTTGTTCTGCACAAGTGATGGTAGCTTCCCCATAAAGGGAAAGTTAACTGCTTTACTTAAGTAATTATTCATCATGACAGGAACTGAATCAGAAAGAGATAAGATTTTAACTGTAAAATGTGGTAAGCATATATCTTTCTCCTCAACCTCTTACAATCTTCCAGTTTCTATGAAAACTAAATAAAATCAGGAAATGCAAAACATTAACATTTTCCCCAATGAAATGTAAAACCTGATCTCAAAAAATCAATTAAGAAAAATTTTACAGTTCTTCTATTTTAGCTGTTTTTAATAGCATAGCATGATTTTTAATAATGTATGCACACTCTAAATGCTAAGAATCAAAGGGATGCTGTGCAATCTATTTTATATTGTAGGTTTGCAATGTTATATTCAAGATCTAAGATACTGATTTTTTCTGACAAATGCTGTTAATTATATAATTTGAATGATAGATGTTTATTTTTCAGTGAACAGTTTTCATTACTGAGTCTTTCACCCAAGTTTTTTTTTTTTTTACAAATGCAGGAGAAACACTGGAAATAGAAAAAAAACCTTTCTTGATGCCTATCATAACTACATAACATCCCTAAATTTATATTTAACAATGCAAAGTGGCATTCCTGTCTCAAACCATAATACTTTGATATATAAATTAAGAGGACAACTAAGAAGTCCACATTTATTTTAATTAAAATAACATTGAGAATATGAAAAATATATTTCCATTCATTTTTACTGATTTTTTTATTTGTATTTGAATTTATTAGCACTTTCTTTCCAACAGACAACTATTTAAAAAGATACTTATTCACTGGGTAAAAGACTGCTGGAAAAAGAATAGATATGTTAAGTTCAATCAGGCTATTTTCTCAAATATGTTAGAAGAAAGGTTTATGAAAATCTGAAACATCAATTAAAAAGTCACAACAAAATTCTAGGTTAGATTTTTAAGTTTATTTATCATTGAAGTTAACACATAGCAGCAAGTTCTGTGTTGGCTTCAATTAAAAACAATCACTAACATTGCTATTTCAGCCCCAAATTGAAGTCAACCCACTCTTACTACAAAGCACTTGGTTTAAAGGTAAAGCACTTACCCTGAAGACAAGAAATTCAGAAGGAAAGGAGGAGTGACTGATTCCTCCACAGATCATGTATATGAAATGACACTATATAAATGTTTCAAAAGGCAGAGATTACCAATACCAGAAAGAGCAGTGTCTATACAAAGCAAGGAACAAAAATGCTCAGCAAAAAGATTACTCAAATACTTTCAATTTTAAAAGCCTGTTGTTTCAATACTACTGTGGCACTCATTGTAAAAGTAGACTGCAAATGGCTTGATAAAACTGTGCATTCAAGTAGAATCTACTGAAAATAAACAAAAGAAAAATTCCCAGCATAGCTAAAGACCCATGACATTTATTCTATATAAATCAAATTAAAACATACTGAATCCAATAATACTACCAGCAATAACCTCTGCCATCAAATACCAATTTTAGACTGTACAGCCTTACAAAGTCATTTATTTATGGAACCAGAAACATTGCTTTAAACATATGCTTTGCAGGCCATATCCATTTTAAGGTATAAGGTTAGTTAACATAAAAATTAGTTTTGTTTTTGACTGAGATGTACATGCCACTCAAAGATACCTATAGAATTTATTTTTTTATTCTTACCACCAAGTGATCTGTGACATACAATTGAAATTTTAGATAACCAGTATTTAATTTCCAACTATTAGTTGTAAGTTCTGTGCATGATCAGTTTGCATACAAGTAAGGGTTTCATGCTTTCATTTCTAGAAAACTTTGTTAAAGAATTCAAATTCAGACTCTTAAAGCACCAATATTATAATCTGTTATCAAATCAATGCAAAACACCAATTAAAACCATTCAGGTTTTGAACTTAACGTCGTACAGTGGTCCAACCCTCTTCATCAGTTTCATTTTTAATGCGACGAAGGGCTTCTCGTTCTTTTTCTGTTCTCCAAGCTTTCTCTTTCTCACCCTCTTTTTCGCGTTCTTTGGAAACAGAAGGACCAGGAGTAGGAGCAGCAGGAGGTGGTGGTTTTCTAACTGTTTCACGTTCTTCACGTTCTTCCTTTCTATCATCACCACGCCTCCATGAGCTCACTGTAAAATAAAAAGCAATATTTCAGCTTTACTTCATTCACTAGGCTATGTAATGAATCAAAATCCAGAAGAAATAGTTTAATCTGATTAGAAATAAAACATATCTTGGAGGAATTTACAATGTAATGTTTCTATTACAGGAAGAAAAAGTACTGAAGCATAACCACAGAACAAAATTAAGGAATAAGAAGTAATCATGTTGAATTAATACATTCTACAATTTAAGACTATAAACACTGTACTACCAGCAATGTTTCAGAATACACTGCAAATTCAAAATTAGGGTTATACATACGTATTACAAAAGCTGGCATTATGAAAGTACAAACTTGAAGAAAATAATCATGGCATTGTAGAGTAGGGAAGGACAATTGAGATCATATGGTTCAATTCACCATAAAGATTCTGTGCATGAATTCACATTTAAGTATTTATGATAATGTCTATATTTGTCATTTCAGACTATTTCAGTAACCCATCAAGATCATTTTGAATTTTTTTGTTTTCTAAAATTTTCATTATTCTGTCCCATTTTTGTGTCATATGAGTAGTTGAGTTTTTTCCAGTTCTCCGTACAAAGTAATACATACATTGAAGTTAAGAAAGTCAGTTCAGAGCATCATGTTACCCCCACATGGACAGATAACTTTTTAAATCTCAACAACTGGGCACCCAATCCCTCAGAATGCTTTCCTGTCATCTCCCCTTCCATATCTCCTTCTTTGAACTATACTGGCAAACTCCTGCTTTATTTTCCTGGCCACTCATATAATATGGAATACTCAATTTTTGCAAAACAGCCAGTACTAGATTTTGTACTCCATAATAAAAGGGATAATGAAAGAGCCATGGTGGCATAGTGGTTAGAATGCAGTACTGCAGGCTAATTCTGCTGACTGCCAGGGGTTCGATCTTCACCGGCTCAAGGTTGACTCAGCCTTCCATCCTTCAGCGGCCAGTAAAATGAGGACCCAGATTGTTGGGAGTTAGATGCTGACTCTGTAAACTGCCCAAAGAGTGCTGTAAAGCACTGTGAAGTGGTATATAAGTCTAAGTGCTATTGCTGATAAAGTGATTTCTTAATATTTCTGCTTTACTTTTAAAAAGCATAAAGTATTGTCTTTAACAGTGCCAATATTTCCAACAATGATGTCTGACAGATAAAATTGTTCAGATTCATGCTATATTGCAGTCTGTTTATAGCAGGTGTTGTAAAGATGACTAAGGCAAGATTTGGTTATTTGGGAGTTTGATCCTATTGGTTTAAGAAAAATGCCAGTGTTCTGTCAGCTGTTAACTCAGCCACATCTGTATTAGATCCATGTCCCTCCTTGTTGGTTAAGGCCTCCTCAGAGGTGACATGTGGCTGGGCCTTGATCGTACTTAATTCTTCTTTGAGAGGGGATAATTCCACAATCTCTTAAGGGGGTAATGATTCACCCCCTTCTTGAGAAGCCATCACTATATCCAATAATTTTCATCCAGTTTCCAATCTTTCCTTTCCAGAGAAGTTGTGAAGGTGGTGGTTGTGCAGCAGCTTCAAAGAAGTCTGAAAGAAGAGGATCATCTGGTCTCTTCAGTCAGGATTCAGGCCAAGGTATGGAACCAAGACAGCACTGAATGCACTTTAGGATGATCTCTGGTGAGGATGGGATGGGAATCATGCATCAATCCTTGTTCTTCTTGACTTCTCAGACGTTTTTGGTATCACTGATTATAGTACCATTCTGGAATGGCTTTGGGGATTCGGATTTTCCTCCTTCTTCCAGGACCAGTTCCAGTTCCAGTTGGTGTTTGATAGGAAAGGAGATGTTCAGCCCAAGGCCCTTATTATGTGGAGTGCCACAGGGTTCAGTGATGTCCCCTCTCCTGTTTTAACATCTACATGAAGTCACTGGTGACATTATTTGTTAGTTCAAGGTGATGTATGTTCTGTTTCAGAGTCTCTCATGCCATGGTTACCTCCTGCTTGGTTTACTGCAGTATGTCCAAACATGGCTGCTCTCAAAAAGTGTTTGGAAATGTCAGCTGATGCAAAAAGTGGTGATCGGATAGTTGCACGTACCAGTCAGTCAGCGCATGTGGTATGTCTGTTCCGCAAGCTACATTGGCTACCAATTTGCTTCCAGATGTAATTCAAGCTGCTGGTAGTTACCTTTAAAGCACTTTATGGCTTGGGGCTGGACTACCTCTGGGACCATCTCTCCCAGTGGTGTCTATCAGTACTGTGAGATCCAGCAGGAGAAGCATGCTCCGGATCCTATCTATAAGAGAGTGCCATCTGGCAGGGCCTCGGAAGAAAGTCTTTTCTGTAATGACACCTGCTCTCTGGATCATTACCTCAGAGATTAGATTTATCCTGAGCCTGCTGGACTTTTGCAAGGCATGGAAAATTTGGCTTTGTCATTAAGCCCGGGGCTCTGTTAGTATACGTGAGCCCATTTCTTGGTCTTGGTAGTGTTAAATCAGCTGCTATGCTGTTTTATGTTATTTCTGATGTTTCTAAACTTGTTTTTATTACATTTAATTGTTTTTAACCATTAACCTCCTAGAAAAGGATGCATATGAGAAATACATGAGATGGTTGTCCATATACATTTATTAAATATATAAAAACTAATTGGATACCCATGCTTCGCTATGAAACTATGTGATGGGACTTGATAAATTGACACTTAAAGCTTGAAAATTAATGAGTAGTTATGATTGTCCTCGCCTTCTCTCCCTCAGCCTTGCCCCACAGAATTCTCCCCTATCCTATCCCCTTCTCTCCTTCAGCCTTGCCCCAGAGAAGCCTATCCTTGCTATTCCATTCTTTCCAATTATTTTCAAGCTGGAAGGGGAAGTAGAACATCTAACAATTAGCATCAGTATGTGTTAATAATAATATAAGAAATACTAATGATCTGATGGTCATTTTGAAAAATCCTTTCTTAGTGAGCACCTAGAAGCCAAGAGGAACATACGTGCCAAATTTCAAGTTTGTAGACTTTACGGTTCTGGAGATTTCGTGATTAGAGTGTGAGTGGTTTTCCCTTTTATATATATAGATAAATATACACCACCTGCATTTTTGTAATGGAAATGCATTCCCTGTTTCTCTGATAGGATTTATATAACAATAACAGAATTGGGTAGAAGTAGTCTACCTTCTTCCCGATCTGTTCTGGGTGGAGGTCCTCTCCTTTCTCTCTCTTCAACACGACCTCGAAGATCACGACCACCACGGTCGTCTCTAGAGTCACGACCACCTCTGTCCCATTCATCACGACGACCTGACTCTCTCCAACTAGAGGCTTCCTCAGCTGGTCCTCTTCTCCAGCCAGTGTCATCCCTTTAATTATAAAAGTTATATCAGTCCTAAAGAAAGGATCTTCAACTACAGGTTATCTGCAAGAGAATGACTTATCACTATTTTCATATAAATTGCAATTATCATTGCAAAAAAAGGTTTTTAAAAACATAAGGGATATTTAAAATGCTCTTGGAAAAAATTAAATACAGGTAATTCTTGATTAATGACCACTTATGTAGCAAGCTTCCAAAGGTACAACAGCACTGAAGAAGTGTACTTATGAGCAGTCTTCAAAGTCTCAGCCATCCCAGCAGTGACTGATCATGATCTGGACAACAAGTTCACAATTACAATGGTTGCAACAGCCTGTTGTCATGTGATCACCACTCACCTTCACACGAGCAAAGTCAATGGGGAAACTGGCAGGGAAGATTACAACTGTTTACTGCTAAGTTGCTCCTACTCCCACCGCTCTTTATCCCAATGAGGCTACACTCTGTAGCACATGCCCACCCAATGACATGGTAGCTGTTCCATGCCTGGCAGCAGCTATTCCTTGCCTATTTGCCTTCAAATCACAGTAGGCACTTACCCAGTGCCAGCCTGCTTGCAAGCCCGTTCCCCCCCCCCCGACTTGTGACTTCCTGTCAGCTTCCCCATTGACTTTGCTTGTTCAAAGCTGGCACAAAGCTGTAAGGAGGTCCTTGCTTAATGTCTTGTGCTCCTCACTTAAGGACAGCAATGGAGACTGCAAGGATTGCTGTTGCTAAATGATGTGGTCATGCAACATTGTGCTTTACAACCACATCGCTTAGCGACAGAAATTATCATTGTTAAGCAAGGGCTATCTATAAAATGGAAGAGTCCCTAAATTTTTGTGAGCATGCAAATTGTTTCTGTAATATTTTTTTTTTAAGTGTTTCCAACCCAGTGCAATGTTGAGAAAATATGTTAAAGGGACTCTAGATTTTCTCTTTACATTCTTGCTGTCCATCTGTCTGTCAATCAGCAAAGCAAGTCGCTAAAGACAGAACAGAACGGAACCAAAGTGGTTTGGTGGGAAAAGGAACAAAAGAAAGATTGAATTTGAAATTAGTCAGATGAGGCCTGCAGACTTTAGGAGAAAATTCCTCCAATGGATCCAAAGAGGCAGGAGAAGTGTTGGTGACCACTCCATTCTAAGCCCCTCTCCCTCTTGGTCACACAATTCAAAGTGAAAGATATGAAACCTAGTTCATGCTTCCCAGTCACATACACATAATAAATGTACAAAAATAGGCAAAAAGGAAAGCAGAAGTACACGTACTAACATACAGTGGCAACACATACACATCACCCTGATTAGATTATCACAGAACACACGGAGGCAAAATATATGCATGCATCCCAATTAGCAACTGGAGAGTAAGTGCGCACACACACACACACAGCAAAGCAACACATTATTCTGTTACGTAGGCTATACAGATACTGTATATATATCCTACTGCTTATAAAAGGAGTGGAAAGAATTTAAGAAATCATCCTCTACATGCTTTCCCTATTTTGTTTAAAACTTAAGCCATAATAAAATACATTATTAAAGACATATCTTTATGGTTGATTAATAAATGCATATACTCACATATTTTAACATATATTTCTTCTCATAGATACCAGACATTCACTTGTCTATCAAAACTATCTTCTGGTTCATAAAGAAAAAAAAATCACCACATGCTATTAAAATGTAATAAAGTCTAACCTAGGACGCCTAAAACGATCTTCCCGATCCAAGTCACGGTCTTTGTCAAATTCTCGTTCCTTTTCCTTTTCATCACGGTCTTTATCTCTGTCCCATTCACGATCTTCTGATGGTCTGGAATCCCGTGGAGGTCCCCAGCTGTCTTCTCGAGCCTTTTCACGTTCTCTCCATCCACCTAGGCAGCAGCAAAACATCAACTTTTAGAGGCTAATTTCAATAGCATGTGGAACATCCGTTCCTGCATTCTTTAGCCGAATTCCCATCATTCCTGCAATGTCTTTTGCCACATCCCACAATTGTTCAGAACTTGACTGGTAGGACTAATATTTGGGAGCTGACAGATCTGTCATATGGAAAAATTGGAAAACTTTCTTTCTAGGAGTGTATTCTATGCTGCTTTTTTCCAATCAGAGGTAAAGCAATGAATATATGAAAGCAATGTGGCTTTCAGGTTTAACAAGTAGGAAACATTTCAAATAAATTTTAAAAAATTTTTTTGCATTTTAATTTAAATCTGTCTATAATAAATAGCTGCCAGACACTGTCATCTGGTCTAAATCGTAACTATTAAAAGAAAATCTCATTCACAAATTGCCCAGAACATTATGATGACAGATGCAAATAAGACCTTTTCATAAAAAGCAGCTTCTTTAGGTGTGAAAAGCAAAATCAGTTTTAAAAATTTAAATACAGTATTTTTCAGAGTGTAAGACGCACTCCCCACCCCAAAAGTGGGTGGAAATGTCTGTGTGTCTTATACAGTGAATGTTGCCGAAGCCCCACCCTCCCGCACCCTTCGGCTGTTTTCGACCTCCGTGTGTCATGTTCTTAGCTTCCATATGCTCCATTTTAGAGGCTAAACCCTTTCCAGGTTGCGGGGATCGCCATAGCACATTGCTGCTAATCGCCACTTCCGCGTGTTACGTTTTCAGCCTCCACATGCCGTTTTAGACTTGTTCCAGGCTGTGTGGATCACCACAGCACATCGCCCCCAATCACCGCCTCCGCGTGTTGCGTTTTCGGCCTCCGTATGCACGTCGTGTTTTCAGCCGGTTCCAGGCGGCCGCTCCCCAAAGCCTTGTGTTGTGGTCCGCCAGCAGCCTGCAGAACTGGCAGTAGAGTCGGACAGTGAGGAGGCTGGGAAGGACAATGGGCCAGTCCTTGAGTCAGGGGAAGGCCCGGATGAGGGCTCTGGTTTGGAAGCAGAGATGGGGCCAGGGCCATCTGGGAGTGATGCGCGGACTCCGGAGCCTCCAGAGGTGGATAGCAGAGGCAGAGGAACAGGAGGAGCCTGTTCCTAGTGCACACATGCGAAGAGCTGCCAGAAGGCAAGAGCAGCTAAAGCAAAAAGGACAACTCAGGAGTAAGGCCAGGAGATGATTGGTCCCTCCAATAAGGCTTAAAAGAGCAGCAACGGCTCTTGGGATCTTTGTAGGAAAGCAACGTTGCTACATTTGTCTCTTGCTACATCTGTTTGGTATCGGAGTCTCTTGCTTCTGAACTTTTGCCAAGAAAAGCCTTTGGCAGGGTGCCAAAGAAGACAAGGTTGGTGATAAGGCCGAAGAACTGTTTATGAAGAATTTGTTTTGGACTTATTTTGGACTAAGATGAGAATGAAGTAATTCTCAGCTGTTCTAATAAAATATGTTTGTTTAGGACTGATTGTGTCTGGTAATAACTACTTAGGCCTATAGGTCATAACACCTAGAACCAACCGAAAATGTGATGCGCGGAAGCCAAAAACGGGGCATGTGGAGGCAGAAAATATGACACACGGAGGCGGCAATCGGCAGCGATGTGCTGTGGCGATCCCCGCAGCCTGGAATATATCTAAAACGGAGTGTGCAGAGGCCGAAAACACGATGTGCGGAGGCCAAAAACGTGACACACGGAGGCAGCGATGGGCTGTGGCGATCACCACAGCCTGGAACAGCTGATTGGCGGTATTCCAGGAGGCCAATCCAACCACCAATCAGCTGCTCGTGCTGAATCAGGCTGCGATAACGTGCTGAAGCTGACCAGGCTGTTTGCCGTTTTCTGCAAGGACGCTAGCCAGATGAATACTCATGGATGCTGGTAGGCAGAGGCAGAATTTTTTTTTCTTGTTTTCCTCCCCAAAAACTAATGTGCGTCTTATACTCCAGAGCATCTTATACTCCGATAAATATGGTACTTAAATGATTAGACATGTTAGTATCCTATTCAGGTTTCATGAAATCCAGGATGAGATCCCTGAAGTTTTTTTGTGATTTTAGATCCCTATAATAGAGACTTCTAAGTCAAACTGAAATCCTACTAATTATACTGGAAAGTTAATTTTTAAAATTTTCTTCACAACAATACAGAAGAGATTTGCCACTGGGATCCTGTCAATTTCTTAGTGTAGCATACAGATCTTAAGTTTCTTACTGGTTTTTTGTCCTCATACCAATCTGGTCCAATCCTACTAAGCTTTTTAAAAATCAGTCAAGATAAACTAGGTGCTGCCACCTGATGGGGCAGATGTCTATAGCAAGATTTTTTTAAGTCAGTGCTGATTAATTATCAATGTCATATTTGTGCTAAATAATCAGATTACATATTAGAACTTGGAGTGTCTCCATTTAATCATATATTCATTCATTTAATCATTCATGCTCATTAGTCAAAAAATAAAATGGCACAAAGCCTCCAGAGATAAGGAGAATCCAAGACCTCGGTGCCTTCCGCCGTGCCCTTAAAACCTTCCTTTTCCAGCAAGCCGGGCTGGCCTAATTTTTTAAGTGTTTTTAAGTGTTTTGTTTATTGTTTTTAATTAATGGGGCCAAATTTATATATGTATATTTTAACTGTATTTTAATATTTGTATTTGATGTTTTTACTTGGCTGTTCACCGCCCTGAGTCCTCAGGGAGAAGGGCGGTATACAAATTCAAAATAAAATAAAAATAAAATAAAATAAATAAAGATTTCACATCTTACCCTGTGCCATACCTAAACTACTACTTAGGTCTTCCTGTGAGAGGAATACCACCAGCTGAAAAGTAGTGTATTATGGTAAACCTTCTACTGATTAGAAAAGGAATCAAATTACAGATAGGTGCCAAAATGCAAGGAGTTTTTTTTTTAAAAGATGGACACACCTTATATTTAAGTACTTCACTTTTCAATGTTTAGTATCTGTATCTTTCAATTTTATATTGCTAATACATTTCTTGAAATAAGCCACCACAATGAATTAATCCATATCAGACACAAAACATTTAGAACAAAATGTTATATTCGTCAGGCATCTGTACACTACTAACACTATATATAACCTTTAACTTGGCAAAATAGTGCATCATAGGGCAACAATTTCTGAATCAAGGTATTTCAAATGGGCCAATTTACAGAATCCATCCAAAATCCAGGATCCATGACTCGGGTAGGATTGAAATTTGGTAATGTGTGATTGCTTTGGGGTTGTTGTGCCATTGACCAGAGGTTCACTAGTCTTGCCCTAGTCCTCCAGAAGCTGAGTAGACTGGCCCTTCCTTTGGCTGCTGGAGATGGGTAGACCAGTCCTGCCTTAACCGCCCAACCAGCAGAAAATCAGAAGTTGCTCCCATTCCCACAGCTTTTTTGCTCTTGGTCATTCTGTTTCTCTCTTTTGGTAAGGAAATATCTCTAAAACAAAGACCCAACAGGTCATGGGTTGTCTAATTTATAATGAAAAGTTACAAGCTCCGACTCAACCCTTCCAAGACCGACTGGCTGTGGCTTCCGGCGTCCCGATATAGCCAGCTGGTGCCATCGCTGGTTATTGGGGCGAATCATTGGCCCCCACGGAAAGGGCTCGCAACTTGGGCGTCCTCCTGGATACACGGCTGTCTTTAGAAGAGCATATGACGGCCATGGCCAGGGGAGCTTTTTATCAGGTCCGCTGATATGCCAGTTGCGTCCCTTTCTAGATCGGGACTCCCTACACACGGTCACTCAGGCACTTCCCGCCTGGACTACTGCAATGCTCTCTACATGGGGCTCCCCTTGGGGTGCACCCGGAGGCTCCAGTTGGTCCAGAATGCGGCCGCGCGGGGGATTATGGGAGCGACGGGGCGCTCCCATGTGACACCTCTCTTGCGCGAGCTGCACTGGCTTTCTGTGGTCTTCCGGGTGCGCTTGAAGGTGTTGGTGACCACCTTTAAAGCGCTCCATGGCTTAGGGCAGGGGTATTTACGAGACCGCCTTCTGCCGCCAATAGCCTCCCACCGGCCAGTTCACTCGCACAGAGAGGGCCTCATCAGGGTGCCGTTGGCCAGACAATGTCAGCTGGTGACCCCCAGCTGACCATTTACCTGGTTTACCAAATGGTCTCCAAGGTCCAGGCCTGGAATCATCTCCGCGTCTGGGACCTCTGTCATCATCCAGTCTTCTGGATCCTCGATCATCATCTGTGTTACGCCAAGGTCGTCTATCCTCATCACTCCTTGAAATTCTATCATCATCCAGCCCGCGCCTGGGCCCTCGGTCATCATCCAGCCCGCGCCTGGGCCCTCGGTCATCATCCAGCCCGCGCCTGGGTCCTCGGTCTTCATCTGTGCTGCGCCAACTAGGTCGGTCATCATCCAGCCCACGCCTGGGCCCTCGGTCATCATCCAGCCCCACGCCTGGGCCCTCGGTCATCATCCAGCCCACGCCTGGGTCCTCTGTCGTCATCCAGTCCACGCCTGGGTCCCCTGTCATCATCCATGTTACGCCAACTTGGTCTGTCGTCTTCCAAGCCACCTAGGTCCTCTGTCATCATCCAAGCCACGCCTGGGTCCCCTGTCATCATCCAAGCCACGCCTGGGGCCCCTGTCGTCATCCAAGCCACGCCTGGGGGCCCTGTCGTCATCCAAGCCACGCCTAGGGCCCCTGTCGTCATCCAAGCCACGCCTAGGGCCCCTGTCTCATCCAAGCCACGCCTAGGGCCCCTGTCGTCATCCAAGCCACGCCTGGGACCCCTGTCGTCATCCAAGCCACGCCTGGGGGCCCTGTCATCGTCTAAACCACGCCTGGGGGCCCTGTCATCATCCAAGCCATGCCTGGGGGCCCTGTCATCGCCAGTTGAACGCCAACTCGTTCGGTCATCATCCAGGCCTTTGCTAGGATCCTTTTCTTCCTCTTTATCCTGTTTCAGTATTTTATCTTCTGGTGCTTCCTGGGTAGTCTCTCCGTCTTCTTGTGGAGTAGTAGACTTAGTCACATCGTCTTTTTGTATAGATTTTTCATCATCACGTACTTCCCCACGCCGCCACTCTCTAATAAAACAAAGCCAGAATTTTATTTTCAGATTTACAAAACCAAATAATTGGGTTACTCTTGCAAATTACAGCTACACAACTATAAATTACACATGATTTCTCATCTCGAAAATTTTGTGAGCAACTCTATGTTAATACATACATTCATACATTAGGAAGTCACAAATTTCCATGGATGAGTATAAATAGCAAAATGTATTCTAGAAATCATAATACTAAAGTTCTGAGACAATAAAAGTTATGGCTCACATGTTTTTCTGGTTTTCCAATAGAAAGAAGTTATTTGTTCAATCTCAATATCATGAAATGGAATATTAACAAAACTACTATCTGCAGTTTACAGGAACTTCTCAATTAGATACCATGAGTCGTATTCAGCACTTAAATAAAAGTGCTTTCTGCATAAGAAAAATATACAGGTGATTTAATTTAATAACCAATACCTTAACAATTGATTGAAGTTATGAAAATCTCAGAAACAGTCCTTTACAGCCTATAAAGCACTTCTGACCATTGTAAAATACGTCATCACCACCTGCAGTCATGTGACCACATTTAGGGTGCTTGGCAACTGGCTCGCATTTACAACTGGTTGCAGCATCCCAGTCAATGACCATGATTTACTACTTTTCTGCCATTTTCTGGCAGAAAACTGCAAAAACCGCACATTGGATATGCTAGATTCACTTAACAACCTCATGGTTCACTTAACAACTGTGGTAACTCACTTCATAATCATTGTAAAAATGGCTGTAAAATGAGATGACCTACTTAACAGCCCTAACTTACAAGCAAAATTCTGAGCCCAATTTTGGTCATAAATAAAGGAATAATAGAATAACAGAGTTGGAAGGGACCGAACCCCCTGTTCAAGCAAGAAACCTTACCATTTCAGACAAATGGCTGTCCAATCTCTTCTTAAAAACCTTCAGTGCTGGAACACCCACAACTTCTGGAGCAAGTCAGATTAATTGTTCTAACTGTCAGGACTATCTATACAACATGATCTTACACACTACATGAGTAGTGTGAACTTACCAAAATATCATATGTGAGCCACTCAGTTTTAAAGTGTGTATAAACTAGTTAACAAAAGAAAAAGGAATCACCCAGAGCATTCTAAATCAAATGTTCCAGAATATTCAAATATGGAAACAGATATTCTATTATGCACATTGATATGCTAATGTTTACTGGATTTCCACTGAACTATAGTACTAGTAATTTTATTTGTCTCAGATTCCAAGTAATGTTATCATTTTGCATTGGTTTTATTCTAGTTTGAAACTATTTAACACTTAGAAGCAAACATTCTAGTACCTAAACTTTTAGCTAGCACAGAATTCATACCAACCACTAATGGGTGGCTATATAAATATTTTGAATGAATGAATGCAAAAATGAATTACAAAAATTGAAATCATTAATATTGGAAGAATAGACTACAGCGGGCCTGTCAAACTGGTGGCCCACGGGCCGGATGCGTCACATGCAGGCCATGTCCGCCCCGGGTCCGCAAAGGAAAAAAAGTCACGATACGTTACGTGACCGAATTTGACACCCATGGCCTACAGATATTAAAGCAAAGACATAGAACAGTGTCAAAAGTGTAGATCTGAACAGAAAATAAGGATATTTGTTGGAACAAGTTGTAATTTTGAGTATTTGTCTCTGAAATATGTATAATGCAAAGTCTGTATAAATATAAAAGGGCAGACAGAATCTATGGAGAAAGGGATGCCAATATAGCCATTTATTTAGCAAAATGATTCCAACCTAGAAGGATAGGACAAGTCTTTGTCAGATATGCCAATTTGCTTGAAATAGTTATACACACAACTCAGTTGGTTATTGAATATATTAATAGTTCCCTGGTCTTATTAACTGTACAGAAAGAGAATCTTCACTAAGATTATTAAGGTTTGCAAGAATGTTCTGCAACGTCTAATGAATCCTGGTAACATGGTATTAATGGCCACTAAAATTGTTCCATATCCAGTTAATGTTCTTTGGATGACAATGTATACTCTTGCACAGGTTATCAGAATAAGAAAAGAAATATTAATCTATTATAGCTTGCTTAAGTATTATTCTATAAGCTACCTTTCTGGGGGACGTCTCCATTCTGATTCCTGATCAGTAGTTCTTCTCCAAGTATTATCACTTTCTCGATCACCCCAGCGTGATTCCTACATTTAAACACAATAAAAAGCAACCTTAGGATAGTATCAACATGATTAGGAATACTTCATATTTTAATATCAATTATCACAATTTTTTAAAAAAGCACAGAGCCTATGAATGGTTTCAGAAACACAATCTGCTTCCAACCAGTTTGCAAGTTTAAAGAACATGCTATGGCCAGAGTAGACAATCAATTTTCTATCAAGTACTTCATCCCCGAGGGATGAAGCCCACATAAGGAAGCAAAGAGTGGGTGCGTTTCAAGACAAAAGTGGAGGGAGGCATTCTCTATCATCCCCTCTTTTTAGAAAAGTTTTTTTTTTCTTTCCTATGAAGAAGACTCCAAAGAGCAACCTGTAACTCATTCCAGACAGCTGAACTGGTTATTCAGTTGTTCTACAATTGTTCCAGTTTTTTTGAAAGACCATTGGATAAACATACATGAACATGTATGTTGAACGATAACAGTGGTTCACTTAATGTGGAATCTCAATTATTACTTACTACTTAACAAAAGAGAAATGAAAAGAGGGAACAGAGAATAGTAGTTTCCCATGGCAGAGTACATTCATCTCTCAGTAACATGTATGATATTTGAAATTCATTTCTGAAATGGTACAAAATGTAGATAAGAGAAACCATCATTTCTGTAATAAGGCATTTCAAATGAAACAAAGATTCAGATTAGAAAATGAAAAAGAACAAGGAAGAAATGATGTATTATTAAAAATAATTTTAAGAGCAGAAGCTATTTTGTGAATGGGCTCCATGTGATACTATTGAAGACATTTTCTTGAAAATCCAAATCAGCCCATTTACTCAGAACTTGCTTTTTAAAAATTGATGCATCTTTTCCAACTTTTCAATGCAATCTTTTTCTTTTTATTTAGCTTAGACCCATCTGACTCTCCAAACTATTTTTTCCAATTTTTAAAATGTGTTTATTTCTTTTTTTATTAAGTTATAGAGTATTATAAAATACAAAAGTAAATACCCTGTTTCCCCCAAAATAAGACATCCCCTGATAATAAGCCCAATCGGGCTTTTGAGCGCATGGCAATAAGGTCAACTTATTTCAGGGTTCAAAAAAATATAAGACAGGGTCTTATTTTTGGGAAACATGGTAGAAGAACCTTAAGGGGGAAGGGGAAAGGGGAAAGTGAAGTGAGGAAAGATGGGGGGGGGACAAAAAGAAGAATTGACTTCCGACTCTCTGTTACAGTAGAATAAATAATGTTTAAAATGTTATATAAATGTCCACCAATTCTTACACCTGGGAGATTTTATTACCTTGCCAACATTTTATTACAGTTAACTAATTAATTAACTAACAACACACTGAAAAAATTAACTTGTAACAGATCCTAATGACAATCACAGTGCCTTTGGATCGTGTAATCACCACTCCGACTCTTGGCTACCATCACACATTTATGACAGTCACAGCACCTCAGTCACGATTGCCATTTGCAATCTTCCCAACTTCTGATAAGCAAAGTGTCACCGCCAAACTAAACCTGGCAGAAGCCATTTTTCTAGTTCATCCTTGCTACGGGAGGAAGGAGGTTGGAATGCCTTATTAGACACAATATAAATCTTTCTCGTGAGAACCAAGGTCATCTCCCTGGTGATGGGAGGAGGAGGAGAAGAGTGCCTGAGGAATCTGCCAATTAACCTAATTGGCCAATGTGACCAGTGACACTTGGGAAAGGGGTTATTGCTGGTTTAATTATGCTAAAACTGCGGGAGTTTCAGAGTTGGTTGCCAATATGATGTATCCAATAAAAAAGTTCTTTGAGGAAACAAGTGGCCTAGGAGTTCTGATTTGCCTGGAATTGTCCGTTGGAACCTTGACACAAAGTCAAGGTATCAATGTACCAAATAACATCTTTGTTTAAATCAACAACAGAACAATATCGGATATTATCTTGAATAATCCTTGCATAAATTTATATTGTATCAATACATTTGTAAAGTAAGCTAAGGTTTAAATGGCACAGAAGCTGTATCTTAAAATGATTTCTAATCAAAATATTTGAACTGGAAATATGTAGTATATAAATATATGCTTTCCAGAAAAATCCAGTTCATCAGAATTATTTACCTTTCGCGAAAGTGGATCGTCAAGATTCCGCCTCTCCTCTTCACGACGACGCTCCCGCTCTTCAATTTCTAATTCCCTTTGACGTTTCTTTCTTTCCACCTCTTCTAGTTTTTTAACACGTTCCTGATATTCACGCATTTCTAGTTCACGTTTTTCACGTTCAACACGTTCTTTCTCTTCTTGCTCTGTCCACACAATCATAAAAAAATAATAAAGCAACTTCCCATTTTGGATTAAAAATGGCTATTTCATCTTCAAATATACTGATTTGAACATTACTTCACACTTACACAGTTTGAAAGTTAGCTTTAATAAATTCAATTTTATAAATAATAGTTAAGGATGTGTGGCTTACTAATAAATATTTTAATGGAACCTCTCCTACTGTAGCAATTTTATATACATATTTCCCAATATAAGCAATTCAGTAAGAACATTTGAGCAAAATAGAGATAGTCCCCAGATAAAGAACAAGTTCGATTTCTAGCTGTCTTTAACTCAAATTTGTATGTAGGTTGGAACTCACTTACAAACAGACTAACTATGATTAGAAATAGCAGGCATGGAGTTAAGCTTATCTGACTTACAGATGACAATCTCATGATCACAGACACAGTGACGATTGTTACAATGGTTGCCAAACACCCTTATGACAATTATTTATTATTTATTTATTTATTTATTATATTTCTATACCGCCTTTCTCCCAAGGCGGTGTACAGTCAAGAAAAATATAGACACACAAACATCATAAAATTGCTAATTAAAATTATTACTTAGTTTGGTCAATTAAATAAAACCCAGAATTAGATAACATTTAAAAAATCATTCACATGTTCTTATGTTTAGCCCCGCCTGTTGGAACATCAGGGTCTTGAGGGTACGGCGGAAAGCACGGAGATCAGGGATATTCCGTATCTCCGGGGGCAGTTCATTCCAAAGGGTTGGAGCCCCCACAGAGAAGGCCCTCCCCCTGGGAGTCGCCAGTCGACATAATTTGACTGACGGTACCCTGAGTAGTCCCTCCCTGTGAGAACGAACTGGTCGGTGGGAGGCTATTGGTGGCAAAAGACGGTCTCGTAGGTACCCAGGTCCTAAGCCATGGAGCGCTTTAAAGGTGATAACTAACACCTTGAATCGCACCCGGAAGACCACCGGGAGCCAGTGCAGCTCGCGTAGGAGAGGTGTTACATGGGCGTAACGAGCTGCGCCCATAATCACCCGCGCAGCTACGTTCTGGACCAGTTGGAGCCTCCGGGTGCTTTTCAAGGGGAGCCCCATGTAGAGAGCGTTAAGTAGTCCATACGGGAGGTAACTAGGGCATGAGTGACTGTGCACAAGGCGTCCCGATCCAGAAAGGGACGCAACTGGCGGATCAGGCAAACCTGATAAAAGGCACCCCTGGCCACGGCCGTCAAATGATCTTCTAAAGATAACCGTGAATCCAGGAGGACACCCAAGTTGCGGGCCCTCTCTGTGGGGAGCAAGATCTCATCCCCTATTGTCAATGATGGTACCAGCTGACTATACCGGGATGCCGGAAGCCACAGCCACTCGGTCTTGGAGGGGTTGAGTCTGAGCTTGTTTCTCCCCATCCAGATCCGCATTATGTGGCTACAGGAACGCTGCAAGGGTCATAAGTATGAGGACCGGTTGTAAGTTGCTTTTTTTAGCACCATTATAACTTTGAACAGGCACTAAACAAATGATAGTGAATCAAACACTACCTCTATTTTGATTTGCCAGATACACTGAACAAATGCCTACTTTTAGTAACTGCCATGACACACATCTATCCAAAAAATTATGCAAAATTACTGCATTTTTCAGAGTATAAGACACACCTTAGTTTTTGGGAAGGAAAATTTGGGGGGGGGGGATCTGCCTACCAGGTATTCATCTGGCTAGTCCTTAGCCTGGTCAGCTTCGGCACATTAGTTCGGTTGCTGGTTTTGAGGTTGGGGCTGGTTGGGGCTAAAAAACAGCTTCTGAAGCACAGCTGATCGTTGGAGGGAATAGCAATTAGAAAAGCAGGGGAAGCACAGAAGGGATAAGAGAAGGCAGCAGCTGTTCCAGGTAGCCATTTTGGGCACCTCACGTCGCGTTTTCAGCCTCCAAATGCATCGCGTTTTCGGGCAGCGATGTGCTTTGGCGATCCCCGCAGCCTTGAAGGGCTCTCAAACGGACCGTTTGGAGGCTGAAAACGCAATGTGCAGAACCCAAAAACACAAGCCACTGTCGGTGGCATTGTCTGCAGCCAGGAAGAGGACGCACGGAGGCCGAAGGGTGGGGGCCCGTGGGTGGGTGCGGTTACATTCGGAGTATAAAATGCACCTAAATTTTCAGCCTCTTTTAGGAGGAAAAAATGTGTGTCTTATACTTCGAAAAATATGGTACTATTAATAAATATAAGATCGGTATAAATAGAAAGATGAGGATAGATAAGAGTGTTACTTTAGGAAGAACCTTTCAGCATTTACCTTTAAGCATCTTTTCCTCTTGCAACCTTTGTTCTTCCTCCTCTTTCTCACGATAGTAAGTAATGCGTCTTTCTTCTTTGCGCTCTCTCTTACGTTCCTCTAAACGATTACATCTTTCCTCTGCTAATCTTTCTTCAAATTGTTTAAGTTTTTCCTGAAACAATAATACTTAAACTGGAACTACAGAAATAGTAGTTCCAAGACACACAGAAGATCAAATATGGATATATGCCAAATTACATTCTAGCTTTGCAGATGTTGATAAAAACACACTGGGATTCTATCCACTTGGAGAGCTAATTATACAAAGCCATACAAGAAAACAAGTACTGTTTACGTTCTTGTAATAATATGAAGATGTAGAGTAACAGACAACAAAATGTAAATACTATGAACTGTCCACAGAAAGTAAACTCATGCTGATTTCATAAATAATATTCCTGTCTTTTTTTGTTGCTTGATAGTATATAAAATAGATTTCAAATATAAGTGGTACAACTCAAGAACTGAATGTAGCTTTCCAAGCCATTGCCCCATTCCAAGGAGCAGAGTCAAATCTGCAGGATGGGAAAGCGAATTGAGGAACCTTTCTTTTAACCTTTAAAGGCAAACAAGGTCAAGAAAAAGAAATTATAGTACTACATAGAATGTAATACTATAAGAGAATTTTGAAAGTCTGTCAAAACCATCATTTTAACATATTCTTAATCCAGTCAAGACAGAATTGTTCTGATGCTAGAACTCAGTTTCATTTATTTGTTTATTATTTATTTATTGCTCACCTATCTTACTTCAAGGTAACTCTGGGCATTTTTTTCTAACAGTTGCACATTCTCCTGAATTTTATCAGACATACAGATAAACACTCAAATAAAAAATACAAACAGGGAATGTTGAAGGCAACCCTAGCCAATTTTGGCTAATGCCACAAATGTCAAACATGGTGCTGATTTTTTAAGATATTGCCTGCCCATTCTAATATATGACTGTATTAAAAGATACCATATGTAGGATTATATTTAGCAAAAAATTAAATGTACCTCATAAACTGATCTCCTTGCAGTCTTGAGCCTAGTTATAAACAAATCACTGTCTTCTATCATCCGTGACATTCTATTCTTATGCTCAAGAGCCTTTTCACGTTCCTGTTGCATGGTGGTGATCTGCAACACATTCAAAGTCAAATCAAATCAAATCAATATACTGTTGTATATGATGTTCACATTCCAATGCCTAAAATTTAGCAGACTTAAGTTTCACGCTGAAGATTGAGGGGCCTGTTACATGTAGTCCTTGATTTATGACTATTTCTTTAACAATCATTCAAAGTTATGATGGCACTGAAAAAATGTGATTTAGAACCAGTCCACTTTATGACCATTGCAGTCACTCCAGGATCACATGATCAAAATACAGGCGCTTCGCAACCAGCATGTATTTACAACGGTTGCAGAATCCTGGGTCTCATGATTGCAATTTGTGACTTTCCTAGGGGGCTTCTAATAAGCAAAGTCAAAGGGGGGAGCTGGATTTAATGAATGAATGCAGTAAAAAGGTCATAAAATCAGCAAACGTAACTACATCACTTAGGGACAGAAGTTCCAGTCCCAATTGAGATCCTAAGTCAAGGACTACTGTATATGTACTTATGGTTTTGCATTAAGTACATAATTTTAGCCATTATACAATTGGAGAAACTTTACAGCAATTAAGTAAATTTACTTATAGCTTACATAATTTATTCTGTTGGAAGATATGTATTCTGTGGTGACAAAATTCAAAAGAGACTGGAATTTTTCAATACTAAAAGTAACAATAATGATTTTGTACATGAAATGTTGCTAGTGGGCAAGCAAATTAATTGGAATTGAAAGTTTACTAGAAAAATAATATTACCAAGAATTGCTTCTCAAATAAGCAAGCTCTCCAAAATCTTACCCTTTCTTCTTCTTGCTGTTCCCAAAGATCCATATCTCTGATTCTTTGTTCTTCATAGGCAGTCTTAATCAGTGGAATTTCTTCTAAACGTTTTGCTCTTTCAAAATAGTCAATCTAGATTTTTTAAAAAAGTTGATTAATTCTCTTAAAACTTGAGAAAACAAAAATGTTTTCGGTTCAGTTGTAAGTGCTGTTGTTTTTTGCCTACTCCACACTGGATTTTCATTTACCTTTTTCTCCTGATTCTTCAGACGTTCTTGCAATTCCTTCTTTTCTTTTTCAAGCTGTTCAACCTGTTTTGCCATAATGAAGTCTGGATCCAATTCTTCAAGATCCTACAAATAATAAATATTAAAATATTAAAGATTTCAAAAGGGTATGAACACATTTCTTCAGTTTAAATACACTGTATTTCCCATAATACATTTACTTTGTTTTTCCTTAAACATTTAGTATACTTATCAATTATTTTAGTATCATAGAATGTAGTACTTTAAGTCAAATTGGGGAAAATACATTAAAGTTAGAAGCCTAATCCAGACAAGATGGAAGACAAGCCGGTGAATGTTTAGCTGGGAATACCCACTTTAGGAAGAATCAGGAATAAATGCTAGAATAGCACAAATCTGAAATCTGAAACTCTGAAGTCGCTAGATCATCTTCTTTATTTTAGTATAGTGGCAACAGAAAACTTGCTTTGAGTTACAATCCTTTTATTCTTAACTGAAAAGATTTCAGGCAGCATGGCAGTGCATTGTTCAGAAAAATTGCCTTTAACAGGAGGCCAGGCCATAAATTAAAAAATAACTCATTACCACACAGAAATAACCCTCACCTCAATATCAATATCTTTGAATGCCTTGGCTCCCAGCTCTGTCTTCTTAATCTGCTCCAAACGTTCACGAACAGTTTTCTTTTTAATTTGCTCATGTTCCTGCAGAATACGCTCTTTTTCACGCTCTTTTGCCTCCTGGCGCAGTCTCTCTTCTTCAGCTTTGCGAACTTTTTGGAGTTCAGCTTCACGCTGCTCCAGCTCTTCTTTTTCACGCTGAATGTTCAAACTCTCAAGACGTTCCTTTCTTTCTTCAATAGTTTGCCTGCGAGCAAGGATACGCTGATGTTCCTTCTTTGAATTTTTTAAGTAAGCTGTAACTGCCTGTTGATGTTGTTCTTCCTTTTCTAGCTGAATAAAGGTTAACAACGTAACAAGATTATTTTTTGAGATTCAAATGCTACAAAAGATAATATACATTACCAAAATTCAGAATACTATTTATTTAAATCAGCAGAAAAAGCGATTTTGAAGATTTTATTGCTATAATCTGAGCTTTCTAACACATGGGAAAAGGCTGTTTCCTATGTCGCTGCTAAACTATGGAATGCTCTCTCTAGGAAGGTATGTGTAACTCCCACCTTCATAAAATGGCAAAAATGCATCTCTTTTACTCAGTGTTAGCTATTCACTAATTTTAATTGGATTAATTTAAAAATAATATTTTATATTTTTCTATTCATTCTGATAAGTCATGGTTTTCGTAAGTAAAAAGGCAGAGATATAATAAATAAAAAAAATTACTAGTGCCATCTTCATGTTGTCATTACAGCTGCTGATTAATCTTAATGTACAGAGATATCTAGAGCAATATCATTCAAGGATCTGATTTCCAATAAATAACTGAAATCACAAATTGTCAATCATTTGGAAATGGAAAAACCATAATATATCCATATCATGTTATAAAAATATTTTTAAAATCACTTTCTCTAATAAAATCTTGCTGCTTACTAGAAATTTCAATTAGAATGCCGTCTCCCGTATTTTCTCTAATTAAAGGCTTTAGTCATAGGAAACAACTTTGTCTGAAAATATGCCCAACTATTAGAAAAACAACAAAGTTAAACAGAAATGGTAAAGAGTATCCTGTAGAAAGAGGATGGATGACAGAATTCCAGTAAAATGGAACTCTAAACAGCTGTGGGCCAACCATTGCAACCATTTACAAAAGTCCTGAGAAAATTTCTCACAATTCCAAATATGCCCATCAAAGCAAAAACCTAACTGAAAGCTTTTAGTAAATTCATTAAAATATGCAAATAAATATTAGTCACTCATGATATATTTTACTGTACACATTGATTAGCATACCAATAAGAATTAATTGTGTATTTCTGGATTCTTTTAGAGTTAAGTCCACCAATTAAATTTTGAAGAACTCTGGATGTTGCAATGGTTTTAAGTTTGAAAAATGGTTAAGTCACTTTTTCAGTGCTGTGCTAACTTTGAACTGTCACTAAACAAATGATTGCAAGTCAAGGACTACCTGTAGGACTATCTGTAGTTGCTTTAGATCACAGGTGTTAAACTCATATCACGTGATGTTTCACCACCTTTTCCCCATTCACGGAGCTGGAGTAGGCGTGGCCTACATGCGATGCATCCCGCCCACGGACCACCAGTTTGACACTCTTGCTCTAGATCATTACTCTTCTATATTCCTCCCTCACCCTCTCCCCATTCAAGAAGGCCCCAAGTATTTTGTTGCCTGAAGTAGAATAGCAAATAGAAAAGCTTGCCTGTATTATGCCTGAGATAGTAGCTTCACTCTTTGTCACTCTTTATCACTGACTTACAAGTGATGTAATTCAGTTTTCCCACACATATTTTGGGGTTACAATGGCAACCAGGTCTGCTTGGGACTGTTGTTGCTACACGATGTAGTCACATGACATTATATTATAACCGCATTGCTTAGCAATGGCAATCCAGGTCCCTACTGCAATTATAACCTAAAGCGCAAGAATAAGAACTTTCACTGACCCTTTGATCTTTATGTTGGCCTATTATGACAGTCCTGGATTCTGAAAGTACAATGAAGTCTGTCCTCAAGTTCACTAAGGCACCCACCACCCCCTTTTGAAATATAACTTTTATTGACTCAATTGGCAGTTTTATTGACCAAAAGATTGGCAGTTCACTCCGTTCTATCCGGCGCATAGCATATAAGCGCTGCTTGATCAGGGTCCACAGTATTGTCAGAGATGCTACAGATCCTCTCCATAACCTGTTTTCCTTGATAGCTTCTGGGAGGAGGTTTCGTGGTATCCGAAGCAGAACTGTGATTCACAGTTTTGTTCAATATAGTATCAACCTTGTGAACTCTCAAGTTTCCTCTTTCCGCTATGTATTCAAAATGGACAGTGATTAATATGTGTGTATGTGTGTGTGTCTATACATGTGTGTGTGTGCATGTGTGTATGTGTGTCTATACACAGAGAGATTTTTTTTCACAGCAGGCAACAGAATTTCATTTTTAATGTGTGCCAGTGTGACCACAGTAAAAAAAATGACAATAGAGATTATCTTATCATAATTAAGCTGAGATGCTATAGATGCTATTTTAGCATCTAAAAATTGTAAAATAATTCATTTCATCTCCTTTTTATTTCCCATGTGTGAGTTTTCCCCTTTGGGACTAGAATCATGGGAAGGACCCCATTTTACTAGAGAAACAAGAAATGTGAATTAGAAGGAAAAGAAGCAGCACTCTGATCATAACTGAGCACACCAAAGCTTCCCCAAAGTACACAATATTTTTAAAAAGCAGACCAAAAGCTATGATTTACCAATAGATGAGGTGGCTTAATAAATTCTAGAGCCTTTGCAAGTGCAGATGACATGGCCGTCAGCTGGTTCCTAATCTGCTCAGAAGGCATGCTCTGCAGCTGAGGTCCAAGAGGAGCATCTTCTCGGGTGCAATAGTTTAAATCGGACCCAAAACTTAATGTTCGGGTGGTATGATCAATGCGAACCTTTAAAAAGTAAAGTCAGTAAAAATTAGTAAATAAAAAACTGTAAACTGCTTAGAGGGGGCTGTAAAAGCATTGTGAAGCTGTATATAAGTCTAAGTGCTATTGCAATTGCTATACTACTGCTCTTAAATACTTAGAATGCTAAGAATTCATTTCAAAAACAGTTAATACATTGACATATTATTTAAACACTAAGTTCTGTTCTATTTTTTGTCATCCAAGCCTGCACATGGAAAACCTAATTTTAAAATAAAACTGTATTCTGCTTTTAAATGATACATACCTGCATGTCAACAGACAGCTAAAATGAAACAATCTACCTTCTCCAACACACACATTTTTTGGCAAGATTAATGTCTATTTAGCCAACTAACAGGATGCTATGCATGTGCATTCAATAATATACTAAGTTCCATTGAATGAGTACACCATAAACAAACACAGAATTACAGCTTAAACATTAAAGCTCCACTTTCTAAATATGCTGCCAGAAATAAGTAGTTAAAAAGAAAGCTTATTCAGTAAGATATTGCGATTATGTTCATTTATACTTCTAAATATCAGTAGTTTGGGAACATACTCGTTTGGATTATTCACTACTTTAGTATGCAGAAGGTAATTCAGAGTAATGGGCTTTTACTTTATACCGTCTTTCATTTAAGCAAAACATACCGAAGCTGCTTGTTTGGGTTTCATAAGTATAAAGGTTTGTGAGAATGACCTTGATGAATGAGGGGGAGAGATGCTATCTAGGAAATTATCAGGTAAACGTGGTAGCCCTCAGTTGCTTAAGATCAGAGGAAGAAATTTAAGAAATACCCACCCTAATTGATCAGGTAGCTGAAAGTGGTGAGAGGAAATCTATATTTACAGATTTGCAAGATTCTGTTAATGTATCCTTACAATAAAATAGAATTAGCTCATCCACTTATGTTTCCTGTCTGGTTTACCTGGGAGGGCTGACAATAAGATGTAATACCTGCTACTTTCTGTTTTTAATAATGAAAAACTCAGATTTAAAGAACAACAAATATGTACAAATATCGGACTCTTGTCCAGATCACTCACTTGTAAATCACAGTGTCTGGCTGCATCAACAATGGCACGTTCTAGTTGGAAAGCATCCACGAAAGGAACCAAAGTAGTCAGGCGAGAAAATTCAATGCTTTGATAAATTTGAGCCACCTGCAAAAATACAGAAATATTCATCTCTTTCCAATAAATCATATCAGTTTCCTAACACTCAAAATTTTTAAAGAACTCAATCAACTTTAAGAACTTCAAGATCAACAACAATTATTCAAATATAAATAATACTTTATATTAACAACTGCCATTTATTTTTTTAAAAAATACACTATTTTGAGCAGCAACCATGTACGAAGGAGACTGGCAGCAATTCTAAATGAAGCAAAGCTGCTAATTAGCCTTCACAATCTCCCTTTAGCACACCAGAAATAACACTGCTTACCAATGCAAAGGAAGCAGGTCAATGATATGTGCTTTAGAATCAAAAGACCTTTAACGCATTCAGATACATAAATTAATAATATAGATATATTAAAGATGCATAGTGAAAAACATTTACAATTACAATTCAATATTTTAAAAGTATTGTTTTACAACCATACCTGCTGAAGTAGTCTAAGGATGGTGTTGTTTTGCAGATGAGGAATATATAATTGCAATTCTGGCTCTTTCTCAGATTGATCTCTTACCCAGTTTAAAACCTGCACAGAACCGGTGCATCAGTAAATGGTAGTAGGGTTGATTTAGATAGTTAGGTTTTTCTCACTAGCTCACACTATTTTTTTCCACTAATGCTCTCATATTACAACAAAAGTGAAAAATCTTGGCCAGGTTATCGTTCGTGCAAATATATGTATCATTCCCTCTCTCTCTCTCTCTCTCACACACACACACACACACACAGAGGGAGAGGGAGGGAGAGGGAGGAAGGGAGAGGGCAAATGATACACATATGATGCACTTGCTTCTCACCTGATATGCTACAACTGCTGTCTCAGTAATACATAGGAACATGCCTAGAAATGAAAATTAATGCAAACTGAGACAATCACTGAAAAATGTGCATAACATTTGCTAGGAAAAAAAGCACTTAAAAGTCACAAATATTAACTAGTTCAGTGCTAATAGTAATTTCACTATTTCAACAAATATGTATCAAGTTTAAATGTGTTTAACTATTATTATCAATGACTATATATATCCGTGATGGTGAACCAATGGCACCATACTCAGCTGTACATCTCCACCCCAGACCACCCCAACGATGCCCTTGATGTGATGTCTCGCTGCCTGGAAGCCGTGCGGGTCTGGATGGGGAGAAACAGGCTCAGACTCAACCCCTCCAAGACTGAGTGACTGTGGTTCCCGGCGTCGCGATATAGTCAGCTGGTGCCATCGCTGACTATTGGGGGTGAGTCTTTACCCCCCACAGAGAGGGCCCGCAATCTGGGCATCCTCCTGGACGCACGGCTGTCTTTAGAACAACATATGACGGCCGTGGCCAGGGGGGCTTTTTATCAAGTTCGCCTGATCCGCCAGTTGCGACCCTTTCTGGACTGTGCCCTTGCGCAGTCACTCACGCCCTTGTCACCTCCCGACTGGACTACTGCAATGCTCTCTACATGGGGCTCCCCTTGAAAAGCACTCGGAGGCTCCAACTGGTCCAGAATGCGGCCGCGCGGGTGGTTATAGACGCAACTCGTTGTGCCCACGTGACACCCCTCCTGCGCGAGCTGCACTGGCTCCCAGTGGTCTTCCGGGTGCAATTCAAGGTGTTGGTTACCACCTTTAAAGCGCTCCATGGCATTGGACCTGGATACCTTCGAGACCGTCTTCTGCCACCAGTAGCCTCCCACCGGCCAGTTCGCTCCCACAGAGAGGGTCTCCTCAGGGTGCCATCGGCCAAATTATGTCAGCTGGAGACACCCAGGGGGAGGGCCTTCTCTGTGGGAGCCCCTGCCCTTTGGAATGATCTGCCCCCAGAAATTCGTAAAATCTCTGATCTCCGTGTGTTTCGCTGTGCCCTCAAAACCATGTTGTTCCGCCAGGCTGGGCTATCAATGTAAAGATTTTAATTGGTTTTAAATGGGATTTTAAATTCGGGGTTTTATAAATTGGGCCTATTATTTAATAATTTTAATTGTTTTTAAATTTTGTCTGTCTTTGTGTTTTTAATTAGGCTGTACACCGCCCTGAGTCCTTCGGGAGAAGGGCGGTATAGAAATAAAATAAAATAAAATAAAATAAAATAAAATAAAATAAAATAAAATAAAATAAAAATAAAATAAAATAAAATAAAATAAAATAAAAATAAAAAAAAATAAAATAAAATAAAATAAAATAAAATATAAATAAAATAAAATAAAAATAAAATAAAATAAAATAAAATAAAATAAAATAATAAAATAAATAAGTTCCAGAGGTGGCACGCAGAGCACTGTGCTGTCGCCACCTGCACTTCTGGTTTCCGGCGAGTGCATGCACACCGGCCAGCTGATTTCATGTGTGCCGGAGCCTGGGAAACTCAAAGACCAGCTGGCCGGTGCACATGTGTATGCCGGTCACTGGTTTTTGGGTTTCTGGTGCTCCAGCATGCGCGAAGACCAGCTGGCCGGTGCACATGAGCACACTGGAAACCAGAAGACCAGGTGACCAGAACACGCATGCACCCCAGCCAGCTGGTCTTTGAATTTCCGGGGCTGCGGCGTGCACGCGCGTTCCATTTTGGGCACTTGGTCCTGAAAAGGTTCACCATCACTTATATCATCATCTATTACTTAATAAATCTTAAGAAAAAAAAATATACTGTATTCTGCAATTGTGAAGGAATTCTAGATTTCAGTAGTATACTGCTGAACAAAAAATAACTGCTATTTCCATGAATAGTAATGAAACATAAAATCTTGCAATAGTTTTTCCAGTATCACCTCTATCAATAGTGAAGAATTAAAGATTTGCTATTTGATTCAGTACCAATTGTGTAAATGCAAATTCATCTAAAATTTCGTTAATTAATAAACACTTCTGAATGCTATGTATAATTTTAAAAAAGGTAGTTTCTTAGAATGAAAACATATTGAAGAATTGGCAACAATAAAGACTGTTTCATTTACAGGCTTTTTAAAAGAAAATCTCCTATCAAGCAGATCAATATAGGACTTAGCCCAGGTTCACTGTTGTGAGATGGGAAGCTGTATAAGATAAACAATAAGAAAAAAAATCACACAATAATCAAGATCTAGCACTTTTTTTTGCACAGTTCAACTTAATAAAAAAAAATCATTTACTATAAACCATTTGCATTAGCACCTGTCTCAAAATCTTACCTTGCATACGCGGCCACATAACTTCAGTGGATGAAAATCTACCTCAAGCCAGTTATAAAGCTCTTTTATCTCTGGGACAACATACTGAACTACATTAAATCTCACCTATGAAACATGAATTAGAAACAATTGTTAACACCAATGACTATTCTCAGATCCGGTTTCATACACATATAGGCACATTTTAATACTAAAGATTACAATACACCGGTATCGATATTAAGCATATTCTAATTTATAAGTAAAGGGCTAAAATGTCACTTACTGCAAATAAAGCCTGAATAACATAAACTAGCAACATAAATGTGTTTAAGGAACGTACTTACCATATCATTAATAAGAGAAATTCGAGTAGGTGGAGACTGAAGTCCTAACAATGTTGCCAATCGGCGTTGCTTTTCAACAATTATGCCATCCATGTCCAAAAGCCGAGCTATGTCAGTTCGTTCAGGAGTTATTGGAATTGACAGAGTAGCCAAAAGCACTCTTGTTGACATCCTGCAGACAAAGAGAAGGAAATAAGATAATTTGGGATAGAATCCCTATTCTTTACATTTAAAGAGTTAAGAAAGTGTCTTCTACTCTCCTACCTCTATATTTCTTTACCTAAAACAGTGCACTCATTATGTCAACAATCTATTTATTCTCTCCTCCAGCCATACACCCTTTTATCTTTTCACACCTTCCTGAGCAACGTTAGGTATATGCAAGGAACACAGCAGGAAAAATTCCATTGTTGTTTTATAAAGTCCACTGAAATAATATTGGATATAGCTAAATGGAAGTTCAAAACTGCTATTAATGATTCCAAAAACAAAATTGCTCCAAGCCATGGATTTTTCCCACCTCTGCATCTCCTCTTGTGTGAGATTTTTTCGCATTTCTCTTGAAAGATGATAAAGACGATGAAGTGTAGATGCATGAAAGAGTGCATTTCCTGATTTCCAAAATACGGTAGAAACTTTGTGGTAATAATTTGCCATCAGCTGGGGCTTTGGTGGCTTTTTGGATAAGGAAAATAGCCCATGTATATCTTCCACAGCTTTAAAAGCTTCCTAAAAAAAGAAGAAGAAGAACTATATGTCAAATTACCACAAGGAAAAAATTTAAGGAATATCACACACTGAAATCTAATCGACTGATTTAATATACATGTGTTTATTACTAGTACTTGAATCTAAGCACATTTATTTGGAAAATCTCCATTATAAATAAATTGTACATCCACTTATTTTTAGCACTCAAATTTGCACCTAATTCATCCCCTATCATTGCCTTAACCAGTGATTCATCAACCTCAAATTGAGAAATATATTGCACACTCTCACACAGTATTCAATTTAATAGAGCCAATCTGGTCTAGCAGTTAAGTACCAGGCTGAAAACAGGGAGACCATGAGTTCTACTTCCATCTCAGCCACAAAAGGTCAGTTGGCTGATCTTGGGCCAATCACTCTCTCTCAACCCAATTCACCTCACAGGGTTGTTGTTTTTGGAAAAATAGGAGGAGGATGTGTTGGATGTCTGCCACCTTGAGTTATTTGTAAAAGCTATATCCTGAGGCACCAATTGCTCTTGGTTTTGAGAGGATAAAAATTGGTTTTAAAAATCCTAATGCTTCTAAACTCTGTCTCTCAACCCTCCAAATAATTTACAACAATCTTCTCTTGCCTATTGTATAGGGTCCTTTTTATCCCTTACAGAAGTTACTCTATCACTAGGTTGAAGTTTTCTGGGCAGCTCCTAACTTCTACAATGATTCTGTTTCAGTAACTTGGGAACCTGCCTACTGTTTTCTTAGTATTATAGTTCCCATCACTGTGATCTCTTCCCCAGTCATCTTCTGAGTCCTCCTTCCCTTTTCTCTATAATTTCTCCACTGTCCTTTCTCCTTCCATTCCTTTCACAGCCTTTTTCCTTTGCCTTAGAAGCCATGTCTTCTTGATTTACGTCCTGGACAATTTGAACAACCCTTGTATTGAAAATGGCTCAAATCTATTTCCAGGATCTACTTTTGGAGAAGATGCACATGCTAATTCTGAATATATATATATTAGTTGGGCAGCTGAATTTGTCTCAGATCAATTCTAATCATTAAGTAGAATAGGCATGGATAGTAAAGCAATTTCAATAGCTGACTAAAATGGCTCAAAGCATAAAATGGAATTTAAAATTAAATGAAGACAGAAAATGAAGAAATATGACAATGCTTTGATATTGTATTAAATATGTACCTGCCACAACTCCATGCTGATAGCACTGTCCAATTGTACAAGTCTAGTTTCCAAATGCATTGACTGACTTTCTGGATTATTGAGGTTGATTGCTGTACTTTGATTGTGATGACGCTGAATTTGACCCAAATGCATTCTTAAGTTGTCACAGAGTTTACGAAATTCAGCCTTACGAGTATATTGCAAACAGAACTTGAAAGCTGCAAGATTAAATTATTCCAAATTGATATTTTAACACTTATGAACATGATAAAAATATTACTGGCAGCAATAAACTGGAGAGTTATTTCTTCCACTTATTCTCTTCATGAAAAGCTAGATTTTTCTTTTAAATTGCACTGTTAAAATATTTTTCAGGAAAAGATTATAATTCATTGTTTAAAAGAAAAAGTCATTCTATCAGAAGTTGACAAATAATCACATATATATTATACAAAGATACTGCAGAGTTTAAATGTTACCTTGTTGGGCAATATCATGATACAGTCTCTCCACCCTGGAATTATTTCTGAGAAGATCCAAACACTGCCTGTATGATTCCCACAGAAACTTAACCCACGGAGTCAAAAGTAACCGATCAGTACGATCTTGGGTATCTTCCCCACTTACAGCACTTAAGAGAACACTAAGAAACAAAGAGTATTTTATATTGTATAATTGGATATTTTATCACATTATTCTTGCTTGTTACAACAGATCAGGTGATAATCAAGAAAAATTACAGTGCAGAAACACATCTATGAAGGACTTATAAAGCAAATTTTGGGGAGGACAGATGTAAAATTGCCATGACTCCAAACTAAAATGCTAAAATATAATCTGACACACAGATTAATCCAGAAAAGATTCAGTTTGGTAAAGGCATTCATGTGAGGGGAACCAGATAACAAGTAAGTAGGATTATTTAAAAATAAATATGTTTAATATGAACCAAATTAATGTAATCAAAAGTAAGCATCACTTTTACCTTTCTGGAGTCTGAATATTATCAAGATCTTCTATATCTAGGACCATCTGTTGAGATTCTTCTTTAGCAGCTTCAGTTTTTTCTTCTGCTAGTTTTAAATAAGCTCGTACTACATCCTCCAAGGACTTAATATTTACCTGTATCAAAATCAGAAGAGCTAAAGTAGCTTTTCTTAATCAGGGATAAAATCTATGTAGGAAATTCAAATTTCAATAAAATATATTAACTTCATATAGTAATAAGACAATGAAAGCCTTGTTCTGTTGTTCAGGTTCCAAAGAAGCTTCTTAATAACAGAAATCAATTATAATATGAAATATATCTACCTAGATGAATCCTAACAAGTTATTCTTCAAATGATTGGATCATGTAATAAGATACCAAATATGTATGTTCCAGAACCTCTACATTTATTTGTTATTAAAATGCTGATATTTACTTTCCAATTATTAGTATAATTAAACTTTAGAAGTTTTACCTGCTGACATATATTCTTGTATTGATATAATCCTTCCTTTGCCAGGTGGCTCTTCCGGAGGTCCACACACAATTCTAAGTATTTTAGCATAATTGGTTCGTGGATCTTTTGCCATGTTCGGTGTTTTTTACTTTTCATAACATCATACAGAACATCAAGAGCAGGTTGTTTCTTCCCAACCTCAAGAAATTCTAGAAAAATAAACAATGGTTAATGCTCAATTCCATTGAAGACTACTTGTCTATTTTTAAAAATTTAAACTATAAAGGAATGAACTGTTATATATGATTAAATTAAGCTTTATAAACAGCACCAAGCTGTTAATGTTTATAAAAAATAAGAATCAGTTGTAAGTAACCAGCATAATTATATAATTATCCTGGTTATTAAAATAATATATGTAAAATATATTTTCCTTTTTTTTCTCTTTGTTTGGGATTTTTCCATATTTTTTCTATACTTCTGATTTCTATTTTTTCTTTAAGTTTAAATACTGCTTTATTGTGTTAATTAAATATTGTTAATTAATTGTATATAATTTTAATTAGGAAGGGAGGGAGGGAGGGAGGGAGGAAGGAAGGAAGGCAGAATAAACAACTTTCAAAATTCAAGATATAAATTATTCTAACATTTTCAGAAAAATTTAGACGCTCCAAACTATTTATAGATATCCGTAGGTTGACAGGTGAAATAATGTTCATGACTGGATAAACAGGTTGGAGATTAACTACAAATTCCAAGTTTCAAAGAGATTTCAAGAAGCTGATTCTGAGTGTGCTTTGGTTATATTAACCTTTAGTGCAGGTCCTATTTTGAAGGATAGAATCTGAATGCAAGCAAGCTGACACAATTGCTACACAATGATGCCTGAATTTTCATTCCCACTATGATCAATTTTAAATAGCCCTTCTTGTTTTTTTGGTTTGAAAATCAATCAATATAATTTGAGGAAGAAACAAAAGAATATGTTGCTAAACATTATTCCTTATTTCCTTTCATTTCTGTCACACAGTAATCCCTTCTAATCACTCTGGGTGATTACTTTTGGGGATTGAGATGAGGGGAAATCTACCTCTATAGTTCCTATTAGAGGTCTCAGTGATGTTTCTTACTAAAGTCCAGCATTTCCTAATGGTCTGAGGACACAGGAGGGTTCCCAAGACTCTCTCAATAGTCTGCAAAATCAGAATTATTTGCCAGATATTAAAGACACTTTCAAAAATTTAAAAGTTACTTTTATTACTTTTTAATAAAAAATAAGGTTTTTAATAAAAATATTTTGATATTATCAAATGAGCTTAATATTGTTTTAAATAATTCAATAAATATACTATGAATCCATCAATTTTAATTGTAATATGGTAAATAATGATAAATATAATACATACAAATAAAAGCTCTTTTGGGTCCTCCATAAATTTTATAAGTGGGAGAGATCCTGAAAGCAATATTTTTAAAGAACCCTGGGATAGACCATTATATCCTTCTGATATGTTCTGCGAGGTTTGGGAGTGGGGGTGCATATTATAGTACTTCCTTCCCCCCACCCCCGACCGAATGGAAGAGTTGGCATGCGGGAGGAAGTGAGTCCCAGACTCTTCCGGTGTGTGCTATTCTTCATATATGTCTTGCATGTTCCTTTAGCTTCCTCCAATTTTATAATTTTGGGTACTCTGTGTTTTTTGTACTGTGTTAATTAAAAGAAAAGCATTTTTGAATTTGAAATTGACTGCTGTTGGCAGACTACCAAATGTAGAAATAGGTACTGTGTTTATAAATTAGAAAACAAAAAAAACTTTTAGTCAATGTCAGAATATATACTTTGCTGTCATTATTATTGATATATTGTTTTAAAGTAGATAAAATTATATCTTATTTTTATGGGCTTCTACAGTTTATGAAAATGCACTTAAGTTATTTTATTTCATACAAGAATTGAAAATTAAAATTAAAAGTTACCCGTTAACTTTTTTTATAGACTAGATAAATAGCAGTAAGTATAGGCAAACATGTTTCCTATGTTTGCATACGTAGAATGAAAAACAGGGAAGCAAAATTTGCTATGAATTTGTATTTTCCTTAAGCAGAATACCTAGAATGTTGATTTGTTACATCAGAATTTTCAATGGTATTTTAAGTGTTGCATCAGAAATTGATTAATGTATAAAAATAATTTCCAATTCAGCTCCATTCAAACATGTTTGCCATGTTGGCTGCAGATGACCCCTGAAGTTCCATACACACAGCATATTAATTGGGAAAACTAGCTTAGATGCATACACAGGCAGTTTTTCTTCGTTTCATAAAATTTAACAGGAATAATGGAACAATCCTATAAAATAATCCTCAGAAAATAAAGATTATATATAGGCCATATAGACTACTGTTATAGTTAAACTTAATGTCCAGGTATATTTCTTAATCTTTAGAATTTCAGTACTGTCTAATTACATTAGTTAAGTACAAAGATTGTGTTACCCTTCTTCCTATTTCTAAGATTTTATTATTTGCAATTCATAAGCCTGACTTTTTGGAAGAGTTTTCATAGCATACTAAATCATGTCTATTAAACCATATTTTGATCAGACCACACTAAATTGGGTAAATTCCACAGTGTACTAAATATGTAAAAACTAAGGTTTACAGAATGGCTGGATACAGATAATTCACAATGCCCAGTCCAAATCCTCCCTCTGTTTTTATGTTTCTATTACAGGAATTAATTCAGAGTAGAATCCAAACAAATGGTTATAATTTAGAATGTTATATTAATCAGGCTTCACCCTCTAGTACTGAGCGTAATCTGTATAAAGTTAAAGTGTTATGTTCAGTAAGAACAATGTGTAATGAATCAAGAATTGTAGAATTGATTTACCCTTTTGCACTTGTACTATGATTAAATTGTATTAAACAGGGTGAATTTCCTCATGAATAAGGCACACTGAATTCTTTATAAAAATGACCTAAAGTAATATTTAAACAAATATTGTTCTATAACTCTCTTGTGCAAAATAGTGTAATTTACATGTTGTTAGACTGTTTATATGCTATTATACCATTAGTATATTGATAGAAATGAACAATACATAGTTCCAATTTTTCCAAGCCTATAAATTTCTCAACAGCTGTTCAGAAATTCCAGACTATGATTAAATATTTGGCAAACAACTTATTGGTTGTTCTAGTTAGTTTGCATATGATTTTTGGCCAGTCACTCTCGGTCCAACTCACCTCACAGGGTTGTTGTTGTGGAGAATATAGGAGGAAGGAGAATTAGACAGATTTGCTGCCTTGGGTTATTGATAAAAAGAATAATGGCAGAATAAAAATAAAAATAAGCTGCCCTTGATTTAGATCCAAATGCCAAAATTTATCCATACCTATACACTGTATGCATATATGTGTAAAATCCTATTCACCATTTTTCAACTATGGCTTGTCATCAACATATTTCACATTGTACGGTATGGTGTGTTGAAGATAAACAGGAAATATGGTCAAGAACTTTTTAATACTAAACTGCTGCAACATGTTATATCTAAATTATGTATCTTTTACAAATGAATAAAATGAAAAATGTAGGTAACAGGACTGAGCAATATGAAATAGAACCACTCAAATATATTTATTGCATTATTTTTTACCAATTGTTTCAACTGAAATTCAAAATCTAACTGAATTTTGGTTTGTAACAGATGTACAAATAGATTTTGGCCAATGACTATAATTCCATCAAATTACAATGGATACTTATTTTGATAAACAATTTTTACAAATAGTTCTTTAATTTGTAAAAGTGCTTATATCCCAATTAAAAATATACATTAAAAGGAGTTTTTATATCCCTATATATTAACACCATATGTTTACTGGAATTTTCAGGTTGCCATACAAAAGACTCAGAAGAGGTTTGGGGAAATATGATGTACATGAATTCTATTTTAAAGACAGTAAAATATATGAACGTTTTGCAACAGTGCAATAAATAAATAAATAAATAAATAAATAAGAATATATTAAGTAATTGTCCCTTTGAACTAGCCTTGTGATTTCCAGGTGGTCACCCTACTGGCTTTTCTACTGGAAACCAAGAATTGTTCTTAAGTCCCAATGTGTCAGCATTTCCTTATAGCAACTCTTAACGAGTTTTATTTTAATTACATATATTAAGCAGTTATTATTTTTTTGGACTTGAGATATGAGAGATAAGGAGAAGACAAGACGACTTGCACCTTCTGTGTTTATAACTTTTTACCTTTAATCACGGAAAGACTAAACCTGGAAAAAAGTGTTCAATGTGTTCTCTAATATAAATCGGTTTCTAGAAAATAGGAACAAGTTTTAGGGGCTACACAGTGATCTGTGAATATATCCGGGGGAAAGCACATAGGTCGTCCGTTGAAACTTGCAGTCCATGACGAAGAAAGGGGGGGGGAATCGACCAGAGTAAAATGTGACCAGCACAACGCGGCGGTCCTCAGAGACAGCCGTAGTTCATGCTTGGCTTTTATGGCGACTTATGTAGAAGAAGAAAAATGTTCTCTTGTCCTCATGGCCACGCTCCCAATGCAAATTTCGGCTAAAAGGGCATGTGGCAACGACGCCTGAAGGACAAAAAGGCTTAATTTATGTTAAAATGATTCGTGGGATAGATGGCTTCGTTCGCTTCTACTGATGGCTGGCATTTCGCGCTCCCCAAGCAAGGAAGCGGGGGAGTGGCCATGGGTCTGGTGGCAGTTTAGGCCTCAATCCCCGTCATTAAGCCCGGCCGGAGGCGAGGCGAAGACGAAAAAGAAACGGAGGAGGCCTCTGCCTTCATAGAAGCGATCCTTCAGAGCTTCGCACTCACCGTTCGCCCGCTTCAGGGCGTTCTCGGGCCGCTGGAAGTAGACCGGCATGATGGCGACGGCTTCTCCTCACGCGGCAACGAGCCCTAAGGAGCGCCCAGTCAGACAGCAAGCGAGGCCGGAAAGGGAAGGCGTCACGTGACGCTCACGCAGGAAAGTACCCGGAAGAGAACCGATTAGACGGCGCCGCTGTGATCCCCACCCCCGAGTTAAGTGTGCGCATGTGCGGAAAGTTCAGGCTGTCGGCGGGAGTGAAGGCTAACTCACAAGGCGAAGAATGAAGAAGAAGAAAGGAGTGGTGCAGCTCTGAATTTTATCTTCATTTTGAGAGGGTGTTTGCTTGTTACTTTCTACTTAGTGAACTTGGCTTCAGAATGATTATTCAGAAATGCGTCTATGCATGCCTTGGGACCAGCTTCTTCCTAAAAGTTGTTTCGTGTTAAGGACAGACGACTTAACCTGCCTAGGCTACTGTCTATCCTACCATTTACCAGCATGGTCAGGGAAGAGGGCTGTGGTTCCTATTCAATAGACTAGTCTTACTAACTACTAGACCATGAAATGCTGACTCAGAACTAGGAAAACCCAAATTGAAAGCTATATTCGTCTATGAAAGTCACAAAGGCTGGACATTACATTGATCCTTGTTTAGCCACAGGTGCTGTATGCAAACATAATTATTGTTTACAAAATATGAGTGATTGTCTAGTATATTTGGAGAACCAGGCCACTATGACAAAAATTTCTAAATTTCTTGATGGCTTTTGATACAATCAACCATAGTATCTTTAGACTGGAGGGTTGGGGGTTCAAAGTATTGTTTTGCGATCAAAACAATACTTGACTATCACTAAGCGTTGTACCTTATGATTCTTGACGAATGTATCTTTTCTTTTATGTACACTGAGAGCATGTGCACCAAGACAAATTCCTTGTTTGTCCAATCACACTTGGCCAATAAAGAAATTCTATTATATTTCTTAGTGGGTGGTTCCAATTTATGTTTAGAAGAAAAGCTGGCTTGGTTGTCCCTGACTTGTGGGGTGCAATAGGGGTTGGTCTTGTCTCCTCTGCTTCTCAACATTGAAATGAAGATGCTAGGAGGAGTTATTTGGTCATTTGGGGTGGAAAAATACCCCCTCCCAAACGTGAGCTATATTTATTCCCAATCCTGTAAAATGCCTGGACCCATGATTTCACCAGGTGAAAGCCATGGCCAGAGGGGCTTTTGCCCAACTCCAGTTTCTGCCTGTTGCAGCATTTCCTGAGCAGGAGGTTGTGACAACAGTAACATGCCCTTATTACTACCTGTGTAGACTATTGTAAGGCACTCTGCTTGGGATTGCCTATGAAAAATATTTGGATACTGCAGTTGGTTCAAAATGCAACAACCTATCTACTTTTAGGCAGCCAATGCCAGGAGCAAATGACAGATCTGTGGTCCCTTTTTTGGTTGTCAGTTGGCTTCTGGAGGTAATTTACAGTGCTGCTTTTCTCCAGCCATCTAGCAGGGAGAATCTGCTAAAAGTCTGATGCTTTCAGGGAGCTAAGTCAAGGAGTCACTGCTTTACCGTGAAAATGCTGATTCTGTGGAAAAGCCACCCTAAGGAGATCAGGCTGAGTCTCTCTTTCCTGGCTTTCCACAAACACGGCTTTTTTGGATAGCGTTCTGCTAATTTGAGTTGTTGCCCTTTTTATTCTCTATTTTCATAGAATTTCATTTTTTAATGTAAGCCATCGAAAGTCATTTACATAAACTGCAATGTTCAAACTGTTTCTAAAGATAGAAATTAAGAACATCAATGTGCCATTAAATTAAAAAGGAACAATATTAACTGCATTTATAAGTTATACACATGGAACTAAACCCTATCCCCCAGATGACTCCACCCAGAAGCTTCATGTAGAAGTTAAAAAATAGGGTTCTATTCTGTGAAGAATCCCTGAGGTCAAATCTTATTACAAGAACAAAAAGCTTTTAGAATCTCATTCTGAAACATATTAAAATAAAACTAAGACAAGAGGTTCTGTGGCAGCCCTTTGAACTCCATTATGGAAATGCCAGGAGTAACCATGATCTTGAAGGTATGTTGATATCAGGAGCACTAAATCCATATATACAATGTAATATTTGTGGAAGACAATGTTCAGTCTAGCTTGGAATTCAAGTCCTAATGGCCATGGATTACTAAGTGTCTTAAGCTTCTTGGCAGCACGATTGATGTAAAGCAAAATAGTGCTTATAAAATAAAATAAATAACTTTATTGTCATTGTACGTGTATACACAGTATACCCATACAACAAAATTCACTTAACAACCAAAGACCAGGTCCAACACACACAACAATCCCCAAACACACTCCCACCCACCACAATTCTCCACCCCTAAACCACCCAAACATCCACACAACAGATCAAGTATTAATGTCCAACAGCTCACTGATGGTGGCCCTTTAGTTCATTGTTGAGTGCAATTGTAGCTCTGGGATAAAAACTATTCAGAAAATTATATATAATTACAACTCTGAAAATTACTCCTCAAAGAATTGATGAGGGGGGAAAGTCTCCCAAATAGGTGGTATGATCACACGGAATATCTGCAGCTAAATAAATACTTAGTCTCTGTCGCTCTGGAAAGCTGAACTCAAAGATGGACATTTCATGGGAGCAAAGTCTGAAGGGAAAATAAGCAGTAAGAACATTTTAGCAATGACCCAAAGAAATGTTTAACTGAATGGGATCCTCTAATACGAATTCCCCATTCAGCAGAAAGGTGGACTAGGTGACTTTCCGTGGCACGCTGATTTTTCCTTCCACGCTTCGCACCAGGAAAAACAAGTTTTCCTTCGCTGACAGAGGCTTTAAAATAAACGAGGAAAAAAGTCTCGCGGAGCGCTCGCATACGGACGCCTTGGTTTCTGTAAGCGAAGACCGAAACCAAGCCGGAAGCCAGGAGGCGTGTTACTCCATTATTCTCCCGCTATGAGGCCCATGATGGGTCTCTCAGGAAAAAGAGGAGGGATCCTGGCGCTGGGAGGAGAAAGATGGCAGAGACGGAGGCTCAGCTGCTTCTGGGTGTAGGCTTGATTGGTAAGCGCGTCTCCGTCCCTGGCTGCATGCTGTGGGAATGTCGGTTGAGGGGGGGAGAGCTGGTTAACACCCCTTCGTTTCCCCTCCCTATTTCTGTTCTGAAACGGAGAAAATTGTGTGTTCGTGAAGCAGTGGGGGGGGGGGGGGGGGGGGGGGGGCGGGGAGGGGGGGGGTAAGGCAGATGAGTGGCAACGTCTTATTTTTCGCCTCTTCCAATTGCCCCGAGTATTGGACCAATTTCACACCCTGTGAACCTAAAAATTGTTTCAGTCAGAGTTTGGACCTGCTTTAGGGGAAAGAGGATAGCATTAGTCACTCCTGGAAATCATCAATAGGGTAAATGCACTTCTACTAGTCTTGCTAAATTTCTTGATGGCTTTTGATACAACCAACCATAGTATCTTGAGACTGGAGGGTTGGGGGTTCAAGTAGAGTCTTAAGGGTTTTGCCTTTGGTGATATGCATGATCCAAACAGGATTGTTGCACTCTTTCAGGTCCGTCTATGCCCATGCAGAAGGAATAGAGAAGACTGGAAAAGGGGGGAAAACGACTTTGCATGCTCCCTCACCTTATACAGCAGTGTTTCTCAACCTTGGAAGCTTGAAGATGGGTGGACTTCAACTCCCAGAATCTGCCAGCCAGCACTGCTGGCTGGGGGATTCTGGGAGTTGAAGTCCACCCATCTTCAAGCTTCCAAGGTTAAGAAACACTGCTATACAGGAATAAATGAGCGGAGGAGTATTCATTCTTCTAGGGTGGTTCTTTTGACTATCACCCCTGTTATCCAAATACCTCCTTATCTTTTAATAAGTACAGATAGAGCACAGCGCCACTGTGGGGAAATAAAAAAAAAAACTGGTTCAAGATTCAATCTTGTTTAATACTGACATAGAAGATCAAAGCAAATCGCATGGCGGTGAATTGAAAAAGGAAACGCTCTGGAAGAAGGCAGTGACAAAACTACTTCTGTATTATTGCCAATGTAGCCAATCAGAAGTTGAACTTGATTTAAAGGAGACTTTACAGGCAGCATTGCTCACAATGTACGAAGTTAGAATAAATCCATCCACTTTATAATTTAGGGTGGTCTCTGAATTTAGCTATTGCAGTTAATTACGGTATGCTTAAATTAATAGTGGCTCTGAATGTTAATTTATAAAAAGGCCTAATATAGCCTCTAATTTGCAAAAGACCCCTTTCTGGTTATCTAAAATCCCAATCCTTTTCTGAGTGGAGAGTGGAAAAGTAATAGAATGCAGTTAATAGCAGAGGAAAGATTAAAATAAATGTTGCTTTCCCCATATAATGCTGGTTGTAAGTAAGATATAAAAATGCTCAGGATAAACGTCTTAGTTTGTCACCAATTACTAGATCTCCCTTGATGTGAAATCATTCTTGAATCAAGGCTTCACTTAGGAAGATTTTTTTGCCATCATTTATCTTCACTTAGCAGAGAAATAATAATAGGAAAACTGAACAAATAAATTATTATTGTTATTTAGCACACTCAATGCATTGTTATTTTTTACAAATTCTAGTAGAGGAGATTCTTGCTACAAGAAGAGTACAGTGTAAAGTTTAATATAAGGAAAACGTCAAAGGAAAGAGGAAGTCTAGATAAGGAAATACAGTTTGTGATCGTTTTAAATTAAATGTGCTTTTAGCTAAAATATAGAATTTGCTGCTCTGGCTATAGGCCAGAGAGATTATTCATATTTTTAATAAAATTGTTCCAGATTAATATCACATTTCAGATTAAAATACATGTATGTATGTTACCATAAATCTGAATTAATTTCCTGAACTATTAAGGCTTACATAAGAAATGGATAATTTTAAAATGTGTAATAAAAGTGGGCATTAAATTGAATGCACATTTGGATCTGATTAACTGATCAATTTACTCCCTTGCTGCTGTTGGCATTCTCACAGTGAACATCTTTCCACCATAGAAAAAGATACCAATGGAGATGCTCTATGGGTTTGGTGTTACCCTTCTATAACGACTGCATTCAGAGACCTCTTATTGAGAAAATGCTGCCTTACAGATGAGAATAAACAGCTTCACACTTTCCTATTTGGTCAGTACAAACTAACATGGTTTTACATTACAACCATGGAAATTCCAGAGGCTTCTACCTTGAAAAGGGTAAGAATGAAATTTGGAGAAAGGGGACTTGACAGAAAGATCTTATTTGCACATTCATTATTCTATGATTAATTGGATTTTTACATCTGCTGATTTCATAAGGGATACTCTATCAGTACGCTATAGCTATACATATAACAAAAGCAATTTGGAAAATTGTGATAGAAAAAAAATAACTGTGTTTTTATATTGCATCAACTGAAGTTAAACTGGATGTTTGCATTATTTTCAAGATGTAACTGTGTAGCGAGTATCCATAAATTTTCAGTGATGTAGTAGACTTAGTTTATTGATTGATTTAAACATGGAGGCTGCCTAGCTCCTGATGATGCTCAGTAGTTCAAAAACAAAAACAAAAATGAATAATTCTGAGCATCCAGAAGGAACATGACAATGCCCCTAAATACCTCAGAGCAAACTGATGGGCTCAGCAGCCATCCTACCCCTAGGCTTAGGAGCAAAACCATGTTTTTGGTGACTTCTGGAACTCCATCAAGTTGGGAGCTATACATATCCTGAGGGAAAAGCTACTCCAAGTGGCAGGTATGACAACTAAGAAGGCACACATCCTATATCCCAATAGATGACATTGCTTCATGATCCAGAGCCTTTCAATTAAACAAGCTGTCTGATCTTATTAAGTAGGCAGAACTATTGAAGATAAGCAGTTCTTCAGTTAAGCAGATCTTATGAGACACAAAGTTTTATTGATGATGAACAGTACCTTGAATTGCATCCAGCAGCCAATTGGCAACTGTGCAGCTCATATCCTGGTATACTCGTTCATCCCTGCCTGCACTGTAGCATTCTGGACTATGGTTTCCTTGTGGCCTTCAAAAGCAGTCTCATATACATCATGTTACAGGTGCTCATTCATGAGGGGGAATAGGGCATGAGTGACTTCTTGAAGGGCCTTCCATTCTAGGGATGGGCAAAAACAATGCACTCAATGGACCCATGAAAGGGCCTCAGCTCTGATTGAAACAGGTCCAGATAATTTACTTCCTTCAAGATCCTCTGCAGTCTAACTACTCTCAACAATCTTCCCCACAAGTCACTGCCCAGACACCACAATTGGAGCTTCCCTGTCAAAGTCCCACTCTTAAGTAAATCTAGGCAACTTTATCTGCCAAATTGTCTCGCCTTTCCAGTTGTTTATATTATTATATTACAAAAAAGTATTTGGACGTTAACTTTTTTTTTTGTATGTTGCATAGGTGACCCACTTTTCCATTGTTCTGACAACTAAAGACTTTAATCCAGAAAAGTATGCAGCCTTCTCTAGGATTCTCTGTAGGTGTGTATTGCTTGATAAGTTTTCTATAACTGCATGGTTTATTAGCTAAACCTTTTGCACAGCGATGTATTCCCAATTAAGAGGTGAAAACATTTCTGAAGGGATTATTTACCATCATAATAATTATACATATAATTACTTATTATTTCAAGTGAGTAAAATGTTTACTAAAACTGCAGAAATGACGCATAATAGTATCCTACTAGCAGTTTTCAAACAGGAAACCATTCATGAAGTAAGTCGGTTGAAGTGCATTTCTTCTCAAATGTAGTTCTATTGTAAACACATTACTCACAATAAATCTAGCAAGATTTCTTTTCCTGCATGATTTAGATCATGTTCCAACTGCATGTAGAATTTCATGTACAGCAGTTCTAGCTGGCTATAGAAATAAAAAAAATAAAATATCTACCTGGAGAAAAACCAGTTTAACCATATTCATACTATATCCAGGTTAGATTATTGCTAATAGTGGTAATACTTCGAGAATCAGCAATGGTGGACTGAACATGGCTTTGCTTTTTGTCAAGCTAATGACTATGGTGGAAATAGGAGCAGTGAAAGGATTGACTCCTCAGAATTCTTCTGATCAAGGAGAAGAAAAGGGATTGCCCACAAGATTGCTCCATACAGAATCTCTCTGCAAAGAGATCATAAAACAGCGATCTACAGCAGGTTTGAGAGCTCTGGGAGACATTGGGTTTGCCTACTTTCTCTCCAAATTACTTTAGAAAGCTGCTTACTATTAACTTCTTTGAAATTAAGAGTCTTCCAAAGTACAAGCTCTACTATATCACTAAGAAAATTACCTTCCATCTTGGATGATAGAAACACTGATATAAATTTATGGTTTAAAAAGAAAAATCTTTACTTTTTTGAAAAACAGCAAAAAGGAAACTAGAATGTGGATTTTAGAAAGTTATGGGGGCTAGATGGACTTGAAAGAATATATCCTGTGTAGTGTTTAAAAAATTATAAAGTGTAGTGTTTAAAAATTATAAATTATAAAAATATGAAGATGTTGAAATTAATTGTAAGAAATCCTCTGAACAGAAAGTTTTATTGATTGCAAAATAAGCAAGATAATAAGAGGAAGGAGCACAAGTCACATTGTGGGGTTTAGTGAGTCTTGCAAAACGGCAGTGGGTGAATGTTTGCATGGGTAAAAAAAAACCTTATATTTATTCTTTTTGGCCCAGATTACTGAAGCTCTATTTATTTTACAGAATATACCTGAAATATGGGACTCCTGTAAAAATGATGGAGAGTTACGTTTCTGTCCTTACAAAGGGGATTTGTCAGAGTGAAGAAAATGGTTCTTTCCTAAGCAAAGATTTTGATATCAGAAAAGCTTATCTTGCAGGCTCAGTCAAAGGTGAGATTTAAAAAAAAAATCAGTAATACAGCTCAGGTTAAAACTATGCATTCTTGAAAATAAACTCCCTTTCTTTCAATGAAATTTATTTCCAAGTAAGCAGACCCTGAAAGCATGACAACCACTGCTTTCGAAATACTGGTCATGCTTAGTTGCATCACTAGCTTTTTCTCAAGGCTGACATCCGCATAGGAGGATTCTTGGGAGTCCCAAGAGTTTTTCAGAGCCTGATTTGGGTTTCCCTTTTGTGTCCTCTCCCTCTAGATGTTGAGAAAAATAACACCCTGGCATCAATTGAATTGGTAGGATGGTTTTAATAAAAGCCAGCCGGCCTGACTCTTTCAAAAACAAAAAGATGTAAAAGATACAGAATGTTTGTATTCTAAAAAAAAGTAAGATAAATGCATTATTGGTTTAGACATTGGAACTTATAAACAATGGCTTGGCATGTTAGGTGAATCTATTGTGAGTTAAACAAGCCATGATATAGATGTAATAACAAACTGTAGCTTGATATAAGGTAAGAAGTATTCTGTAAAAGCTGAACAAATTTTGCCTCTTCATAAAAAGTGAATTTAAGTAAATTATAATTGTATAATTATGTTGTTAATTGTACAGAATTCTATTATGTTATATTAAGATTCTGTTTAACTTCTGATTGTCCTAGATATAGTGTTTCAGTTTGGAATGGAAACAGTCATCCTGTATACTGCACTCATGTTAAAGAAAAGAATTGTAGTATATCACCCAAGAATAGAAACTATCCTCGAATTTACAAGGTAAAACACATTGATGAAATAAAAGGTACTCCTTCACTTAATTTCATATTCAAGTCTCCCGGCCACATTTTCTTATTTATTTCTAAAAGAAATGAATATATATATGAATAAAGTAGCATCACTTGTAGATTCCTTGGTGCTCTCTGTCCTGAAGAAATTTCAATATATGTTGAGGTAACATCTTCAGTGCTAGAAGGGAGTAAGGTTTTGCTCTCTGTACATATAGAAGTTTGGGCTTCTCAGTTTTGGTGGAGGTATTGGATCCCCCAGTGCAGTTATTAAATGTGATTATGATTTATAACTAATCCTAATTTGACAAAACTGTTGAATAAGCCATTGCATGAAATGAGTTTGTTTTGAAACAGACAACAGTCTGTTAAGATAATTGGTCCTGTTAATATTTTCAAAGTAATCTTTGTGTACTTATCCACTATTGTGGTTAATCATTTTGTAAAATAAATAGTGATTTATAGATTCTGTAAAAGCAATGCTCAACAGTGTTGACATATTCAAAACATTTCTTAACACTTAATGTATTTGTTTTTGTAAAATTCCAGTTTTAAAGAGAATGCCTGCTGGCCATGCATCCATCCATATAGTATATTATAAAGAAATGTCCTTCCATCTTTTGGATGACTTACTATCTATGGCTAAAATTATGTCATATGATTTAGAGTCCTGATCCCATAGTAAGCTAGACAATGAGGACAAGACCAATTAGTGCATCCTTTGAGGAGATGATATGAGCCATTGTACTAAAATAATATAACTTTTTTCTTTTAGAGCATTACCAGCCTTAGTGTGGCACCGACAAGATTGGTCAATTCTTCATTCATACATACATCTGAATGATGATGAATTAGAAGCATTAAAAATGTGTCCAGGTATTATTGATAATGGATATCAATCACCATTACATAACAGAATGACTAAATTAACTTTTGTGGTAACGGAAAAAATAGTTCATTATTTATTAAATCTATATAACCATCCATGTCATTATGGGCAGATAATAACATATTCAAATATTATAAATATTAGTAAAGGGTCACTACCATAGTCACTGAGGTCAAACAATTGACTAAGGCTCAGATGTTCAGAAATTGCAGTACTGGACAATTCCTCCTAATTACCTATTGCAAAAAATAGTTGCTTGGAGTTTCTTGTAGAATAGTGGACTATGAATATAGAATTCGGTACCTATTATTTATTAGGTAAATTCCTATGATACTGGTAGTTGTCCAATGTTAGCATGCATGTTTAAGACTATAAAATGAATAAAAGTCATTGTAAACTTCTTAAATTCATATAAAAGTAATGGAAGAGAATATTTGTAGCTCAAGTTGAACTCTGGGATCCTTGGTACTCTCTTGAGTTTATTTTCTTGCAGATGTTTTATTACCAAACTATACAATATCAATATATAGTAGAGCGTGGTTTGCTCTCATTTTATATACTAGTGGCTTGCCCTTTTAGAGTTGGTGGGACTTGTTAGTGTTCTTGTTGGTTCCTTGATTTGGGCTATTTGGTACTTCCTTGATTGGGATATTGTTTGCTTATCGATTGTTGATATAGTGTTAATCTCTGCTTATCTAGGGTTTGATTGCTGATGAGGCGGTCTTTTGGTTTGAGTCACACAAATCGGCCATCAACGGGCACATAGAGAACAATATCAACATACCATTCAAAAGAGATAATCAAAAAGCCAAAAAGGAAATAAAAAAAACCAAAAGACCTCCTCACAAGAACTCAACCCCTAGATGAGCAGAAATTAACACCAAGATTAACATTACAACAACAATCCAGAGGCAAACAATATCCCAATGAAGGAATCACCAAGGCCATTCCCACCAACACTGACAGGGCAAGCCATTAGTATATAAAATGAGAGCAAAACTCACTCTCTACTAGCATTGATGATGGTATCTAGTTTGGTAATTTAAACGTCTGCAAGAAAACAACCAAGCTCAAAGACCACCAAGAATCCCATATTAAAGTACTTCTAGTGAGAATGCATTTACTGAAACATACTAAAATCTTTTCTTATCAGGGTACATTGCTGGATGTATAGATTCAGAAGTGAACAATAGGATAGATCTTTATGATGTGTATGTCAACCTGGCTGAAAGTGAAATCACCATTTCACACCAAGCAAAAGGTTTGTAGGCTATGTCATTTACTTTCCTCATATACAGATATAAAGATGTCTTTGTTTGCATATGGGATATAATTCTAGGTCTCTGACTACATTATAAAATAATGTTTAATCATTAAAAATGGTCCTTCACTCCTAATACATCCAAGCTCAAACTGGGCTTGTGACATATTCAATTAAATTCAATCCTCCTTTTTTTTCTGACAATTCATTTCCCAGAGTTCGTTAGAAAATAAAGAAGACCCCCTAGATTGATTACTAAGAGGAATCATTTCTGAAACAACTCTAGAGCAATTCCAGAGATAAACTATGATTATGATAAAATTGACCCCCAAAGCACTGGAAAAATTCTTAAAAGTAATTGAATTTTGAGGTGCCTAAGGCCAAAAGTCCTAATTAGTATTTTTCTCCCCTCTGGAAAACCCCAGAACTGACTACAGGTAGTTCTCATTTAGTGATCACAATTGGGACTGGCAACTCAAGTCACTAAGTGAAACAATTGCCACAGCTGAATTTATAATCTTACTTTAGTTTTCCTTTGCTTTATAGACAGGGAAGGTTGTAAGTGTGAGGATTGGTCGTAAAGTTACTTTTTCACCCCCCTGTGAACTGTCGCTAAACGAGGACTACCTGTAGTATCACATTGATTAGGAAGTGATCTGATCATGACAAAAGATTGATGGAAATGTCCCCTCTGTCAAACTTGTTCCAACTGCTTTGAGGTAAAGACAAGATGTAATGCATAGCTTCCTGTATGAATTGGGCTCTGGTCTCCTAAGGAAAGCTCGTAATTGTCATGATGGCCATTAATTTCAACATCAGACCCCATTCTCTTATGGCCAACCAAAAATACATGGTGTAATATCCAGTCCTACATCAGTGTATCTGATGACCGTAAAGATCTCCAAGAGAAACATTACAAGCCACTTCCTTGGTATTATAGCTGCTAGGCACATAAGGCCTGGGAGAACAAATGTTTTTTGATGAGGAACTTCTATATTTTCACCCAACCAGGGTTTAATTTATTTGCACCAGTTCTACTTATACCTAGATAATGGAGGAACATGATCTTATTATTGGTATTAGCAGATTGAAGCCAATTTGGCATCCAGGACCCTAGGATAAGGCCAAAAGCAAGAAGAATCCTGTGTAATGGCATTCTATAATGTCTCCCTCTGCCTTACTGTTCTAATTCTCCTGTCAAGTCTCCAATATCCTCCCAAATGTAGAAGGTGGTGTGGGAAATTTCAATATCCCCCTCTAGGTTTTAGTGCATTCCTCTGTTCCAATACTCAGAAAACTGTTAACATAAGATAGAATGAACTAAGATGTAAGTTTTTAATGTTGCTGCTAATTTCTTGATCCACGCACATGGAAAAAGATAGGGAAAAATACTTACTTTAAAGGAACGGTTTGGAAGAATTAAAATAAAAGTTATCTTGGGATTTTTCATTTAATTGTCTCATTGGATAAAAGCAATGCCACCACGTAGTGTTCTTTTCTGATTGGGAGAAATGATGCTACTGTACAGAAACCGAAATATGAATCCTGAAAGATAGCAGAATGGGGAAATTCTATCAGTTCAGCTCCATTGTTAAATTACAAAGAAGCAAAATTTTAGCATTGTCATTGAATGCAGTATGAAGAAATCTTGATCTAGAGATGTGTACCTTTTGTGGGGCAGAGTGGTCTTTTGAATGATATAGTCTTTTGACCCAAATTCTGATGTTGTGATTGCAGTTCTGTTTTGGAGTTATATGTTTATTTTCCTTTTTTACATAAACAAATCAGTGATAGTGTACTTCTCTTTCTTCTCAGAGGCAATGACAATGGGAAAATTGCATAAAGAACTTGGTCAGCTAATCGTTCAGTCTGCAGAAGATCCAGAGAAATCAAACAGTCAAGTTATAAAGGTTAAACTTCTGTATTATTTCAGCCTTTAATATTATTTTGTTATCTAAACTATTATGCTCCTGGTTTAGAATTACAATTATTAGTATTTAAGCCAGGGTTAAGATTGTTTAAATGACTGACTGAGCTCTGGCAAAACTTCAGGTTACCTGTCTTTCTATGGAAGGCGGAGAAGAGACCGGCTTTTATTTTAAGATTAAAGCCTGCTGTTTTAGCAAAGCTGGATAACATACCTGAAACTGAAATTAATTTGATTTAAAGCAAGCCACTGTTCCTTGAATCTATACATAATGTAGAATGTAAGTTCTTCATAAATTAAATTGGAAATATTCACCACCTTAATTTATTTAAATAAATATGTGAGTCAAAAGTTGAGCAGAGCTGGTTACCCCTTGATAATCTGAAGTAGGAATGGGTCATCTGTGGCCTCAAAGTAACTCTTTTTCCAATCAGTGAAATATCCTTTGACCATATTTGCTATTTTTGATTCCTTAATTTATTTTAAAATGCATGTTTTTGAGATAAGAAGCAAAAAACCTATAACATAAAACCTCAAATAATAATATAATTGGTTCTAGAAAAAGACAAAAAACCCTTAAAATCCTTCAAAACCTAAGATAAAAAACCCTAGTCCTGCCATGCATTATACAGCCTCACTCTTTTTGCATTATTTTCCTGCTTATCTTGACCTCTCAGCTTCTCAGATGTTTACAGCCAAACACATAGTTACACACACAGGTCTCTGCATTTGATAATTTATTTCATTTTCTTTTAACTATACAGATAGCCCCTGGCTACTGGGACAATGGCAATTGGGACTAGAATTGCCGTTGCTAGCAACATCATTGTAAAGTGTGATATCACCAGACTGTGTCACTTTGCAACAGAAATTCTGACAGTCCCAATTCCATTATTAAGTAAGGACCATGCAGGTCATTAAGTGTGAAGACCTCACTTGACTATGACTCCCAACTTCTGGCCAGCGTCTCCATTGACTTTACTTGTGGCAAACCAGCAGGGAACATTAGAAATCATAATCACATAACTGCAGGGATGCTACAACTGTCAGAACTCCAAAAGCCAATTTAAATACCATTTGTGCAGTTACTATTGTAACTTTGAACAGTTGCTAAATGAATGGACTACTTTTATGCATTACTCGTGGCACCTTACCCCCCTTTTTCATGAACAAATACTGTGTATTGTGTACCACATATATTTGTAGTCCGTGGCATCTTCAAATAGCACTGGAAAACAACCTTATCAGAAAGCTGCATGTCTATCTATCCATTAAGTATGTCTATAGAGAATAATTTGAATTCATGCATCATATTTACCATTATTTGTTTACACGTTTCTTTTGATAAGCCACAATTGGCAGGATATATGCAATGTTCTAAAATGCTAATTAAAAAAGTGGTTGAGTTAGGGCACTAATACCATCTAACACATTTCAAATGCTATGCATAAGCCTAGACATTGTGTGATTGTATGTGTGAATCCACGAGATTCATATATTGACAACATTCAGAATAGTAGCAGTAATATGAAATTACCTAAACTTAGCTTAAATATTCCAAAAGTATTCCATCTCAGAAAAGAGTATAGGACTTGGTTTACTATGATTTATTTGTATCCCACCTTTATTATTTTTACCAAACTTTTATACTGACCTAACATAGGCTGATAAATCTCAGAGTAAGAGGAGCTTTTGTTTTTACCAACTATTTCATGTTTGCTCTCTCTATTCTAAAATGTGTCTGCAGGATGTTTCATTGAAGACAAAGGAAATCTTGACAAATCTGGCTTCATTCACAGAAGTCATTCATGATGGTGAGAAGCCATCACTTAACTTAGAAGCACTGAAACAAAAGCGATTCCCACCAGCAACAGAAAATTTTCTTTATCATTTGGCAGCAGCTGAACAAATGCTTAAAATCTGATGTTGTTAATAAACCTCAGCGGAATACTTAAAAACAAAATCTTCTTTACTATAATGCTTATGTAAAGAATTCTGTGGAAGATTTTTTTTAAAAAAAATATACATTTCTGGAGAGGATAAGCAATGATACAGACTTGAAATTACATCAGTGTGCCATAAAACATTGACTGTAGTATACCATTGTCAGTTCTTCCTACAAGACTTGAAGACACAAAGGTTTGAGCTGTGCATTAAGATGAAATAGTAATTGCCAAGCCCAATCAGCATCCTAATGGAAATCAATAATCAAATTGTTAATGACATGAACATTCTTAGAAGTACACAAATAAGCCCTCTTCAATTTGGCACATCCAAGTACTGTGTCTTGGGAACACAACCATCAGGATTCCTAGCAGACTGCCCCTATTCTAATTAGTCTTAGCACATCCATAACTTGCAAAGAGGCTGAAAGTTAGAGCTTCAGTTATTGAAGGTTCAACTCTGAACCTAAGAGTTTATGGAGATTCTCAGTCATCCAGATCATGGTTGTCCCAAAGTGCTTTTTCAAGAGGCAACTGAACTTTCTGGTTTTTCTTTGAAGACATTTCTAAAGAGCTGAAAAAGCTTCTTGGATGAGAAGCAAAATGTCTTCAAAGAAAAACCAGAAAGTCCTAAATTGCCTCTTGAAAAAGCACCTTTGGGTCTGAACCTAAGAGTTGTATATGCAATGTAACTTCTCACAAGCAATCTGTGGATGTTTGACAGATTACATCTATTGGCTACACTGCCAAATATTCAATGTGCCTGCTAGCCATATCTCACATAGGTGGATTTTGGGCTTTTAGAATAAGAATATGTACAAGTTTTTGTGATGATGAATCCTGATTGAGTTTGGGAGCTGTTTACTTATAAAACAGTCCTATTGAATAGGGCAAATATGTATATTAATATATCCAGTAGCTGCTGTTTTTAGGAAGACAGCTATAAAATTCTTTTTCCTCATTCAAGGGACCAGGAGGTTTACTGTAATTCTTGCCTCCTGTTTTTCTTAAGCTACTCTCCTTGTGGGTTGTAAGATGTCAGCATGTATCTGATATTTTGCAGAATGAATATACGACTGGATTTTTTTATTGCTTAACTTTGCCTTTCCCTTCAATAGCCATTGACATTTGGCTGTACACATTTTTGTGAGAAGGTTTAGCTTGTTAATTCAAAACTATTATAAAACTAAGAGGTTTCATAAAAAAATAAATAAAAAATCTAAACAAAAAAATGTGTTAACAGTGGAGCCTATGCAGTAGCACTTTGCTTTTAAAATTGACATGATTCTTGCTTTCACATATACCCTTGCATGTGATTGTAGACTTTTTAAAATTAAACACACTTATTTCTACTAATATTTTATGAAATACTGTTTAACTATGATCAATGATGTATACTAGCAATATTGAAAATCATGTTTTTGATTTATGAGTTGCATATATGTAATACAGGAGAATGTGCAATTATGATAAAAAAAATCAAATTAGAATATGAATATGACCAGAGCACCTCCTATTTTCAGGAATGTGTTACTCGCTTTTGTACAAAAATATATAATTTAAAAATTTAAAAACTAACTAAATTTAATTTTATATGACTATCTTTTTCCTTGATAGTATTATCTTCATTGTCGATATGTGGATGAAATACAGAATATTTCCCTTATCAATCAGCATTTAAAATCAATACATCCTTGTATTTATTTTCTTATAGTTAACTATAAGAAACACACAAAAAAAAATCTGACAACTTGGTAGCTCTTAGAAAGATGGACAAGGCTGTTGTAATCGAGCCCATAATGCCTATTGTACCCACTCAAACAGGAGAAAAACAAATTCCATTTTTTTAAAAAAAGATTGATTTATGCATTTAATAGTTGGCTCCCATTTTGGGTATACAAGAAAGGGACTTCTTTGTAAGCAATTGTGGTTCTATGTCAGGGGTGTCAAACTCGCATCGTCATGTGACGTATCACAACTTTTTCCCCCTTCACTAAACCGGGCGTGGGTATGTCCAGCGCATGACGCATCCAGGCCGCGAGTTTGACATCCCTGTTCTATGTCATAACAAGTAGGAGCACTTAGCTAACATCTGCTCACCTTAAATAGGTTCTGGCGTTAGGAATTCCCAAGAAAGACAGGGCTGAACCTCAGACTTACAGCAATCCTAGGAAATGGGCTACAGACCAGGGATGAAATTCAGATGGTTCTATCCGGCTCAAGCGAACTGGTAGCGGCAGCTGTGGGAGGCTCCGCCCACCCGCACAGATGTCATGATGTTGCTTTTTTGCGACAATTTTAAGCCTCTGTGCATGCACAGAAGGCTTTGCGCATGCTCGGATGACGGTATGTAAGTGAAGCGAGCGCGGTGCGTGCACATTTGAGAACCGGTAAGGAAGGTAAGTGAATTTCACCCCACTAAAGACTGTAATAAGGACTAAGTTATCAGTTAAATTAAGGGTTAGCACATTAGAAGAGCAAAAATATAGACCAGGGCAGACTTTATTCTATATAATTAATTTTATTTATTTCCTATCTTTTCTCCAGAAGCCCTAAGCAATATACGCAATACTTCTTTCTCCAAAAGGAACATGTTGGGCTGAAAGAAAGAGTAGGAATAGAAAATCAGAATAATTTTCCACGGCTAAGAATGGCCTTGAATGTGAGGGTCCCCAGCTATAATCCAATATCTCATTTTATCGCATATGTTCTCCTTCCATTTAAAAGAAAAAAGGTATAAAAGTCAGATTGCAATGCAATTTTGCATTTCTAGATAAGAGATCTGTTTTTTTGAATAACGGCCTTTTTATTATTCTGCATAAGTAGATCACAAAACCAAATCCTTTCTGTACAGAGAAGTATTAATAAGAACATGATTATTTTCCATCCCACCCCCAATTAGTTTTAGTTTTTTGTTACAGTTGATTCAAAATACTTCAGACCAACTTTCACTTTATTACCAGAGTTCCTCTTTTATGCATAAAAGCCGCCTTCATCATTATAAGAATGGCAATCCTAGAAAACCATCAAGGTTTTTATTAAACTCCCCTATAAAAAAAAAACGTCGTTTCTTTAGTGGAAGAGACAAGATCAGGCTCAAGCTCATTTCGCTTTATCTGAAAAATAAGAGAACATTTTAAATTTCTTACTGGATTATTTTAACCACTTGGATCCACTTCTGTACAAAGACATGAGTTACAGAAATCATAGGATGTTGAAATATTACAATTTACATCAAAATCTCACCTTGCTGTCTCTGAATTAGTAATGCAAAAGACAAGACAATTGAGTAGGCAATCAATAATAAAAATCTTGTCTCTTACACTGAAATACTCCCAAATCCTCTGAAATCAATAGAAATGTTTAGGAAAATATGGTAATATGCTACATACTGCACTTCAATCATCTAAAATCATCTAAGTACTTTCCATCCTCCTTTTTTGAAGGAGGTTATATTGGTCCCCTATCTGTTAAATTTCCATCTCTACAAACGTTAAACTTTGGAAATTGTGAACATCTCTGTGCTGGTAATCCTTGATTTACAACTGTTTAGTGGCCCTTTAAAGTTATAACGGCACTGAAAACAGGAACTTATGACTGATTGTCACATGACTGTTGTAGCATTCCCATGGTCACATGATCAAAATTCAGACGCTCGGCAACTGATTCATATTCATGACAGCTGCAGTGTCTCAGAGTCATGTGATCACCTTTTGTAACTTTTTGACAAGCAAAGTCAATGGGGAAGCCAGATTCACTTAACAACCGCTTTACTAATTTAACAACTGCAGGGATTCACTTAACAACTGTACAAGAAAGATTGTAAAATGCGGCAAAGTTCACTTACTTAGCAACAGAAATTTTGGGCTCAATTGTGGTCATAAGTCAAAGACTACCTGTAGTTCAACTCCAATCCTTATAGTTTCTGAGAGCTTGCATCACCATTAAACAAATGGTTTTTTACTTGGAGACCCAGCAAATATAATCCTAATTTTTATTCGTCAGGGTTTATATTTTTTGCTAATTTGCAATGCCATTTACCCCTTTGATCTACCCGATTATTGAAAGTGGCAAAGAAAATGAAACATGCTTATTACCTCTCTTAACTGTGGAGTCCAACTGAATGAAATGGGCAGTATTAACCAACAGAAAAAATATACCAGGAACACTCTCAAAAACATTGATGGTTGTGGTAAAACTCTTCTGCTGCAAAAGATTGTAAGGGCATGTTATTACACAGCATGGGACCGATAAAACTTCAAGATGTCTGGAATTACTGACTTAACAGTACAGATTTTTTTTTTGTAGCTGCTCCCCCAAAACCAGAAAACCATTGATAACCTGGACTCTTAGATGGATACAAGGACACTTTCCACAACTACTTACCGTTAATTATTCTTGTTATTTTGGCTGCCAAGCACTATAGGGAGGATGGAGATACTAAAGTCTAATTGAAAGGAAAGGCAAGGAACTTTCAGCTCTTTGGAAGGGATATTTTTTTATAATAATAATAACAATAACAATAATAATACCATGTCCAAGAATTTTACATTATACATCAAGAAATTGCAGCTTCCTGTGATAACACCAGCGGAACTGCAAAAAACTGCACTACTCGGAACATCATAATTTTAAGAAGATACTTGGTTGATACCTAGGACGCTGGCAGCAACCCGTATCAACCATTAGCACCACTCAATAGTATTAGTGACACATTTTTAAATGTTCAGTTGACTGAGTTTCATGTTTAATGAATAAAAGAGATGATGATAATAATAATAAAAATAAAAATAAATGTAGGCCAACATTTCTTTTGATGGTTTGCTGCCAAATATTGACAGTTTGATGGGTGGGAGTGGAAAGGTGGACTGCAAAAATACTCTTCCAGATTCAGAGCCCAGTATGACATCCTGAAAGCATGGACATATAAAATATAGAAAGCATTTTAGAAGAACAAACATTTTTTTGTCTCCCTGATTTCACCATTTAAAAGATAGAAGTAATCTTTTAAATCAAGGGAGGGTGCAATTATGGCCCTTTTATGGCTTCTGGACTTCAACTCCCAGAATTCCTGAGCCAAGCATACTGGATCAGGAATTCTGGGAGTTGAAGTCCACAAGTCATAAAGGGGACATCATTGTCCACCTGTTTTAAATGCTTCTTAAATGGTTTAGGAGAATACCATCATGGAAATTGTACCAAGTAGTTAATAGGCGATCAGTGTTTTCTGGATTGCTAATGTTGACAGCTCTTCGCATTGCATCAATCCAAATCTTAATAGAATTAATAGCCCCCGTTTCTGAAAAATTTCCCAGAGCATTCAGGGGTACTTCAGATTCTGTAAACCATATAGAAGACCTTATTTGGTCCTAAATTCTTCTAGACAAGAAGAATCAGCAGCCAGGCTTATTTCAACCAGCTGCTTATTTCACTAAGAAATAATTGGCCAATGTTCAAGATGGGCTAACAGAAGGTTATACTTCCTCTGTTATGATATTATTTCATTATTGATAATGGGTATTTGCTTTTTTCCTGCTTATTTGGTTGAGGAAACCTATTTATCTTACCGATTTATGAGATACACAGTAGTTTCAGAAATAATCATTGGCACGCCAAAGAGTATACCCCTGGATAATGCTGTTTCTCTTACAGCCTATGCAGAAGGGGGAAAAAACAGATATGCATACAAAAGGAAAGTCAGAATCACAATATATTCAAGTCTCTTAAGAGCTTGCATTTTTATTAATCTGGATACCACATTTTTAAAGTTTTTGGCCTTCCAAAGCAAGCATGTCCGATTAATGTGGCATCAGAGGGTGGCCAGTGCTGAGTATTATGGGCAACTTTTTGGAGCTTCTGGATGGCTGGTAGAATTGAAAATCAAAGTAGATGTATCACTAAACTTAATGCATCAGTCAGTTTAGCAAAATGTGAACTAGGAGTTGTACATCTCAATGTTCTCAATGTTAAAGAACCAGTTTTATCCTAACTACAAATCCACTAAAATGCTGCTGAGGCCATCTTTGTCATAATAAGGGCTACCAGAATATGTGTTTCCATTAGATAAGCTATATGTCACAAATGTATAGTATAAGGAAACAATGACTTTGGAACTAAATGAAAAAAAATCACAAGACAAGACAATCCAGTCTTCAAAGCCAGTATGGATTTAACAAATGGACAATTACAATCAAAGCAATTAGTCTTATTTATTATGATTATAAAGCCTGGGAAGCCCCATAAAACAAAGGGCCAAACCAAAAATTTCCCCTTTTGGGGGAGAAACACACCAAATGCATGTTCATAAGGAAATTCTAGTAAATAAATAATGGGGAGAATGCTACTAAATGTAAATGTAAAATACAGAAATTTAGAACAAAAAAAAATAATCATGCTGGATCAGATCAAATGCCTGTCTAATCCAAGAGCCAAATAAAAATCCACAAGCAGGATACAATCATATTTACATTTTTCCACTTCTATTTCCAGTAGCTCAAATTATCTATTGCCTCCTTTAATAGAAGTAATGAATAGTTGTCATAATAGCTTTTGACAGGCTTTCCTTCTAAATGGCTAATATCCCTGTGATGATTTAATTTAATTGAGCATAGAAGTGTTTAGTTCAAATGGAACAGAACGGGGGAAACCAAGCCAGGGGAAACATATGTTCCTTCACTTACTTTTTTCCCTGCCACTTGAGACATTCCAATAACTTCACCCGTGCTATGCATGACCTTAATCCCATTGTCACGTTCCCAGTTCCTGACTGCGAACACATTGCATGCACAGAGAACACCTGCAGAGAACAGGGGAGGAGATCAGGCTTGGTGAGAAATGTAAACAAGGATTATTAGCCCTAACTCTCAATTCATATGATAACATTTATATTAGCAAAGCAGAACAGTGACTTAAGTTGTGGCGGACATTGTAGAATTAAACACAAAAAGAAATGCATTGTTGCTTAAATTCTGCTGCAATTGTTGGAGTCTCTTCCAGAAATTATGATTTTGATAATCAGTTGATTTATGCAGAAACTGCTGAAGGTTTAGTTTCCAGTGTTTACTTGGCTCATACTGAAACTTCAGTCAAATTGGCATAATTTTCTAGTATTCTAATTTTCTTCATAATTTTCTGCATCAGTTTTAGAAAAAAAATATATGGACGCACCCACAGAGACCCAGAAGAAGCAGTAATATGATGTATGTGATGTACAATAATGCATAAAAAAATAGATGCTAATTATTGGAAATTCTGATAAGCTTACCATGTGACCTTCTGAATTAAATGAAAGCCGCACCCCCTTTTATCAGAATAAACTGGGAATTAAAACAATTGGGAGTTTGAAACTAACGGATGTGTGAACAACCTGTAACTACAATTATTTCAAGGAGAATGGGCTAAATTTATTCCAGATATTTAGGGTAACTATAGGAATGAGAAATCTGAGGCAATGCCTTTGAAATTACGTTATCAATTCTACATAATAGTTAAAGTTTCTTGTCATTGAACTTCAGGAGGAAATCAAAGAAGTTTGGATAAAAGAAGAGCAATCTTTGGGTAGGATAACCAAACAATGGCACTCCCATAAAATGTGCTAAGCCTCTGCCTAAACATGTTTGGCTCTTTATTAATAATAAAAATGGGTTGGACTGGAATCGCTATCTTATATTTTACCAATCAACAGGATTTTTATATCTGAAAGGCTGCAAAAACACTTGAAAACCACCTTCTTGACAAAATTTTATACTTTTATTAAGCAAGGATTAAGATTTAGAGATAAATCCAGTACAAATGATATTACTTCATGTTATTTGGTCTTGCCCTGTTATTGTCACATTTAGGGATAATATGAACAAAATTGTTAATATAATTGGAATGATTGCTTTGTATTAAAAGAACATCTCTAGGAAATATGCCCAGTATTTAGAATCTATTCACAATTTTAAAATGTAATTTTTTTCCTCTAGCATGAGGCTTATTAAATAAATGATAATAAAAAAACAAAGTGGGACCTCTGTAGCTGATTTCCAGCAATAAATTATTAATATGCAGTGTTTGTCAACATTTAGGTTTTTTTCAAACAAGGACAATTTTTAAACAACATGGTCACATTTTCAAGTTAATATGTTTACAACATAAATATTATATTTGAAAGAATGTTTATACCTGATAAAACACAGCAAAAATTACATAAGATAACACCTGTAACTAATGTTTTAAAGAACTGTAACTCTTTTACTCACCAAAAAAAGCACTTGCCATGAACTTGCTGAAGAAATGCCCTGGAGTATTTAGTGACTTTTTACTCTCTATAACATATTGTGGGAGAGTCTAAAAACAACAGGTTGTGGGAGGAGGGGGTGAAGGGAGACAGGGAAAAGGAGACAGGGTGAGAGAGGTCAATGACATTGTTATTTTGCTTTATTTCATGGGAAAAGGGTGATTTCTTTTCCTTTCTCCTTCATTAGTACATGCTCTCCACGGCACTTTGCTGTTTATCAATCTGGACATGGTGACGTTCATAAGTATATCCTCAGTAAGCCCATATTCATTTTTTTCTGGTCCCCCTTCCACTTAAAAATAAGATCTAAAATAGGATATTAGTCTTTTATTAAGTTTAGTGTGCCTCTTCTGCCCTTTAACTCCTAGTCTTCCAAACCAGAAAACACAACAGTCAAAGTAGCACTGTCCCTTTTAGTGACATCATACCACCATCAGGCCTCCTAAAGCCACAAGAGCAGGGATTGGCAACCTTCTACCACTCAAAGGCCAGAGATCAAGTCTGTAAGCCAATGGCCTCTCCCTCTCTCTCTTGCATGAATATTCTGGCACTAGGAAGACTCTTTGGGGTAAACCTTAAAGACAGGCTTCTTAGAAGAAAGTGAGCCATGGTCAAAGGAAAATGTAAGACTGTGCTCAGAAGAGTCTCAAGGAGCATCTTATGACTTGGGAGTAATTCATAAATACATATACATGGGCTTATAATACCCATCCAAAACATTATTTTTTGTTAATATACAGCAGTGCAGTTATACATCAAGTCTGAGGTAGAATTCCAAACTTATATATATTTTTGGAGGACAATGGGCTGGATGATTTTGGTTGGTGGTCCAGATCCAGCTTCTGATTGCTGACCCTTACCATAAAGGCTAGGGGAAAGGAAGGAGCAAGTCAGCTCAGGTCATAAATAGGTTAACTGTTGATAGTTTAAGAAAATCGAACAGCAATCTAGAGGTATTCTGATCAGGTATGAGTCTTAGTCTTAGCCTATGCATGTTTAAAATACTGATATTTTAATTATATATCCTGAAACTAAACAAACATAATAAACTCTACAGACTGTCTTTCTCCCTCATTAGTACATGCTCTCCACGGCATTTTGCTGTTTATCAATGCAGACATGGTAAAAATAAATAGTTAGGCAAAAAAGACTTGAGTCTGGCAACAAGAGATTGGGAATATCAAGCTTTGAAGAGCAGAGACACTACAAAATCTATGGAAAACCATGAACACATACAAATAAACAGCACTAAGTTTAGCTCACATCCCAATGAATAAGCATGATAAATTTAGCCATTACCCATTGAATTTGAACATATGGTTGGAGGCAATTTTAAACAAGGATGCTGAACATAAATTTCCTTCTCATTTAGAAAAAAATGCTGGAAAACCTTTAGATCAGATTACCAGCACTGTCTATAAATTAACAAATAACTCCAAATATGAATCCATGCAACTTTTTCTTGAAAGAAAAGCATAATTAGAAAACAAAAATCAATCAGAAATTGGCAATACATACTCCTATTAAGGCCAAACCTGGGGTGCTTCCAACAGACAGAAATGCCTGTTTCCATGGAAATTTCTGTAAACAAAAAATGTGACACCATGAAAATACACCCATTCTCTACACTGCAAAAAAATCTGTTCCAATCTGCCACATATACTTACATTTTTCTCACCATTCTTCAATGGTCTTTTTACAGAATTCCTGTTTGCCAAACTGAATCCACCAATATATGCATGGAAAACAAACTGTAAAAGTTGAGATTACAAATGCATAGTATCAATATGAGTTAATAAATTAATCTAAACAAATTAATAAAAGTGAATGGTTTGGCCAGTACCTGCCGAGAAAACGATGAGAAAAATGTTTTGTATGGCAAGGAAGCAATTGCAGCCTGTGAATAGAAATTTATATGGGAAACACATCTGGACAATATTGCAAAGATACATACCTGCACTAGCAGATCATTTTATAATTTGCTACAGTACCATCATATAGTTCCAGAAGCAGATATCCAGCCCAAATCTAAATTTGCTACTGGCACCACGGATCCCATGTGAGGTAACTGCTCCCAAGTCACTTCACCTCCAGTCAATAGAATTTAAAGAAGCTTGAACTTACCACATCTTCTATTGGTAGCACTTTACTCTGCCAGACATATTATTTTACCACTGCCCTTAAAACCATTCAAATGGTATTTTGGCCTCCATATTTTTTGGGATAAGATAAATTAAGACAGGGTTATGGCAACTTACACATCACAATAATCTTAATAAAACTGTGTTCACGCACAATAAAAAACAAAGCAACTCCTACGTTTACAAAGCTGCTTCATCTATAAAGGTAAAGGTTCCCCTCGCACATATGTGCTAGTCGTTCCCGACTCTAGGGGGCGATGCTCATCTCCATTTCAAAGCCAATGAACCAGCGCTGTCCGAAGACGTCTCCGTGGTCATGTGGCCAGCATGACTAAACGCCAAAGGCGCACAGAATGCTCTTACCTTCCCACCAAAGTTGGTCCCTATTTTTCTACTTGCATTTTTTACGTGCTTTCGAACCGCTAGGTTGGCAGAAGCTGGGACAAGTAACTGGAGCTCACCCCGTTACACGGCACTAGGGATTCGAACTGCTGAACTGCCAACCTTTCGATCGACAAGCTCAGCGTCTTAGCCACTGAGCCACCGCATCCCTTCATCTATACACTCATCTATACCTTTATCCCTTCATCTATACACTCATGCAAATCAACATATGTATTTACAATGGGCCTATAATGTTTTGTGTCCACTTTAGAGTACTTGGAGGCTAAATGTGCTTGAGTCCAATCTTGACTACCTTAAAAAAAATTCTTCAATATTTTGAGGTGAAAAAAAGCATTTCACAATTATATAAAATATATATCATATGAAATATATATGAAAATGCTTTAAAGTACTTTCCCAATATGTACTAATGAATAATATGTACTAATGTACATATTATTAGTACATCTGTACATCTGTACTAATATGTACTAATAAATAATGCTGTCAGCCCTCAGGTCCTTTTTTTATCTCACTTCTTCTTTCATCTAAGCAGTTTATTTTATTTTCCCTCCCACCAAATTCTATTCCTCATTTATGTTTGTTGATTTCATGAGCCTCTCCCCGTCATGTTTTCTTCTTCTTTCCATCTATAAACATTTTGTGCTATGTGATTATCACTGGGCTGCTTAGGAGGAAATGGGATCTTTTCTTAAAAAATGTTGTATCCTGTGAATCGAAGGTGACTCAGAAATTGCCAGTATCTCCCTCTTTTGTGTGGCCAATTTGGATTATACTGGTGCAAAGACCAGTTTGCTCTCCAGAAATTGTCAGCAGTATGTGTTATCTCTGCACTGAAACACTGCATGCAAATTATATTGACTAATTTGAGCCCAATTAAAAAATGGAATTAGTACAATGGTATCAAGATTTATATTTTTATTCATTTTAAAACTCCAATACATATATTCTGAAAACTTTCATTGTTACTCACCAATGAAGCAGAAATACACACAAAACCTTTGAAAGAATGAAAGAAAACTGTGCAGTTAGCAAATTTGTTGAACAAGTCCATCGAAGGGAGTGATAGAAATATAAAAATTACAACATATACAGTAATGATAAATTAGGCACTACAGGTAGTCCTCAACTTACAACCATAATTGAGCCCAGAATTTATGTTGCTAAGTGAGATATTTGTTAAGTGAGTTTTGTCCCATTCTACGACTCTTTTTGCCAGAGTTGTTAAGTGAATCACTGCAGTTGTTAAATTAGTAAAACGGTTGTTAAGTGAATCTGGTTTCCCCATTGACTTTGCTTGCCAGAAGGTCACAAAAGGGGATCACATGACTCCAGGATACCTGCAACTGTCATAAATACGAACCAATTACCAAGCATCTGAATATAAATCACGTGACCATGGGATGCTGCTATGATCATTAGTGTGAAAAATGGTCGTAAGTCACTTTTTTCAGTGCCGTTGTAACTTCGAACAGTCACTAAATGAACTGTTGTAAATCGAAGACTACCTGTATGTAGAATAAAAAACATGGAATTATGGAACCTTTTGGGGTTTTTTGAGTTTTATACTTCATTACTTTAGAAAATTACTGATGCTAAATAAGCAATGGAAGTTTTAGAGGTTGTCAGTTATTTAAAAGAAGGCAAAATTGTACTCTAGGAATTAATTGCTTCAATAATGCAACAGATTTTCGATTAATTTTCTTCTCATTCCTACATGCTGAAAGCAAGTCCTAACAAGACAAATATTGCTAAGCTCAAAGATTTAAAAATTGACAATGAAGCCTTAAAAATCATGGAGTGGGCTATTTTTTTAATTATGATATTGTTAATGTATAATAATAATTATGGCACTTAAGAAGACATATTTGATTATTTACTTTAGATATCTACTTAAACCATGCAACTTGTTCAACTACGATCTACTAAATAAACTGCAACCATCAGAGTCGACACAATAAGCTAAGCCACAATCTTTGTTTACCAACTATAATGGCTGACTGCATGCAACACATTAAGCCCAAATTAAGCAAACTACATTAAAATTTAGCATGATTTATAATGCTAGTCTGCATCTGTTGGAATATATTCACTTCACATACTCATCAACTCACAATCAACAATAAAAACAAATGTATAAATTAATATTGAGATCATATTCTAACATGCTTTCCAGGAATACAAGAAAATAAATGCAGGCTATGGATGATCTCCATTAATAACAGTAATAATAACTTTTATATGACAATTGATTTTCCTTCCTGTTATTATTCATCAGTTTATCAGTACTAATAACAGTGTGAGGAAGTAATTAAGGTGGGGGGCTATAAATCGGAAGACTTAGATTGAAATCCATCATCAATCACAGAGCTCCAAAGCTACTGCTGGACCCTTCATTTCCAACGTCCCCACCCACTGCACAGGATGGTGGTTAAGAGATAAAATAAGAAGGGGTTTATATACAGTTCCTTGAGTTTCTGAATGAAAGGTGGGTGATCAAACAAGTAAACAATTATGTAAAAACCTGACTTCAAATTGCAATAAAATGATATTTGAAACTGACCTCCTCCTCTAAAGTAGAATGGAATTGTATCACCAGTGCTGGAATTCACACAGCTCTGAAGAAAGAAAAATACATACATAATCCCAAAGAATTATGGGACATCTCTACTAAAAAATGAAAAGAACAAGTTAAAATAATTCTTAAATGTAATAGGAAAACTCACCAGACTTATTTTCCAGGCATCTCTGACCTAAAACATTGGAAAGGAGTATTTTAGAAATAGGTCAGGTACTATTTTATAGCTGAATATGTATTGTGGAATGGCTTAGCTTTTCAAGAATCACTGATGGGGTTATTTAAAATGTTTTGGGTTTTTTTGTCCTTCGATGATGCTTTTGCACATTATTTGCCATATTATAACCCATATCCTAGATCACTTTTTTTTTAATCTGGCAGCTTCATTCAAGTTGTATTTCAACTCATCTAAAGAAATTGTGACATTTAAATCATAGGATCATAAAATATAGATATATATGATACCTAGAAGTAATAAGGTTCTGTAAGTTCAGAACTAATTAAAATTGGCTTGTCATGAATGAATTCTGGGTTGGTACTCAAAGTTTGTTCACTTCACTTGTTAGCGTCTTTAGATAAATTTCTTGTGTTTTAAACCTAAGATTCTTATTTATTCAAAGTGTGGCTGTCACGGGACAGGGGTAATTATTGATGTCACACTAGAAATGTGTTCCGTAGTATCAATGCATGACTACTTTACAGACAACATCACATGAACAAAGGCAGTATTTAGCCTCACTTGGGGAGAAGACAGTATTTAGTCCTCACTTGGGAGTTGGGATCAGAATGAAGACAGTTACGAAATCAGTTCCTCTCTCCATGCCTCAAGTTTCAGCCTACATATCAGGGCACAGCAATGAGAAACCTAATCATTTTTGCACCCTAGAATGCACACCGTAATATACAAATATGTTCAAAATATCATTGTACCTTTTTATCTTGTGAAGACATTACATTTTCTCCAGTATTCAGTAAAAGATCTCTTGATGCATTAATGTCCGCCTGCATTTAGAAGAAAAATGGAATTAAACTGGTTTTTTTTTCTATAAATAAGCATTTTTTTTCTTGTGATGTTATTTTTTTTCCACAGAGTGTTTTGTGACACAAAATACATTCAACCAGTGTTGGGCATGGTTTTTCTCTACTCCACTCTTCACAGTGGACGGTGAAAGGACAAACTCAGAGCAGCTTCTAGGACACAAATAGATCCAGAAGAAAGCATCAGGGGCTTGTCTCTCTTTCCCAGAGCTGCTGCTCCAATCCAGTGGTGAAATGTATAATTTGTTACTACCGGTTCTGTGAACGTGGCTTGGTGGGGTTAATGTGACTGGGTGGGTGTGGCCAACTTTTTTCTTTTCTTTTTTTTTACTTTTAAAATTTTTTTTCTACAACAACAGGGGTTTTTGCTACCAGGTTTCCGAACCACCTGCTGTCATTGCTACTGGATCGGGCTATCCGGTCCAAACCAGGAGCATTTCACCCCTGCTCCAATCTGATCTGCAAGACTTTTCAAGGGGAGGAAGAATGTCAGGAGTCCAGATCAGTAATCTACTATAGCATATTCTTTCCAGTCCCAAACCATTTATGTATTCATGCAGAGAACCTATTTCAATCTTCCTTAAATATATTGACTATGAATCAAACAGCACTATTTCTTTCCCACTGGTGGTTGGATATATATCCTGGCTAGAAGAAAAACACACATAAACCCTACGAAGAAGTAAGAAAATTGATACTGTGCCTTTACAGGGAGGATATGGGTGTGGCCTACTGATGACAGCTAATGAGCTAGAAATGGATCTATTTAGGTCTCCCACCTAGCAGTGAGAGCTTGCTAGGTGTTAGAAAAGAAAAAAGCCCAGAACAGAGTAGATGAGATTCTACTGAGCTGGAGCTACAAAAAAACCTTGGCTACGTAGGGAAAACCTGGCTAGAGAAAAACACACATAAACCCTACGAAGAAGTAAGAAAATTGATACTGTGCCTTTACAGGGAGGATATGGGTGTGGCCTACTGATGACAGCTAACGAGCTAGAAATGAATCTATTTAGGTCTCCCACCTAGCAGTGAGAGCTTGCTAGGTGTTAGAAAAGAAAAAAGCCCAGAACAGAGTAGATGAGATTCTACTGAGCTGGAGCTACAAAAAAAACCTTGGCTACGTAGGGAAAACCTGGCTAGAAGAAAAACACACATAAACCCTATGAAGAAGTAAGAAAATTGATATATATATATATTTATATATAGATAAAATAGAAAATGCTGAAGTACCTGTATCTTTTGACTGATAAGTGCAAGGAGCCTCAAAGCTAAAAGCAAGCAGAATTGCTCTTTTTGGCGACAGCCTGAATTTGGTGCAATGCAGTGGTTCGCTCTGTGTATCGCAGGCCAACACACATGGGTAAATTCTTTCTTTCAAATATTTGTTATTACACATAACAAAAATTGGAAATTATTTTTTTTCTTTAAAATAATATTACTGTGACTGAAAACTTGTGGGAAAATAACAAGCATGTTACATTAACGATCATTTTTATGCAAGCTGCCTGATTTTATTCTTCCATCTACATGGCCCTTGTGGTTGTATTTTGTATGTTGTCTGAATCAAGAAAATGTTACGCACTATTAAGGTTCTTTGTCTTAATGATACAGTCTGAAACTGTGGCTTGCACTTGACTTATTTGATCTAGCTTTGGTTTAGCATTATAGCCAGTCTCAAACTAATGGTTAATTTATGGCTCTTGTTGCTCCAGGGAAATGAAACAGGTTACAGGAATGGCTACAAATTGTTTCAGAAGCTATATTTCACTACTCCACTTTCAAAATTTATTCTTCCATTTACCCACGCATGCAAGGAAGTTTTTTGTTTTTTTAAAGGGTTAGAAAAACATTCATTTTCCCCACATCCTTTATATAGTAGCTCTGATGCCGAACAAAATATTAATTGCCTTGATTTGAGTTTGGAGGAAAAAAACAAACAGACAAAGTAATGTTGCTCAGTTAGCTACCTTAAAATAGCCAAGAAGAAAAGACCAGGCTGCAGCTGATGCAGCGTCTAGAGCATGGGTGTCAAACTCAATTGTGTCATGTGACGTATCACAATGTAATGCAATGTTTTTTTTCCTTTGAGGAGCCAAGGTAGGCATGGCTTGCGTGTGACGCATTAGGCCCAAGGGTCACAAGTTTGACACCCCTGATCTAAAAGTAATCGTCAATCTGAGATCACAATTGGGACTTGCACTCCATCATTAAGCTCTGTGACTGCAATTTACATTTTACTTGTTCATTCACTATTCACTTGCTTATCGTAAGTCAGTTGTAAAACACACAAATGTGACTGTGAGATGCTGTGATGGTCATAAATCCGAAGATTGATCACAAAGCTGTCATTTATTCAATTTCTATAGCCAGCCATCTCAATCCAATCAACTCTTTTTTTAGCATGATTTCAAATGGTTGCTAAATAAGGCAATCAGTAAACAAGGACTACCTGTAAATTTTTAATGTCATATGAACATGCTCACAGAAATCTTTATAGCTTACTTTCAAGTTTCAATATCCTTACCCTTAGGTTCCTTACCTCACGTGTAAATACGACGAAGGGGTCTAAAATTTCTATCCATTGCTTCAACCTTTCGTAAAAAGTCTAAAGAAAGACATTTAAAAGATACCTGAGCTTGAATATATTTTTGCACTGATACTTAAATTAGTCAAAATTGCCCAATAACATAAATCCAGTAGTTTTATCCACACATCAAAGCCAAAGTTGCTCTCCATTACCCCAAACCTGTGCTTTTTTGATTAAACAAGATACCTGGCATAGTCAAGTCATCCATCAAAAGCATATCCCACAACCCTTTGAAACTTCATGATTGATCTTTCTGGTATGTGATTCATGGAAACTCAATAACTCAAATAAAGGATCACATCGTTTTGACAAGAAAAATCAACTGGGGGACGGGTGTATGGGACTAAAATATTCTTTCATCCTCACCTGTTTTGCAAGCATGGGGAAATGGGTTGTTTTTAATGGGAAAATATTAAGCTTATCAACTTTTATTATAGTGTTACTTACAAAAACAAGGTCATATAAAAGTCATTTCTATTAAGCCACACCTGTTCTACAATTCTAGTAGACTTACTGAAAATCAACTGGGCAAGGAGAACGCCAAATGTTGGACTGTTATCCAGAGGGTAACCCAGAGCTTAGAATACAATTCTTTCAGAGTTGAAGGCATACAGCCTCTATTTCTTTCTCCTATTGTCTCGATAGTGGGCAACACAGAAAAACTGAGTACATTTCAGGATTCCTATAGTACAACCCAAAGGATTATTTGTTTTGTTTTTCTCACCCTTAATGTTGTATAGGTTTCACTTAAGAGCAAACAGAACAGATCCAGAAACCATTCCCTTTCCTTCTGCTTTCAAATATTTGCAGTAGAGGGCCAAGAACTCTGCAAAGCAGTTTAAAATAAACTGTATGGGTCTCAGGACCAATTTTCAGATACAATCAAAGAGTATTCCTTTTCTTTAGGGCAATGAGATTATGCCCACTCAAAAAAGATAGAGGACAGTTGAAAGGCTTTGTGGTTGTAGTCATACAAATGCCATTTAATCCAGATATCCAGGGTGTGATACTATATCCATTAAAAAGCATGTAAGCTCCATTGAAATCAACAAGGCTTACTTCCGAGTAGATTTTAGGAAAGAACACATTTAATATATCTAGCGTGCTCTCATTTATTACACTATGTTTTTATCACACTGGGCTTAATAATTTGCTGAGTGTTCTGGAATGGGAATGTCATACTTCTTGCTGTGCTGCTTTTCCTTCCTTGTTTTAAAACCTAGTTTGTGTATTTTGCCGGATCGAAGAAATAACTCTTTCCACCTCACCCGCCGGTTTTTCCTGCCTCTCAACTTCCACGGCTGCAGGGCGAGGGCGAAGCCATTTAGTCCTTCGATCGCCCTTTTCCACACGCCAGCCGAGGGCAAAGCCTCGCTTCCCCCCCCCCCCACCCACAATTCTCGCCCGGCTCATCTTTTCACTTCCAGGCTGCACTAGAAAAGTTGATCCCCGCCCCTTTGCGACCGCGGCATAACGCTTTACAGTGATCCGTACTTGACCCTCGTTTCTCCAAAACTGCAAATTCAAATCCATGATGTTCGGATGGTCGCGCCGGAAAGCGGCTGGTTCCGGAAAACGTCGGCAAAATCACCCACCCACCCGTGGAGAGCTTTTCGCGATTGCGGGATCATCCCCTCCCTCGCCTTTGACGTCATTCATGCTCACCGCTGCTCGTTTGTTCCTCGGACGCCGATTTGATTTTCAAAGGGTTTTTCAAACACTCCCATTTTCACCCGCAAAACTCGAATCCCCGTGGAAAGATTCTCCCCCGTTTCTCGGGAAAAGGGGGGATGGCAAGTGCAGAGTCGCAAAATATGTGGAGCGGAGTGACAGTCCTCCCTAGCTTCAAGGCTAGGAATAAATATAGGAACACCCCAAATGCAACACGCTTTTGCACTTAGTTTTTCAAATCAAAACAATTGCAGTCATTATCAAAACTGCAGTTGGCCTGTCAATGAACGGATAGGAAGTTTTAGCCTGGGTTCGCGTAACTTAAGGGACTGGGCAACTGATCTAATGCACGCGTTGTGTGAATCTGGCACGCGACGCGATGACGACCGTGTGCTGTGCGAAGCGAACGTTTCTGGCTCGGATCAAACTGCGCGCTTACTGGCTCATAGCGCGAATCGTGCAGTACGTTTGCATCGGGCTAACTACGACGTGGGTAATCCACCTGCGTCAATTCCCGCAATACGCTGAATTAGAAGGGAATCAAAGAGCTGGATTTCCAGTCTAGCTAGCCAGATAGATGACTGTTGTGCCGCCCCAGGCGAAAGACAAAATATTTTTTTTTAAAAAAAAAGCTTTTCTTTGAAAATGACAGAATCTGCAATTTTTACAAACCGAATAATAAATCGTATATGAAACACACCAAATCTGGATATTTTGTATTGAGCTAATTCAGTCAAATCAAGCACTTTCTCAATATCACCCAGATGCAAATGTCATTCTCATAGTTGAATCTCTATCATATTTGTTAAAATTTGTATGCTGCCAAATCACCACAGCATTGGTATGTTGCCAAATCTTATGTTCTGGGTGATTTGCCAGAAAATCAAATTCACAGACTCACTTATGTTCTCCCGTATTTTGCATATCTAGAGTGTGCTGATAAGAATATGATGATCTTGCTACCAAAAATACACAAAAAAAACCTCCTATGTTCTGGAGAGTGTCATGTTTCAGAATGAGAAATGTCACAGTACTTCCTTCAGGATATTCAATGACAGGAAATGGCTTATGCAGCTTCACAGCTATTCAGAAATAATTACATCAAGTCAAATGAAAAATAATAATAATAAACCTGAACTGAATATATAATCTTTCCAAGCAATTTTCTTGTGTGGAGTTAATGGTACAGAAGCATTTTCAAGGGTATAGCCAAGTAATTCAGTCAAGGATTAATCAGAAGCGTGAAAATGAATGTACTTTATTGTGCACATAAGCACTATCCCAGCTTGTGAGTGCAGAAACAGATGTGACCAATCATGCAATTTTATTTATTCCTTTTTCAAGATGTCCATGTGCTCAAAAGGCTTATAACTCGGCCCTCATCAGGCCATTAATCATCCAGAAAAATATATATCTGGTTTTCCAACAGAATGTCCTCACCCACCTCTATGATAACTATAGACCTTCCATTAGTGCCTACCAGATTTCATGTCCTTGTTTAAAAAAAAAAATTTTAATCTTGAAAAAATGGGGGTGGGTATAAATTAGAAACTAGAATGTTGAGCAAGACATAATTTCCAAGAATCCTTTTAAATTCTAGAACTATTCAAAATATTCATTTTCTGAGGAAAAAATGAATCTACTGCTGTGTTAGGACACTGACCTAAAAGGATGAGATGGCAGAAAGCATTGATTGTGTTTGACCTCGGGGGGGGGAGGATGGCCAGCTCAAAATTACTCGTGTCAAGGGTGCCTGGGTTGGCTCCAGCGCTCTGCCAGTGAAAACGGGCTCCTGAGGTCTGTTTTCAGCTGCGACGGCCTCCTGCAACAGTCAGCGAAAATGGGCTTTGAGTTTGACACCCCTGTGCTAGAAGAATTTTACCAGTTTGTTTTCTTATATAACAGGGCTTTGTGGTTAGTCACACCATCATGCCATTCCCCCTTATAAAAAAAAAAAAAGATATAATAAGCTTTCAATTCAAAATACCAGAGAAATCCCAATTTAAAACTCAACTGGATCACAGAGCTCATTGGATAACAATGGGCAAAGTACCAACCTCTTTAACAAATAAGAGAACAGAATAACAAAATTGGAAGGGACCTTGGAGGTCTTTTAGTCCAACCTCCTACTCAAGCAGGAAATCCTATACCATATCAGACAAATGGTTGTCCAGTCTCTTAAAAAAGAGCACCCACAACTTCTGGAGGCAAGTCATTCCACTGATTAATTGTTCTGCCAGGAAATTTCTCTTTAGTTTTCACAGGGTTGCTGGGGTGGGAATGAAATAGGAGAGATACTTGCTTAAACTATCCAGACCTCCTAGAGAAAAAAATGGAATTTCAGTCAAATAAATGTAACTAAATGAATCAGGGAGAATTACAGACTTGTGGGTTGTAAAAGATTGCATAGAAGTTCCAATGATCAGAAACAAGTATTTTGAGATGGCACTGATATCGATTTAGCGAGCATCATTTATGTGGCACCAATACTAATGTAGTTAGTTTCATTTCTATGGCTGCCACATCCTCTTCTTGAATTGCTGTCTGCATAAAGCACAGCAATTATTCATAAAAGACCAGTGGTGCAACACCTGTTCATACAAATAGTGCTTCCATGCATTCCAACAAATGATTACTAGGAATATCCTGCTAGTACAGAGAGCATTGAGCATCGAAGCAAGGAAAAGCAAATAAAAAATATACTGGTGGGATAAGTGAGACTACATGTAATTATAGCAAAATCCAGTTTTCTTTTTGAAGTTCTTTCATAGTTTCTAACTTTCATAGTTATGCATTTAATTGTGATGTGAAAAATCTTGTTCAAAAATAAGCTCTAACAATTTTCACAATAATAAATTCTCTATATAATTAATATTCCATCAGTATAGTATTGAAAATTTATACTCAAAAGTATTACTAAATATTCACAGCAACATTTCCAAAACATGCGAAAGTTTAGTGTTGGTATTAACAGACTTTGGCTCACAACTTCTTCTTTTTATTTATAAAATAATAGCATACTGTATATTCTTCATTTACTCTTAATTTTTTAATGTTTTCATTTCAGTATTCCAAAATATTTAATAGCTTATTTATTATGCTGAATAATAATGATGATTTCATGATTAGATCACAAAGGTAATTCCCAAAGGGACATCCTGTGGTGGTTGTTTGTCAAAAGAGTGAAAAAATGAGGCATGAAGATTCATGCTATGAATGCAACTAATTTACTGAATGTGTGTTAATTGGGTTATAGTTTCATTAAGTTTATGAAGATAGGAAACCTGAATATACCACAAACTAAAATAAACTAAAGAACATCACTATTTTTCCACACTAAATATAAAATGCAGATCATTTTACTTAAATGAAAATTATTTTCTAGTATTTTCCAGTGCTGTGGAGTCGGAGTCGGAGTCGAGGAGTCGGAGGAAATTTTGGGTACCTGGAGTCGGAAGTACAAAAACTGAGGAGTCGGAGTCGGAACATTTATCTCCCGACTCCACAGCCCTGACAGTGCTGTGGAGTCGGAGTCGGAGTCGGAGTCGGAGTCGAAGGAAATTTTGGGTACCTGGAGTCGGAGTCGGAGTCAGAAGTACAAAAACTGAGGAGTCGGAGTCGGAACATTTATCTCCCGACTCAACAGCCCTGGTATTTTCTGTAGGATATCTGTGCTATTTAAACTAATTTGGGATTAAATTAATTCACCTATGGAAGAAGGCGAAAGTCCTGTGAACATTTAGACATTCATCATAGCAAAGTAGAAAACATTCTGTGATTTTTATTGTAATCATGGCTAGTCTTACAGGTGTTTGATTTTGGCGTCAGGAAATAGATTCAATCATTAAGCCCGTACAGCTCATCATTCTATTTATTTACTTTTGAAAAATATTCTTTTGAATCTTCTGGGTTTGGTTTAATCTGCAAAACAAAAAAAAGTTACAAAATAAGTATTGAATTATGCATTCGATCAAGGCAATTAATTAAATGCTATACAGAGTCCCTATGAACATAAATATCAAACATCCCTTTCTTATCTCTTACAAGAATAGTAAGGAACTTAAAAGCATACCTACTTCCAATTCATTCAGCAATTGTTCAAAACTGTTCAATGATAGTGAACAAGTACAGTACTTACAACCAGTTCGTAGGATCTACAGCAGGGGTGAAATGCTCCCGGTTCGGACCAGATTGTCCGATCCGGTAGCAATAGAGGCGGGTGGTTCGGAGAACCGGTAGCAAAAATCCCTGTCCCCCCCCCTCCGCCCCATATCCAGCTGAGCCGTACAATCATCAGAGGCTTTTTTTTTTACTTTTAAAAGCATTTTTTGTACAACCTCTTTGGCCGAAAAAATGCTTTTAAAAGAAAAAAAAAGCCTCTGATGATCTTCCGGCTCAGTTGGGATCCTCAAAGGCTTTTAAAAGCCTCTGATGATCCCAGCTGAGTTGCCTGATCGTCAGAGGCTTTTTTTCTTTTAAATGCCTCTGACAATCCAAGCTGAGTTGCCTGATCGGAAGAGGCATTTACAAGAAAAAAAGGCCTGTGCCGATCAGGCAACTCAGCTGGGACTGTCAGAGCCTTTTGAAAGCATATTTTTACAACCTGTTCGCCAGAGGTTGTAGAAAAAATGGTTTTAAAAGATTGTTTTTTAAAAATTGGCCACGCCCACCCAGTCACATTAAATCCCCCCCACCAAGCCACGCCCACAGAACCGGTAGTAACAAATTTTAGATTTCACCACTGATCTACAGCCATCACAGTGTCCTCTGTGGTCATTTGATTGTGGTCTGGGTGGCTGGTCCTCAATTATGTATCACAACATCCCATGCCCATGTGATTGCCATTTGCAACTTTCCTTGTCAGCTTTCTACAAGCAAAGTCAACGAGGATGCCGGCAGAATGTTGCAAATGGCAACCCTACGATATCCTCTCTTAACTACAGCAGCCACACAATTTCCACTGCTAAGCAGAGTGGTCACTTATCACATCACGCTTTAGGGCTACACCATTTAGCAATGGACATTGCAGTCAGAATTGCTGTTGTGCAGTGAGGACTACATTGTATAGATAATCCCTCATACTGGCATCCAATCATAAGGAAGAGAGCAGGTCTAAACAACCTGGCATGCAATAGTAGCAGTGCATGGGAGAACTCTAGATACTGAGAGGAAAAAAAGATTTTTCTATAATTAAAACAAGGAGCATTATGTTTTTCATACTAGCTTTAATAACATACCGTGGGGGAGTCTGGAATCCAGTTTGCTGGGCAGACTTCTCCATGTGTTTCTACATACTGGAATGCTTTCACCAACCGAAGTGTTTCTTCTACACTGCGACCCACTGGGAGATCATTGACACTTAAATGCTTGACGATGCCATTAGGATCCATGATAAAAAGGCCCCTTTAAAAAAAGTAAATGCATCTTTTTAAATTAAAAATGTATTTTCTGCAAAAATGGCTTTACAATATAAAACACACACTGAGATGTCATGTTTACCGGTATCCCCGTCTTCTTTCTCTACCAGATAGCTTAGAGAAAGGCAGTTGAATTTATGTAATTTGTTTGCTTGAAAAGAGCCAGTTCTAATTCTATTGGGAGGTTAATGTAGCTTCCACTGTATTTTCCAGTAGTCTTTTAAATTATTATTTATACCTACTCTGAATACTCTGAAGCCATAACAGACTGTCAGTTTAAATACAGCAAGAAAAAAATACTGCACATCAGTAATAGATGTCACATTTATCTTTTATATATGAAAATTTATATATGACGTTTACCAGCATGAAAATGTTTAAAAGAGCCTTAACTGACCAACTGTAATCAAGGCAGACAGACAGATTCATAGATAGTTATGTAGATAAGTGGGAATTTCAGCTCTTAGATTTGCATGGTAGGAGAGACCTAACATATTCCCAGTCTTACATTCTATCCAGGAGATTCCAGCAAAAAATGTGTGTATATATATATATACACAGTATTTTATTCTGTACTACATTCTATAAATAAAGTATTTTTCAAACTTTTTAAAAAATTTTGTAAACGATTAAGAAAACTCTTATTGATTGTGGTTTGTGTGTGTGTAAAGTTACTGCTCCTATAAAATTAATCTCTCTCTCTCTCTCTAGTTGGCTAAGGCGGGTTAAATGGCATTTTAAGAATCTGCTGAAAATATTATCTGATACAAGTAGTCCTGTCTCTTCTCTTCTGCAAGACGGCAAGCAGCTCCAGAACCAAACTCTGCTTGCCATGCCCAGGGAAGGTACAGCCACCCCAACCAAGTCCTAGTCACCCTTGCCGTCCAGCACTTCATAGTCCTAGATAACCTTTGCCACTGCCTTCTTGCTCCCACTGCTGACAAGCTGTGGCCGGCCTGGCTACTGGTCTACAGAGTGAAAAAGAAAAAAAGAAGCACAAAGCACTTTAAAGAGGTCGGAGCATTTTAAAATGTCCCTTTGCACCATACTCCTAGGCTGTATGGAGCTGGCTTTGTGCTGTAAAAAAAGTGTGTGGGGGGGGAAAGTAGCTCAAAGGCAACAGAACATGGAAAATGCCCCTTTGTGTTGCACTCGTGGTCCATATGGGCTAGCTTGGTGCTGTGAAGAAGGGGAAAAGAGCAGAAGCAGCTTATTTCCGTCCCCTCTTTTTTTTCCAGCCCAAAGTCATAGACTACCTGCAAGCTTCAGGAAGAGACAGATTTAGTTCACACAATGTACTAAACCAGGATCTTAGGTTTACAAACTGCAACACTTAACTTCACACAATGTACTAAATTAAAATCTATTCGAGTATTTTATGGCATCATATATAAATCCCTATCCTATCTTACTAGAGACGTTCAAGGTAAGTAACAAGATTCTTTACCTTAATGCTATCCCAGAGCTTTCTATGAGAACACCATAGTCTCGGGAAATCTGTTTTGTTAAATCTGATAGTAGTGGGATATTCATGTGGCCTAAACCACCAGTCTAAGGAAAAAGACAAACATTTTAGCTTTTCTGTAGCCTTCCAGATTTTTACTATTAATCAAAAGATGATGAATTAAATATCCCTCACAAACAACCATTAAGAGCTAGAGAAAGAAAATCCAACATCAGTATAAAACAGATTTTCATACATCATCATCATCATCACTATTATTATTACTATTATTTATAAGCAATGTACCTTGATATAAATATTAGAGAGAAATGTTGTAGACTCCAGAAATAACATAATTCCTTGTTTTCCAACCATTCCTTACTCCCAAATAAAGCCTATTTCTTCAGATTTGTACACAGAATTACTACAAGATCCTTATTAAATATATTAATATAATATTAATTATATTAATATATTTCCTATATTTATAGTATATTAATGTTTATTAGCATTAAATATTACAAATATACAAATTAAAATAGACCATAAATGATAAGATTACACAACATTTTTTATTAAAAAAAACATGTTGAAGGTCTTTAGCCACCATTCAGCGATGTAATGGGCACTGGCCAAAGTTATAATATTTGTTGGGCAGCTGTAATAAATGTAATGAAATAGATTAACTTTTTATGTTTTATGTTTAACTTTTAATGTTTTATATATGGTTTTAAATGCATTGTAAGCCGCCTTGAGTCTTTGGAGAAAGGAGGCATATAAGTTGAACAAATAAATAAATAAATAAAATTAAATAATTGGGAGGGAAAAATACGCTATCAAAGTATAAATGACACTACCAAAGTATGGTAGATGCCACAATTGCATTTTAAAACTTCCAAGAAAGATCTATTTAAGTATGTCTAGAAAGAAAACTTCAAATTTTGTTCTAATCCAGAACAGTTTTACATTGTGTGATAAATAACATATATGAAGAATATCTATACTAGCTTTCATAAGCCAGAAGCTTCTGTGTCAGTTGGGACTCTGGGAGCTGTAATTATTAATTATTTCTTTCACAGCCCAGCACAGATCAATACTATAACAATCACTTATGAAAATAATAAGTGTTATAGTGAAAGTGAAAATAATAAGTTGTTATAATAAAATGAGGCAAATATAGAATTATTAACATAAAATTACTGGGTATGGGAATTAAAACATGAGAGAAACTTAAACAATTACAATTAATTTTACAATGGATAATCTAAATGCTACAGATAACTATGATATCGATACAAGGATATTAATAAATAATTAATAAAACACTACAGGTAGTTCTCAACCCAAAGACCACAATTAAGCCCAAAATTTCTGTTGCTAAATGAGGCAGCTGTTAAGTGAGTTTTGCCCCATTTTATAACCTTTCTTGCCACAATTGTCAAGTAAATCACTGCAGTTGTTAAGTTAGTAAAGTTGTTAAGTGAATCTGGCTTCCCCATTGACTTTGCTTAACAGAAGATCACAAAAGATGATCACATGACTGAAGGATGCTGTTGAGTCAGTTGGCAAGCATCTGAATTTTGGTCACATGACTACAGGGATGCTGCGATGGTCATAAGTGTGAAAAACAGTCATAAGTGACTTTTTTCAGTGCCATTTTAACTTCAAAAAGCCACTAAAAAACCCTGTTGCTAAGTCAAGGACTCTCTGTATTAGGATATAAAGCTATGCTAAGTCTAATACTTGTGAAGGTCTGCTAGGATTTGTTGGGATTAAGATAATATAGGTTCAACAATATGTAGAATGGCATGCGTATGTTTAAAAGGAAAAGGAAAAAAAAGGCAGAAGAGGGGGAGAAAAAAGAAAGGAAAAAAAGAAGAAAAATATATTGAGTTTTGGAAACCTAAGTAAGGCTTAGTTCCTCACTTGGAGCACCAGTTTATGTTTAATCAGAGCTCTGACACAGAAGTGTCTATGAAATCTGACACAGAAGTGTCCTGATTAACCAGCAAGAGATTAAAGTAATCAGCATCTGTCCTGCCCAGCTATTGTGATACATGAGGAAATATATCTATCTTAGAGTTTTCTATACAAAAGGCAACCCAGCAACATACAGCCCAGCTTCCATTTCTCCCAAACCTCAAGCAAAGAGCTGAAAATCTTTCGGTATTTCATAGAACCTTCTTTCCAAGATGGCAAAAAGGAAAATATTATAGCTAGCAACAGTAAAAACTCTTTTGGTGTTTGGGAAAACACTTGTGGGTTACTGAATTGTTATATGATGGATCCTGTGTGTGTGTGCACACACACACACATTTGTTTTTTACACAATGTTTTTGTCTTGTTCAGTTTTTGCTTTGTTGTTGTTTCTCTCCTTTCCGTTTTTTTGGTTCTGTATTTTAACTTTGGAAATAAAATTTTAAAAAGTTATCCAAAAAAAGAACATTGTTGTTGTTTTCATAATTCATAAGGCAATTGATTTTAAAAGTGGGAGCTGTGGTTTCACCCATCAAATGGGCACAATAGGGTAGGGTGGCCTATATAAAACCAACCTGCCTTTTTCATATGAAAGGACATAGATCCAATTATGCTGAGGCTACAGTGGTTTTTCATTAAAATAAACAGAAATAAAAAGCTTGTTTTGTAATGTGGGCATCAAATATTGCCAATATAAGTTTGGTCTAGTGGTTAAGGAACCAGGCTAGAAACAATGAGACTGAGTTCTAGTCCCACTTTAGACTTAGATGAAAACTGGCTGGGTCACTTTGGGCCAGTCACTCTCTCTTAGCCCAACTTACCTCAAAGACTTATTGTGGAGAAAATAGAAGAATGGAGGAGTATTAGATATGTTTGCCATCTCAAGTTATTTATAGAAAGTAATAAAGGTGGGATAAAAAATAAAATAATAGATTAAATAAATTAAATAAAGGTTCAACCATCTAATTTTAAAATTGTAAATTTTAATTGTTATTTTGATATTAGTAAAATATATGCACACCTGCACAGCTGCCTTTATCCAGGAGTCTTAATAATAAGGCATTGGGCATCTGCTCAATTTAACTACATCACAAGCCAAGGAGATAAAATGGCCTGTCCTTGAAGCAAGGCCAGTAAGTCTCATTAGTGTTTAAGGGTCATCTTCTAGACAAAAATGTGTGGTCACAACTTGCATTTTAGTTGTGGAAATCATGTCACACGCTCATAAATCTAGCTAGAAGACTAGACAAACTTCAAGGCTGTAGCATACGCAAGCTAGTAAAGTATGTTTTAAAAACCTCAGCCCATTTCCCATTCATATTAGAATTACTTGTGGATATGAAAATAATTTAGTGATGATTTTAAAGTACAGGCCAGTGTTCTGAAGCACAGATTTTAATCTAGGACTCTGACAATTTACAGGTTCGATTGATAAAAGGGCATAAGTTTACGTACCAGGTCTTCTAGAGAATAAAACAACAGATCCCCAAGACAGAAAAGCTCAAGAAATAGGTAAGAACAAGATACAATTTTTCCAGGCCTTCCAAATTCTTCCAGGAGACTTGATTCTTTTAAGTCAGCAAGAAAGAACTACTATTTCAATTCACAGTCCCACATGAGGAATGTTCTAAGAGATGATTAAAATCTGACCACTAAGTCACATTAATATACAACAGTATAATAGACACTAGTTTTCTTCATTGCATATTATATATTTCACATAATTGCTTTTTTAATTTACTAATAGAGATTATAATTATCCATTTCAGAATTTTATAATTAGACTCAAAATAGTAGCAACTTTTGTAGCTATCAGTTACTTATGGCCTTGGGGTTGGGCCTCTCCTACAATGACCAAGCATAATAATTTACATTGTTTTATCTTTCCTTTTCTTACTGGGCACTACTTTTCTTATGGTTTAGAGTAGATTAGACAAAATGAACAGTGGTGTCTGAAGCCGGTCACGACGATACAACAATTATAATATATGCACACTGACATCATGATTTCATGCAAATTTTGATGCATTTGATGAAAATAACTGAGTCACAATACAGGTGAGAAGAAAGCACAAATAAAATTAAATAGCACAACAATTCAATTAATTTCAGAAACAGCAGAAACCATGAATAGTTCATTTTTATTAGGTGAAAGTGAAATGCCTATCTGGTAGGAAAAGTATAAATATTCACAGCTGAAAAACGATCAAATTTCTGTTTATATTTTAAGAAAATCTTATTAAAACATTGCCCTTTAAGAAACTAAGATATTTATATACCAAACTAATATTAATGTAAATAAGATGAATCTAACTTTTAAACAGATTTTAAGTATTTATTATTTTAAGTATTTAAAATTTTAAAAAATATCCAAATAAGTAAAAGCAATTTTCTTCCACACTCGATATCCCAGTAACTCTGTCAGTCAAATTAGCTAGCGTCTGTAGTGCTGTATAAATAGATATAATTAAATATAATGATAATGCAACAATAAGTGATAATGCAAGAAACTTAATTTCTACCTTTCTTGGTGTATTTATCCAGGCCAGATGACAGAAGTGAGAGTCCACTGATACAGCAACAACTTCACAATTCACATCATGGAATTCATTTGCTTTGTCACTAAAAGCTATAATTTCTGTTGGACATACAAAAGTGCTAGTGGGAAAAAAATAGTCAGAAAATGAAAAAGAATGGAACAGGCCTCTAAAAATCTTTATACCACTATGTTGTACAAAGTATGAGAAAAAGAAATATTTATCCATTTGAGGCACCCTGCTTATCCAAATAATTCCTTGGCACATAAATAGAAAAGACAAAGTTCAGAAGAATAATGACATGTAATCTAGAAAAGATGCCAAAAACATTGCTTCAAAATTGAATCCCCATTTTCTATCAAATGTTTATAGCGTTTATCTGATCGCTATTTATCATTCCCTTATCATAATTGTCAAAAAATCCAAAAATATGCTGCAGTCTGTATTCCATATAAAGCTGCCGAAATCCACAAATGTTCCAACCTCTGTTTCATTACAATTCTTTTTTAGGGACAGGCCACAGCATCATAGCAAACATAAGGTATAGAACATAAGATAAGAAATGTAAGATTTGGGGATCATACAATTTCCAAATTATAATTTGTACAGTTTTAGCAATCATACCGCATCAAATGCATCTGACAGGTGTTTTACAAATATTTTACTGGACTCTTCATGCAATATTGTAATAATATTCATTAGGAGCACTATATGCAGATATCTAGATACTGTTATTGTACAAAGGCAAAATGTGATCTAGAGTACATCTAAGTCTATAAGTAGCACCTCTCAACAATTGCATCTTTTCCTGGAATTGAGTAGCTACTGTAAGATTCTGGAAAAGAATGTCTTTGATTTAAAGAATCTTCAGATACTATGTATACAGTACTTGGAATCACATTTGCCCTTTCAATTTGGATCATTGCACAACCCTACAATTCATGCTCAAAGCAGGTTTTATTCTACACTAATTTCTAATCTGCACTGTCCACTGTATGGCATCTGGGTCATTAAAATTGAGACAATAAATTTCTCACATCTGCAAAACAAAATTACTGAAGAATTAAGTGTGTGTATTCCTTTAATCCAACAACCTTTTGCCTAAACTATATAATTTACTTGTTTCATCCACAAATTATGTACCACTTTATCTAGACAAATAAGCAATTAATATTCCAAGTCATTTTTTTTTCTGTCTCTGAATATGAGAGCCAATGTAGGAGGAGCTAGGAGGAGCTAGGAGGCTGGAGTAGAAATGGGCAGATTCAGTTTTTAGTCCACTAGATGACTGGGCCAGTCACTTTCTTCCCAGAATCACCTTGACAACATCGAAGGGCGTACAATGTAGTAGATTATAATCTATCATAGTCAAAACAACTTCAGGCTATCATGGATTAATTTGAGATGATAATAATAGTATCAATAACACATACCCTCCTTAATCTGGAAAGGCATTTATAAGAATGTCTTTGGCCTATTTCTTATCACTGAACTTGTACACAAAGAATGCCACTGTTACATGATAACCAGAATGCAAGTCAGGCTGAATTAACAAACAAGATTATCTGCCAAAAACATGAAGGCCAAGTCTACTTAAGAGATACAATATAGGAAAATACTTACAAATCCAAGGGGTAGAAGAAAAGAACCAGGTATTTTCCTTTAAAGTCATCTAAACTGAGCTCCCTGAAATCTCCATCCACCACAGCTGTCCCCTTAAAAAATGGAGCATGCTGAGTGACAGCAGGAACAAACCTCGCGACACCTAGTAATCATTAGGTACAGTCATGTGTTACAATGCAGATACTGTGTTTGGATTAGAAACAAGCAAAAGTCTTAACTTGCAAATTCATAAAAAGAACAAACATCTCAGTAAATGTACTCCAACATTTTTAGAACATAAAAAAAATAATAGTGAGCAATCACATACTTTTTTAAAAACTATTTTTTGTGATCGGCTACACCTACCCCAAGACAGCCATTTTGTAAGAGTGCTATTACATATTCTCACAATTCCCCCAAAGGCTGAGACTTCAGTATGATGTGAATTAGCCATTATAGTCTATAATCTATGCTCATTATCTAGTTCATGTTATGACTGAATATATTGTAGCATCTCCTCTGTTTGGATGTCACAATAATTTCAATCACTAAAGGGTCTACTATTGGGAAAAGACCTTTAGATTCATCAGCCATTCTAAACGAGAAAGAAGCCCATCGTATTTGTCAAATAGCCAATTAGTGAAGGTTGATGTTCAGGGTGGTTATTTTTCTGGAAACCAGCATTGCTCCAACCCAAGGCCAGGATTCATATAAATATGCAGTTTGTAGCCCTGAATCTTAATGTAAATAGGAAGAAAAGTATTCTTGCTTTCACCAAAGCTAACTCAACGAAGATGACGAAAAAACGTTTATCAGTACCTGAAATTTTAACTTTATTTTAAAATCAAATTATGCAGATACCTCTATATATGAGACCATACTAACTTATTGCCAAATAAAATTGAATATACGGATATACCCACACACCAGTCTGCTTGCAAACTATTAGTAACATTTAGTAGTACTGATGTATATATTTTGTGTATCTATACATAGTCCTTACTTCCTGATATTTCCATTGAATGGCTGTCCCCTTTTATACCCATCTGAAATAATTTTAAAATAACATGTCGGAACTACGGTAGTAATTCTGCAGTAGTAAAAACATGTTGAACCCCACACCTATGAAACCTATGTTCAATTGACATAACAGAAAAGCAGGCCTGCTTTTCAGAAAAGCAGAAAAAATAGAAGAAACAGTAATACAATTTACAGCATTGTGCCAACTTTGGAATATATTCCAAGGAAACAGCAAAGTAATAGAATCATTGAGGTGAAGGGCTCTTCTGGGTTACTTAGTCCAATTTCTGGTGTCTACTAGAACAGTTGTTTTTTAAACTAGGCAGCCTTAAGATATGTGTGGATTGTAGGGGCCAGAATCCCAAAACAGAATGCTACCAAGTTGCCAAGACTGTGTTAGACTAGAGTATCTGACAAGATGATTGTCCAATCTATTTGAAAAATGTTTCACATCAAGTGGCAGCCTATTCCACTGGCCAAAAAAAGTCTTCTTTGGTATTTAGCCTAAATTTTTTTCCTTAATAGTTTTAAGCCACGGGTTTTTGTCTTTCCTTGTGGGACAAGAGCACATGTGTCCCATCTGCACACGATAATCCAACATTTCCTCTGCTTTTTAAGTCACTGCAAATGGAAATGATTGCAGACTAAAACAGATAATATGCATGGGAGAGACAGACCCTTGGCCAGTAAGCACGGGAAGAAGTTTTTAAGCGAGGATTTAGAGTTCACCCGTGAACAATTCGGAAACTATCGCAAGGTGCTGATTATAAGCGATTTCATTCGCTGTCAGACCCGGCAACTTACTAGTACTGAAATGGAACCGAGGCACAGAGGGCTTCGCGTCGGCCGTGCACTTCCGCCCACTCGCCACTGCCGATAAACACCTTCCGGCCACCGCGTTTGCTCTCCATAAGGTGGCCCCGGTCCAACCACCCTAGGAAAAGAGGGCATGGCTCGGTATCAGAGGAAGACGGGCAGCGGGGACCAAAGGGTAACATGAAAGCGAAAGATGCACCGCAGCGGAGCAGAAGCAGCCTGAGATGCTCGGGAAAGATCTCTGCAAAGCATGAGAAGATCATGCCCGTTTCTCGTTTCTCCTCCCAAGTTCCATGAATGGAGGATTTCCCAAGATCTGGATGAGTAAAGAGGCAGGAGGGGTGGGTGGGGAAAGAGACACGCGGGTCTTATTTAAATTATATATATATATATTATCTATATATATAAACTATTGAGGAATAAATTATATATATAATTTTTAGATATAAAAACTTGAATATAATATACATATATAATGTAAAAGGAAAATCTGGGGAAGGCAGCGGTGATGGGTCCATTTTGCAAAAAGCAGCCAAAGGTTCAAGACGGGGGAGCGAGGGGATCGATAAAGGAATCTGGTCCTCGCCCCCTAAGTAAGCCATTATTAGAGCAAGCCTGCGAGGTTTTTCGGCTTACTCTCGTGCAAAGAGCGCGCCGGATTTAGTAAACAGGACGGGGAGAGAAGCGCCGCGGGGCCTTCATGCTGTAAGGGAGAAGCCCCAAGACTGCAGCCGCCCTGCCGAAGCGAAGCAATGCCCGAGGGTCAGCACTGGTCATTTTTCGGGGACGGCGCGGCAAGCGAGGCGGGGGTCGCACTTACGCTGGGTTTCAGTAACCTTCGGAGCGCCCCTGTTACGGCTGCCATTTTCAGCTTGAAGAGCAAACGAAGGGGGCGGATCGCGCTCCGGCTTTGGCTGATGGAGATACCGGGGAGGAGCCGCGAAATCCCCATAACCCCAGGGGCGGCCTTTTGATAGGCCGGCAGAGCTGCGGGTGGGATCGGCCCAACCTTGCACAATGTGGGTTTTCCCGAGGGTAAGGAAAGGGCCCGGTTAAAATTTGTAGTTCGGTCCGATTCTCGAGTTGACACTGAATTTGCTGCTGGGTCTATCGGAAAACGAGATGCATCTGTTGATACTATGCACTGCACATAGAATCGGCTGAGATTAGCATCACAGGATGCCCAGAAATACTATAAAGTATAGCTATATATTCTAAATCGTCTTGTGATTAATGTGTGTATGCATACATGTGTGTATGCGTGTGTTATGTATGTATGTATGTATGTATGTATACGTGTTTCCCCGAAAATAAGACCTTGTCTCATATTTTTTTGAACCCTGAAATAAATGCTTGGCCTTATTGCCATGCGCTCAAAAGCCCATTTGGGCTTATTATCAAGGGATGTCTTATTTTGGGGGAAACAGGATATATATATATATATACACATTTTTTTAATGTGTGCCAGTGTGTTCACAGAAAAAAGTGACAATAAAGGCTATCTTTCAATCAATCACAACAGAGTTGGAAGGAACCTTGGAGGTCTTCTAGTCCAGCCCCCTGCTCAAGTAGGAGACCCTATACTATTTCAGACAACTGGCTGTCCAGTCTTTTCTTAAAAATCTCTAGTGATGCAGTCCCCACAATGTCTGAAAGTTACACTTACTTACATCTTACCTAACCATAATTTAATTTAACATGTGAACCTAGTCTGTGTTAGTCTTAGCTAATAGTTCATCTTTTTTGGTACAAATCCCCATTAAATAATTATATTAAATAATTGTTTGACAGAATAAATTGTGGTTACCTATGTTCTGCGAAGGCATGCCTGGGATCTTAGTAAGCCTGTCATTGTTTGATGAATAAAACAAAGGACTATATTGTGCATTCCTAGGTAGCCTATTCAAAACTACTGATCTTTTTGGGCCATACAGCATGCAATATGTGGCTGCAGAATAACAGACCATCTTTTCCTACTAGTCAGTCTGAACTCATAATTGGCCAGACTCAAGGACCTACAGCAGTGTTTTTCAAACTTGATGAATCTGGACTTTAACTCCTAGAATTCCCCAGCCAGGATGCTGATGTTTGAAATTTACTGGTCTAAACACCAGCATTTAACTTCTTTATCCATGTTCATACCTAATCAAGGAAATACCAAGGAGAAAACCACACACCCTAACAACAGTGGCAGGGCAAACCCCACATTCAGATGATTTTACCTAATTGGGTAATGAAGAGTCGGAAAACAAACAGCCAAGCTCAGAAAAGTCTGCAAGCAAACACCAGCAAACACTCAGACAGCAGCAAGGATTCCACAATTCATTCTTGAGGTACATGTATTTTCTTCTGTGCAGAAATAAGATATCTTAGATGTTGATATACACATTGTAAAGAATTTCACTATGTTCCTTGTATCTCTGATCTTTGAATCAATTACTATCAGTCCATTGATGTTCTTTAGTCTAGAATACCATTTCATGACTGAAAATCCCTTCTGAATTTTAAAATATTTTGAAAACCTGTCTTATTTTTCAATATCTGTTACCATTTTTACCTCTTTACAGATGTTATGATTCAGTGCTTCTTGACTTTGGCTTCTTTTTATTTCTTAGCAATAATCACCATCTATTCTGGGATCCAGTTCGCTTTTTTCTGTTTCTTGATCTTTAGTACCCATGTTTCCCGGAAAATAAGACCCAGTCATATATATTTTTTGCTACAAAAGATGCATTTGGGCTTATTTTGGGGGAAACAGGAGATCAGGGTGATCAGCCCAGCTGAACACGCCACTCTTGGCATGTGCACAAGAGGTGGCGAGCGCAAACAGGCTTATGGTGTCTAGCTGCAGCCTGCCAGCCCCTTAGTTGGCGCATTCTGGGGCTGCGCAGCCTGCATAGCCCACAAAGCGCAGATGTGCTGATTACATGTCCAAGCAGCAGATGGAGGCAGAGGCACAGGTAGGGAGGCATGCGATCTGGACGCGCAGCATGGGCCGTGGGCAAGCCGAGAGACTGTTGTATGGACCACCCACCCACTCCATCCCATCGACTTTTGGCTTTCCCATGGCCCAGGAGGCGCATCCAGATTGCCTGCCTTCCCCAACCCCCCTCTGTGCCTCTGCCTCTATCTGCTGCTGGTGCTGCCATTCAAAGATGAGCCTCCCATGGCTGGCCGGCCGCTCCACTCCACTGACTCGGCTTTCCCGCAGCCCACATAACACAACCAGATCGCCTGCTTCCCCCCTCCCTCACATCTCTGCATCCACCTGCTGCTTGGACAGGTAATCAACTCACCTGCACTCTCAGGCCGTGGCTGCTGCCAGTCATGGTTGGCCCTCATGCCCTCGCTGCCTCCGGTGCTGGACACACACACAGCTGATTACGACCTTAACTGGGGCTTATATTTGGGGGTCGGGCTTATATTAGGAGCATGCTAAAAAATCAGGTTAGGACTTATTTTCTGGTAGGGTTTTATTCGGGGAAATATGGTAGTCTATTTTCACATGAATCCTTAACAGGTCCATTGATTTTGTTCCAGCTTCTGATTCTTTATCTAGATTCTGCTTGAAACTGGTAAGTATATGCTTAAGATAATATTATGGAAACTGGTTGGTTTTGTTCTTTTCCTTTAGCTTGATTTGGAACTTGCCATGAGTAGCTCGTCATCTTTTGCACAATAAATCCTTGGCTACATCTTTGTTATTATAACTGAACTTTCCACAACCTTGTACCACTAATATAGTTAATTTGACATTTTGTGTGTATTCTATCTGATGTTGTCTAGTTATATAAATGTCATCTTGGTTGTCTGAAGAATATAGTAGGAATGTAAATAAAATAATTGGATTGACAGAAACAGATAAATTGGTCCACTGCTTATTTTTTATTTCTAATCCATATATAGTTCAACAAATATTTTTCTCATTATTTCCAACCCTGGCATTTCAGTCTTCTTGCTTGCATGTTCTGTTGATTCCAGCTTGAACTTAACCATACAAGTAGTCAGTATCCTCTTTTTCTGCATCAGTAGTTAGGGCAAAAACTTGAATAACTGTCATATTAGAGGTCTATGTATATTATTACTATTATTATATAAACAACATTGTGAAATCACAGCTGTCAGTTCTTTAGCTGGTGGTGGCATTTATATGTGAGCTCTTCCCAAGAACCTAAAATATTATAATGTATCAACATAGTATATGTGCAAATCCAAGTAGTAATTGACAAATTGAAATTTTGTCAATGCATAGATTTTCTCAGTGCTGTCCACAATGTTTTGATATGGTACCCAATTTGTCAATGACCCCTGCAACTACTGCTACCAGTTCATGCCATAATCTTTTAACTTCAATTTTCAGATCTTGATACTTTATGATTTCTTCAAGTTCTGTATTCTATTATCTCCTGATATTGCAACATCAATTATCACACTTTTGTCTTTTCAACCATAGTTAAATCTGGCTGTATTTGGAAATCACACAATATTTTATTCTGCTTATTTTTTACTACTTTTTCACCTGTATCATCATCTTTTAATGACACCATAATCCCTTGCGGGATGGAGTCTGGGCAATTGGCTTTTGATAATTTTACAGATGTTCCAGTGAATAACTTTGGCGTATTTGTGTTATGAGGCTGTTTATCATATGTTTGTGTGATCTTCTTGCACAAGCTGAGTATATGATTTACTGTTTCTTCTGCTGCTTTGCACGATCTGCATGGTTTTTCAATTATGGCCTGGATTACATTGGTTCAAAAAGCTTCCTCTTCAGCAGCCAAATTCAAGCCTTTAGTTTCTTTTTTAATATTTCAGTTGTAAACCTTTGCCAAGTTTTATCTTTATCCATTTTCCACTCAATCTTTTGTAGAAATTGACTAGGTAATGCTTTCCCGTGCCAATATTCTATCATGTTTATTACATTATTTCAATATTCAAGTTTTGTTTTCTGTGCATTCAGTAAATTTCAATTTTTTAACTTGTATCAGTGATTGTTCTTAGGTGTTTTTACATAATCAGCCAATGCATGATTTTCTTCTTTAACAATTTTTTTACATGAGGTATACCTCTACCTCCATTTCTGCAGGATAAATATAATCTATCAACATCATTCTGAGGATGTAATTTTCTTGTTTTTTCAATCCAAACAGTCCAGTTCACCTTGTGTCCAGTTAATAATTCCAGCAGCATATCATAACACAGGTATGGCCAGGTATTGAAGGCTTTGATGGTGTTTCTACCGTTCAATTTTGGTTTTAGCAATTTTCTCACTGTTTCTATTTATCCTTTACTAATTACACTTTTAACTTGCCCATGCTTGATATTACTTGACTGTAAAATACCCTGTTCCTTGTAGGTTTTAATCATGATGAGTCATGATTGTTTAACCATTCAGCATTTCAATTCCAATACTATTCACAATTTTACTTTGATTTATTGCTATTGCTTGCTGTAGCAATAAATACACTGCTACTGTAGCAGTAGCTACTATATGCCAAATTTAATTGCTATATATGTGCTAAAAATTCTTAAATCTTTTGTTAATGACTGGATTTTTTTTCTGATTCTCCATAAAGCTTCAGATCATCTGTATAAAGCAAATATAAGATTTTTATTAGCATTTTTTGCTGTTTGATAGCGAAATTTATTATGGTTTGTTGCACATTTGGCCAGAGGGTTAGACTGGATTTGGCACTTTTTTTTTCCAACCTATTGAGTCCTTCCCAAAGGACCTGGGATAGACCGATGTTTTTTTAATAATATTAAAGATATTTTCACAGGATGTAAGTTATACCAAGTAAAGCTGTTTTTTGCAATTGACAGTGGTGATTTTGTCAGTGCCTATCATGCTCAAGTGGTACTGCAGGTATTTTTTGGGATTGCACCTATTGGTACTACCTTTGCTTTCTTTTG